TGACGTATACTCGCACACAAGTTCGATAAACTGATCGGACTTGGTGTTGCTGAGCAATGCTATTGTGACGGTCGTTCGACCGTCGTCAGTATGATGAAAGGAATCCAATGATTCGTTCTCGAGCTTTAGAATACGCATTTCAATAGATTACGTTGATAATACAGTATATGTACTTGTATGTATAAAAGCCATTCAACATACAGGAGCAGCAACCAAAGGAATGTCTTCTTATCACTATTATGGAAACGATGAAGGAGAAACGATTCCAGGTGACGTGGAAGAATTAGTCGTTCATCCTGCCGTGCGAGAGATTCCATACAAAGCTTGTCACTGCTTCGAACAGCTGACACACGTCAAATTCAATAAGGGAGGGTCCTCTGTCAGAGCAATCGGAAAGGATGCCTTTCATGGATGCGTGAGCTTGTTGGACATTGAAATTCCTCCATCTGTGACGATCATTGGAGATTGGGCCTTTGCGGGTTGTCGGTCATTGTCCAAAGTTCGTTTTGCGGAAGATAATAATGGCTCATCATTATTATTATTCTCATTGACTACCATTGGAGAGATGGCGTTTGCCAGCTGTTCCTCATTAATCGAAATCAACATTCCCTCAAGCGTGGAGACCATTCGATCAGACGCCTTCCATTCCTGCACACTCTTGGAAAGAGTATTCTTTCAGGAGGGACTGAAAGAAATTGAAAAAGGTGCATTTACTGCGTGTGTCCAACTGGAAAAAGTGGATATTCCGAACTCTCTTGAAACCTTGGGCGGCTATGCCTTCTATAAATGCAGCTCATTGCAGGAAGTGAACTTTGGGGAAGCGAACTTGAGGGTGATTGAATACAGCGCTTTTGAGAGATGTGTCAAATTGCAAACGATCCGTATTCCTTCCACTGTGGAACGCCTGGAACCAATGACATTCAAGGACTGCGATTCTTTGCGGGTTATGCACTTTCAGAATGGTCTCAAATGTCTGGAAGATCAAGCCTTTTACTCGTGTAAGAATCTACAAGCAGTTGCACTGCCGGACTCGGTAGAAGAGATTTATATGCGGGCATTTGAAGAATGTCCCAAGTTGGTGTCTGTGGAATTGGGGGATCATCCTAGAACTGTAACGATACATGACGAGGCCTTTTCGGGATGTGAATCTTTAGCCAACATTTGTCTTCCCCCGCCCTACGCATCATCACCAGCAGCCACGACAGCGACAGCGACAATGACAACAAGTACACGTACCACAGGAGCTATTATTAGCGACAGCTTTCTAGGCTGCACAGCGCTGGAGAATCAATACGGCGAAACCTTCACCCGACTTGCCCTGATGAAACGATTCGAGCACTTTCCGATACACAAGAAATGCTACCATGCCTCTGTTACAGCAACAGACGACCTTGCCAAAGAGATTCTTAGAATTGACTCGTCCATCCAATCATCGTCGCAAGAAGGCGGCACTAACATTACCCATGCTCATCGATTGATAGATGATTTTGGTATGACGCCCTTTCACATTTTGTTATCAGCTGCAAATTGCAGACTTGACCTTTTGCAAGTCCTGTTGGATGCGTATCCACCGAGTATCCTTGGATGGGAAGACGTGAACGGAAAGACTGCCATCGAATACTATTGTCAACAAAGCTATCATAGGTCGGAAGATTCACGAAATATGCTTCGGATGGCTCTTCATCGATGGCTGGTAGACTCCATATCGAGTTGGAAAGGATTGGAAGCATGGAAATTGGACATGTCGAATAGGGTGAATGGTATTGTTGCCGAGGAGGAAGTGACACAAAGACAATATTTGCTTCAAGGAGCATCGGTGGCTCTGTCGCTCTATGAGCGAATGGAAGCTACAAGTTTGCTAGAGTTGTCTTTGTGGAAAATGGAGTTGAACTTGTCTGCATATGGAACGGCAATCGACAAAAATAACAGAGAAGCATATCGGATTCGAAGTGGTGCTTCGGTTATCATCCCAAATGCAGTTGCATTTCTTTATGAAACCAATCTGGCATAGACGATAACCTATTTTTATAGATAATACTGTACGTTCTTCATTGAAAGCAAGGAGTATCTGGGACCTGCTAACCCAGTGTAGGAAGTGTAATATGGTTCTAATATATAGGTAAAGTCAGGATTCATTATAGACGGAGTCAGTCGAACATTGCGCGTTTCCATCTGTCCATACCCATTACGATAGTGATGCAATCTTCAAACTATAAACATACTCTGCTGCCTTGTAGCTACTCTAATACTACGTTGCTAAAATACAGATTAGCTATTATAGACAATATCCATCGAAAACCAAAACAGTTTGAAAACGGTGAAAAAACGACAACGAGTGATCAGAAACGATTGACAACTCGGTTTCGCTGCTAGGCATTCTTCTTGCCCATCTTTAACATCGTCTCTGATAAAGCATCTGGAGTCAAGTCCGTTCGAGTGATGGTACCGACGGCTTGGTTGTACTTATTCACAACTGGAAGGAAGCGAAGTCCCAAACTTCGAAACAACTCATATGTTCTCTGAATAAGGAATTTAGAGGATGAATCAGACTCGAGTCACAAAACAAAACATTGACAATATAGTCAAACTTACAGTTACTGACGATGCCTCTTGCGTTGTCAATGCAGCTACGTTGGTGTACGGTCTCAGATCCACAAACTTTTCTCTATCGGAGTAGTCAATTCTCAGATCTGACACCTTTGGATACTTGGGATAGGCCTTCTCGACTACATGCCACTGCACCAAGGGATAGAATTTGGCACCATTGACCTGCAGATAGTTACAATTGATATTGTCATGATTGTTTCCTTCAGGAGTCGACGGTCGACCAAAGGCACGCTGTTGCAACAAGATGCAAAGCGCATTGCGACCTATTGTACCAGATAGAGTGTCATTGTCATCCGTATCCACCACAGGAAAGTTGGAGTATTCACAGGACTTGAGAATATCATAGATAACTCCAACCTTCTCGACCGGACGGACAAATACGACATTGGCGCTCATTACATCTCCAGTAACCAGTCTGAAACTCATTTTGTTAGGGAAGCCGCACTTTCAATTGTTGACAATGCACTGTCCTTAAAATACTAATAACTTGACTTACCCATGGTGTCTTGTAATGGATCGGAGCTCCGCTTCTAGAAACTGAATGCCTTTGAGATGAATGTGAATATGATATAGATCTTCGTTGAAGAACGACCCAGTGATCCGAGCTGTCATGAGCGTCAACATGAGCGGCAGGACAAATTGTTCATTTCCAGTACACTCCAAGATGATGACTGTCAAGCTAATGGTCATTCTTGCCATTCCCCCCAAGACTGCTGCGGCCCCAATCAATGCATAAGTGTTACTGTAGGCGAGGTTTGGATAGAGATTGTGAGCCAGGTTTCCAAAGAGGCGACCAAATGCGGCACCTGACAGTAGACTAGGAACAAAGAGGCCAGAGGGCACGGCTACACCGTAGACAATCACTGCCAAAGAAATGTAGCATGTAAAAAAGAGAATCAAAGCCGCTGTACTGAAAGCATGCTGATGAAGATGAAACAGCTGTCGAATCGCGTCTCCTGGATCTATCCAATTGATGATTCAGACAAACAAATGAAACAGAAGAAAAACAAAGTGAATCTCAATCATCATCATTATTGAATCAATAGTCGTCGGATTCGTTGATCTTTGACGGTGATAGTTTTGCTCACCAGTCAAAATAAGTGAAGCCATCTCATTGTATTCCTCGCCAGCTATACAACGAAAGGGAACGAGCGATTCCCATAACTCGATCTGATCCGCACTCATATCAGCTCGACTGGGAAGAGGAGTACATTTGACCCATACAAATGGCAACGCGAATGATACCAAGGAAACAAGACTGGAAACAACAAGGACTTCCAGGAATCGTCGTTTCTTGGAAGGATTAACATGCTTCATTCTCCACTTTGTGATCTTTTCGTTCGTGTCATTGAATACTGCCCCAATGAGACCCCCAATGGCACCCAACAAGACAAATGGCAAGAGTTCATAGACGGCAAAACTGGACTCCTCTTCAAAGACAAAATTACCAAAACTAAACAGCCGACCAAAGCCAACCTTTCCAAATGCGTTTCCGATAGTGTTGAGAGTATAGAGTGTGGAGAGTGCAATCATGGAACAGAAAAATGATCGCCACGTCACTGATGGGCCCCAGTAGCTTGCACCTTCTTCCAGTGCAAATAGAATGCCTCCAATGGGAGCTGAAAAGGCAGTACACACACCAGCAGCTGCACCACATGCTACAAAGTCTCGCTTTTGTCGATCGTTCTGGGTCTTTCCGGAAGATATGGTATTGGCGACCACTGCACCAGAATGGACCATGGGGCCTTCCTTTCCAACCGGCAATCCTGCTGATACCGAACAAATGACACCCAGGACCTTGCAGACAAGAGTTTTGAGTTCGACCACTCTTGGAAGATCGATTCCATTGAGGTAACATTTGACTTCCGGAATTCCCGATCCTGCACTGACTGGTTCGATCCACACAAAGATAGAGGCAATGGCTGCAAACATTAATTGCGTCATGTAAAAATAAAGGAACGCCCAAATGACATGCCCACCTTCCAATAGACCATATACATGATTGAATTTGTGCTAGTGTTGGTGAAGTGAAGTGAATGATAGTAGCGGGTGAGTTGGGTGTAACAAAAGATGCATCAGCACATGTATATGCAGCATATATATGCATGTCCATCTGCATATTTCGTCAAACTCACATCAATAAAGTGGGCAGACAAAACATTTGTAAAATAAGCGACAGAAGCTTGGGCAATCCCAACCAACGCAATGATTATATAAGTCGTGGACGTCTCATGTTTTCCAGCATTCCAAAAGTTGCCTCTATGGACAAAATGTTCCGTTGCGTTGTTGGCTCTCCAAGCATCGGTTTCATCTCGAACATAGGTCAAGGATTCATAATTCACGGCAGGATGATGGTCGTGACCGCGGTGAGAGCCACCGCCCATGCTATCATGACGAATCAAAGCTGAATCTGATTTCTTCTCCTTGTTAACTCCATTCATTGTGATGTGATTGAATTGCTTTAATTGCAGTGGTGATGGTGGTGATGATGATGATGGTGGTGATGATATCGGTAGATCGACCTCGTGAACGACGACCTGTCATTTATGCAAGATATGAGAAGCGAAGATACATCAGAATTTTTCTGTGCTGTTCCAAACGCCGTCCAAATCTTAGAACTGGTTGAACTGGTTGAACCGGTTGGGAATTTTACAGGAAGTTGGGAATGGGAAGACCCGGCTAGCGCACATTGTACTGCATTCTGTACGTAGAGGATACAGTCACCTGGTTCGTGTACTCGTACGTAGAAGAATGAGACGCGACATCAAAACGAACGATTCATTCTTCCTCAACATTTGCGGCATTTGATGCGTCATTTTTACAAAGATCTTTTTACCAGAAAGATCTTTTCACCTGAAAGATCTTTTCACCTTGCCTACTATCATACAGCGCACGCGCATCATGACGAAGGATCACCTATAAACAACGCATACGAATATTGAATATATCAAATCGCACATCGCATCAAAATTACATCAGCAGAGAGCGCAATTGTTGCATCTCTCTCTTGACCAGCATGGCTCCTACTTCCAAGGACGAAGAGAGCCCCAAGGAGGTGCAGTTTCACAAGAGTGTATCGACGTCCACGTCCTATGGATCCATTGATGTGAATAAAAGCAACGGAGGAGAAGACGAAGACATTATTATGGAGGAAGATTCATCACTGTTGAGACATTCCATTCATCTCGGCATGACAGGATTCGCTAGCGAAAATATTTGGACGAGGCTGCGACGAACAGCTTCCTTTCAACAGCATGGAGATGAATACAAGCTTGTTCCAACCAAAGTGGTCGACAATGTCAAATTGGTGACAGACCCAACTTTGCAATCGAATGAAAAGGGAAAGCTTTACTTTGCCGAACGATCGTTTTACAACAATATGGAAGCACCTCAATATGCCTTGACTGTCAATGACGACATCTACAGACGAATATTTGCAGAGGTCAACGATTCAAGGTCGTCTCCATTTGGACTCTACTTTTGTTGCCATGGGGGTGACGGAGCTCACACGGGTGTCTCTCATGAGGATTATGTTGATATTCAACTTGCATGGGTCCTTATCGGTGTTGTCTTTTTGGCCATATTTGTTCTTTCCTTTGTGTAATCATGCTATAGGAGTATATTCTGGGTGCAAGTTTACGTGCCTAATGTATATAGAGTATAATACTATGTCCTCATCATCTGTCATCTGTCAAATACCGGTAGTAGGTACCATGTGCAGCCGAAAGATAGCCCAAGAACAAAAGGTATCAAGATGGCCGTGATAAAATAAGAGTCGAGGGGTGTGATTCAAGCCATACTTTACTGCACTATCGGTATACGACTGTAGCCTCTGAGGAGGGCAAACAGCAGGAAAATTCTTATATATCATCCTCCATTGTTTTAAAAAAAACCTTTTTTAAATATTTACGGTATCGCTAGCTAGACAGTGGTACGAGTACCTGGTACTGGTACCTGGTAACGTACTGAGACTCGGGAGTACGTCGTACGATTTGAGATTGCAGACTTATTGGATCATCGAGTTCTTCCAGCATAATGCAGTAGATCGAACCCCCTTGCGTTTGAAGCATTCCATCGCTAGCGGCATCTTTGGATTCCTTTATATAGCTATACCGCGGGGTAGGTCCTTCAAAATGTGATCATATCCAACACAATCCACTGGATGATGATGACGACGATGCCATCTACGATGCTATTCGATGGAGAAAGAATACTGTCCAGGGACTGATGTTTTCACTGCTAATAGTATTTGGGTTGGTCACAATCTTTATGATGTGCCTTTGTGCAGTTTTTCTTCTAGGGAGAAGGTACCTAAATATCTTGGATAAACGAACCATCGCACAAAGAATCTAGTACAGAAGAAATTATTTGACAAGTTTGAGGATGGTATTATATCACTGAGATCAAAATTGATCTCACTCGATGCTAACTATATAGTTGTAATGCTAAATAACTTTGGATTTTGAATCACAACGCAAACAGTAGTATCTGCAACCGCAATCTGTATTATGATGTATTAAAAAACTATATTTCTAGATAGTCCTATTATATATCCAACGTAGAACTCCAACCCCAACAATGCACAGTCCTTTTTTAAATGTCCTCTTTTTCAAGTACCCTGCAAGTATGCTTTCCCCTTTTTGTTTCCATTCGTCCCGGTTGGCAGTCGCATAAGTCAAGTACTCATGCGAGGATACCCCAAATACACCGCAAGAGTCCAACTTCTTTGCCAATGGGATGATGTAGAAGTCAAAGAACCCGATTTCTCCCCTGTACCAACTCAGACTTGGATCTTTCTCTGCTCGGCCCTCTTGCCAGGCCTTGTAGCACTCAAAAAAAGAATTTCTCGTTCCATTTGATGTAGACTTGCCAATGTTGCATGGTATGGCTGACATCCGAAGCTTGAATCAAGTGCTCAATGACAATGGTGGCCTTACGGTTGCGGTCCAAGTCCGAAGAAAGCATTTCATTTTCGGTCTTGTCAAAGGCAACGTTCCATCGTGCTTTACGCAAAGCACCCAACTCCTTGTCAGCAATATCGGTTGCCATCACAACATTGACTAAGAGTTGACTCTCGCCAGAGATGGCAGAATCGTCCATGATTTCCATGAATTCGGAGACGAATGGCAGGTTCGCCCCACTGATGACATGCTCTTCCATGATGTTGAAAAGCCTCAGTTCCCTACCAAATGTATGATGCCCGAAGATCCCCAAGGCGAACGTCGTCGACGTCTGGATGAGTCCTCCGTCACAGCAGAGCGAGCTGAAGATGCTTGTGCTAGCTTGACTGACCCACTTGACAGAAAGGATTGCGTCTATGATATCTTGGTCACACAAGACACCACCATGGCTGGTGCTTATTAATAGAAATAGAACTTAGTGGTCCACATTAGGTTTCTCCTTGCAATAGGGGTTGTCAATGAACCCAACCCAACTATTTTTGGTTTATTTTTATTGACCAATAGAAGGGCAGTATTTTTCCCGATATTTGACCACCCCCTTTGAAGCCACGAACCAACTATTTTTGGGGAAAAGCCGGTAGTTTAGGGAGACGTACGATATCTCGTAGATATATTTGCCTACTTATTTTTCGTCGAAAAATAGCATGACCCAACTATTCTTTGTTTAAGTTTGGGCTACGTTTACTCAAAATTGAACTGTTCCACACGATAAATCTAAAACATTGGACAAGAATTGTAAATCTTTTATCCCGCGAATCAATTATCTCCGGGTCATTAATATAGTTGGGTCTCTTTTCGGCACAACTATTTTTTTTCTTTCTGACCCAAACCAACTATTTTTTTTTTGGCTCGACCAATCACAGCTGCCCAAAAAAAAGAAAAAGAGTTGGGTTGGGTTCATTGACAACCCCTAATACGATATATATAAAACATATATAGAAAAATACTGTAGGTTTTGCGATATTTTTTATATATAAAACGTTTTATTATTATACAAGAGTCGAACTGGTCAATCGAACAAGCATTGGTTTTTCATAAAATATTATTCTCCATCGACAATAATCAATGACAAACAAACAAACAAACAAACAAACAAACCAAGACTGAACATACACACAGTATTGCAGTAGTAATAATAATATTATACCGGTATACAGTACGAGTACACAAGTATATTATATATTAAAAAGAAACATGCAATATGGTGTTTCGACGAGTAAATAGACGATTTCAATCAGATGCTTCCTCCATAAAGACTTGGTCATCTTTGAATGCTAAATCGTCAGCAACAGCAACAACAACAACAACAACAACAATGACCAGCTTTAAGCAATGTCAAAGTCGTCATTGTTGTCTTGGCCTGATATCATTCTTGGTGGTGATTCTCGTATTATTCTTGGTAACATTGCAAAGGAAAGATGTTACCTTGCGACGAGTGGCAGAAGAATGGTGGGAACCAAAGCCATTTCTCTCAAAGGCATCATCATCATCATCATCATCATCACCACCACCATCATCACATGATAGGAAGAGATGCCCACCATTGGATCCAATGATCGAACAAGACTTTGTTGGCTTCCCACAGAATCTAACCTTTGGCAAATATGTGGCCGAACAAGGACGACCCTTTCTCACCCATGATTTTTGGGCCACCATTGTGGACAATCGACGAACCTTTTTGCTTCGTAGCTTTGAAGCAGGCTTTCCTTCTGATGACAAACTCCGAGCATGGATTCGATCGAGGCCACATCCAATTACCTTGATCATCAACAACAACCTCGATCAATCTTGGCCCAACGAAGATGGTCTTGTCAACAAGACAAGTTATCAAATCATTTTGAACGACACCAATGTCCATGCTGTCTATGCTAGCAATGCACGTTATTTGAGTGATTATCCAAAGTTGCAACCCATGCCGATTGGATTGAAATGGGCCTACAAGTCTACTTTGTTGTTTGGAGAACCCAAAGACGAACGGGCACAGAACTATCGAACCTATGGAGCCTCCGGTCCAGATCAATCCAAAGCCTTGTTTTTTTCCAAAAAGCGAAAATCGACAGTCTTTTGGAGGCCCATGCAAGCTAGATCGAATGCTGCCACTACCAAGTATGTTCGAGATACTCCAGCCTTGCAGGCCCCACGATCCTCCATTCCACCGATTGTCAAGGAAACGGCCCAAAATTCCATGGTATTTGCACCAGCGCACATGCCGCAAGAAGATTTTTTTGGAGAATTGAAGAAACATCGATTTGTCATTTCTCCTCCTGGAAATGGATTGGATACTCATGCTACATGGGAGGCCTTGTTGTGTGGATGCATACCAATTGTTCCACGATCAGATTTGGATCGGGTATTTGATGATTTGCCTGTGTGGTTGGTGGATTCATGGGAGGAAGTGACGGATGCTAGTGTGAAGGAAAAGGAAGCCTACTTTTTAGCCAACCATGAGAAATGGAATTGGGAAAAGCTGTATCAGCCCTATTGGAAGGAACGAATTCATGAAGGTTTGTGTACAATATAACTATTATTAATATTAATATATCACCCACAGTAATTATTACACTGTTTTAGGATGATATACATATTGTAGTACGATGGTATTACGGATAAAGATGTGTACCGGTATGTGTGGATGTGTGCTTATATTCATAACGATAATAATAATTATAATAATACATTTACAAAATTTAATTTGGAACTACCGGTACCGGTACCGGTACCATCGTCATACGGACCAGTATTGTATACCGGTATATGCTGTACGATCGAGAATACAGACAAGCATTGTCTCCATTCATCAATCAATCAATCAATCAATCAATCAATCAATCACAAAATAACAATGGAAGCATTTAGGATGATGTGGATGTCGACGCCGCTGGTAATGATTCTTTTCCCTTCTTTTGTTTTCTGGTTCCATCATCAACGACAATCTGTTGGTTATTTGGCTCCTTTGCCAGTGCCACAACTCCTTCTTCTTTTTCGGCTACTTTTTCTTCTTCTTCTTCTTCTCCCAACTTGCCGTACATAAAAGACATGGCAGCTCCCACAAAGAGGGATCCCGAAACGGCATTTCCGACCGTCACTGGCAACAAGTTGTGAAAGAGTGCTGTTTGAATCGAAATATCATTGGTACTCATGAGTCCAGCGGGCAACAAGAACATGTTGGCGACCGAGTGTTCAAAGCCAATGCTGACAAAGCAGGAGACTGGCAACCAAATGGAAAGGTACTTTCCAGTCATGTCTTTCGCTTGCATACTCAAGTACACGGCCAAACAGACGAGCCAGTTGCAAAACATGGCCTTGACAAAGAGTGGACCCAATTCGTAACTGGTCTTGGTGGCCAAGGTGGCAGCGGCCAAATGTCCGGCCCCGCCTTCCAAGACACCGGCATACTTGCAAGCAATGGCAAAACCAGTGCAACCAATAAAGTTGCCAATCCAGGAAAGTGACCAAGAACGAGCCAAGTCACCAACATTGGCCTTTCCCTCGCAGACAGCAGCCATCATGTTGGCAGTGTTTCCAGTGTACAATTGTCCACCGCATTGGAGTGCGAGCAAGAGATTGACCGGAAAGAGGGCCCCAAAGAGAAACTTGTACAGACCAGGGTCGGAAGCCGCAAGACCGGGAGAGTTACCAGCAACGGCAAGCGACAACATGGCACCCATGCCGACATAGGCACCACCTAGTGCAGCTGAAAAGACAGTCTTGGCAGCACTGGCATTGGCATTGTATTCTCCCTTGGCGACCAAAGCTTGGTAGGCTTCGGCGGGTGTGAGGAGATTGGAAACTTGAGACAAGTCAATTTGGGTTGGCGGAACAACGACACTTTCGTAGACAGTGACAGTCTTGCTGGATTGATCCTTCTTGTCTTGCTTGGCATACTTTTCTTCGAGCAGCTTGACGTCGTCTACCGTGACGGCTTGGAGTGCTGCAGTACCGGTAGTTCGAGAGGACATGCTGGCGGCGTCGGCGGATGGAGCAAAGGCATTGCTGCTAGATCCAAGAAGGGAAAGAGTAATGACTGATGAAGAAATGATGCGCATCTTGATGTGTTTGGTGTAGTATAATGTGATTGATGTGTGGATATATATTATATATACCGGTAGTAGATATGGTAGATACTATACTGTTCTGTTCTGTAAGGTAGATGAATCTGAATTTTATGATACCTTTTTCTTTTTTTCTTTTTCTGCCGTCGACGACGACATCCTGCAGCGGTACCGGTATATTCGAATTAGCTGGAGTTCCCACCACACACCGGGTTTCGAGTCATTATTTTTCACTGAGCTGGTTTTCAAGATCGACGTATTCCGTACCCAGCCAATGGAAAAAGTGACGGCAGAATTGACCTTTTTTCGATGACGATGCGGCCACATCAGCATTTCTTCGAGCACTTTCAGTCCTACTTGATCGTAGAGTATTGTGAGTCACGAGTAGATAATACAGTCTTGCAGGGCGGTCGGAGTCAGAGTACACCGGTACATTGTCAGTACAGTATGATGGAGAGTGAATGATGGAATAAAAGTCAACATTATGACATCAAACGACAGTCCAGTACTCGTATACAAAAAATAGATGCCACAACAACAGCGTGAAGTACCAGGTACCGTAGTTGTATCAAAAGTCTTGTCAATATGGATACACTATTGTTTTCAATGATTCTGCTTGTCCTTCGGACAATAATAATAATAATGATAATAATAATAATAATAATAATATGTGAACATAGAATGTGACACTTGTCCTATCATGCGATGGATCAACGGAATTCATTCATTCATTCATCCAATCCTCCCATTGAAATACTTCATATTCGACTCATGATGGTCCCTGTGTGCTAACGTATTATCGGATATGATTCATTCCTTCATTCCAGATTTCATAATGAACATGCATAATGAACATTCACATAGGACTACCCGCCCAACCTGCTTTTCTTCCCAACCACCCTCCTACAAATAGAACTACAAGTAGGACACCTTTAGTTTTTGCACAAACTTGCTGACCTTGTTGGTACGCTCCATTGGCAAGGTTGCCAAAGCGGTTGGTATGTTTTCAGGTTGCTCCAGCCAACAATGATAGGAATCATTTCCAAACTTTTCTTCAAATCCTTGTTTTACCTTTTCCAATTCCTCCATCGAATCCACACCGTACACATATTTCGTCATGCTTGGCAACTGTTCGGGTGAAAGGTAGTATTTGGTCGCCTCGTCTTGTTTGGCAAGTCCTTCGGCCATGGCAGCCACAGAAGCATGGGCAACTTGGGCGGCCACAGCTCCTGTTGGCCAAGCAATTCCTTCCTCGTCGGACAAGTCACGTCGACAGAAGATGTATTGAACGACTGGTTTGGAAAAGGACGAGGGGATTCCTCCATCGTCCCTTTCTGCATTGATATTATTATCATTACTATTATCATTATCATTCTTATTGCCACTGCCACTGCCACTGCCACTGCCACTGCTGCTCATTCTTTGCAATATTGGGGCTGCTGAATATCGAATGCGATTATATATACGCTGGTGATGTTGTTGTCGATGCTGTTGTTGTTGTTGTTGCTGTGGTTGTCGGATTGTCAAGAGGGATGTAGAGACCAAGACTCGTTGCCAGCGAGGGACGATTAGCATTACTGGACAGAACAAAACAAAACAGCACAACACAGCACAGCACAGCAAATATTATAATAAATACAGTAGGGTAGGGTAGGGTAGCAGTATACAGTAGGGCAAAGACTAATACCGGTATACACCTACTGTATACATAATAATATTGAGAAGATGAATATTTTCAATTTATTGTGCGGTGCGCGCGCGTTGTGGATGGAATAGATCGGAGAGGTCAAAGGGATGGACTACGTCGACCATCCATACCGATAAAAATTAGAGCGATGAGCCCATAATAGGCGCTTCATGTTCACAAGTCGTTCCAATAATAATATAAGGTTCATCACATTTCACGAGTTGTACTGTACGAGTATAAAGGTAAGAGTAGTTGCTAGATTTCATGATCTGTTGAGCAAGAAGCTCCAGCCAGTTCCTTGCGAGTATATATACCGGTACACGTATACGCGGCCGTACAGCACTCTTTGGAAACTCACGAGGAGGAGGTTGCCATGGTGGTGGCTTTGGCCATTTCAATTTCTATTCCAAAGCAATCGATCGATTGAATGCTCATCATATTGATGTAGATATAACCCACACGTCTGATTATAACATGTTTTGACGAAAGTGGACAAGTCTGCCTGCACCTTTCGTCATCTGCTTATTTTATACTTGTACTCTGAATCTCCATTTAAGTCATAAGCCATCCAAATATACTTGGGCTCCCCATCGAATATCATCTCCATAATCCGCTGGTTTTCCTTCTTCCCAAACATTTGAATTATTCTCTTGCAAGGTCTTTAAATACGGCAAGCTGCTCGTCCTCGTGGCAGCACTGCCCTTATCACTTTGGTTATTGTTGCCAACTGCATTGTGGTTTGCTTGCGCTGAATGAAACGGATGAGATGGTGGTGGTGGTAGTGGTGGTGGTAGTGGTAGTGCTGGTGGTTCTGCAGAAGAATGATCATGATTGTGGTTTGCCAGTGTTGCAGCACTCGTACTCGTACTCGTACTTGTTGTTGTTGTTGTTGCGCTTGCAGCAGTAGCAACGTTTGCCGTCGTCTTGTCAGAACAGGAAGCAGCCGTCGGCTGTAAATGAAGATGATCCAGATATCCTCCATACATTGGATGCTTGTATCCAGCCCAGCCTGCTCCAGGATGATGCTTTGCGTAGTGATCGTCGGGGGTTCTTCTTGCAATAATGGCATCCTCCTCCACCATGGAGTTCCTGGAATGTTGTTCTTGAAATTGATGATTCTCATTATTCTTTTCCATCGCATTGTGGAAACTAGCCGAGCTGGTAGGTTTCAACGAGTCCAGATACTGATTGTGATTGATATTGTTATTGCTACTGCGCGACAAGGCCTCAACTTTACAGCGACTGTCGTTGAAAGACACTTGCCATGCTACTACCATCTTTATTACAATTGTGAAAACGGACTTATTTAAGCTGATTTTCCTCATGTTTGCCATTGCAATTATTATATTGTCTTTGTCTTTCGTTTATTGTCAGGGAATGAATTATTATTGTTCTGCTGCTCAATCATTATCCTCCTTTCACTCTATACGTACGTGTATGGGCATGGAGACGATATGATATACCGGTATTATACTCCGATGCGATGATGCAAATAATAAACAAATGAGTGCAAGCGCGTGTGATGCGCGCAAGAATGAGGGGATGATGATGAGTGTTTGTGGACATACTCGTATACAGTATATGGGGGGAATTGCCGAGCCAACATAGTATTGTATAGTACAGTATGATAGTATTACAAGCTACTGCAGTTATGGATTCACATATACCATCGTACTGTATAAGACGTACTGTATCCTTACATGCTGTAGGTAGTAGAATCAGCTCTAATACATGGAACTACGTTCCACGAGTAGTATCGTATGCATTAGCGATGGTAACTGACTGCACCAGCGGCATCACCCAACAGAAACTCCTCTGATTCTATGGTATACCGTATCTTTTCTTTTATGATGACTCTGTTGGTGTACCGGTATTATAATAATACTGTATGGTTCTTCTTTATGGTTCTAGAATACGAAAAAAGAATACTTCGGGAGCCTTTTCAAAAGGATCGGTTGCCACAAAGTCTTCCCAGGCTGCAAAGTGGGGAGAACTCGCATGCGCATCAAAGCCTTCCTTGCCATGGTTGTCGCCCGAGTATTGTTCGTGCAGATAAAAGGGTTTGGTACTAGTAGTACTAGTACTAGTAGTACTAGTACTAGTACTAGTAGTACTAGTACTAGTACTAGTAGTAGTGTCACCATCTAGTTCTGGTTGACCTGGAGCGTTTGTGGCTTCCCCATAGAAATACTGCAAGGCTAGTGGCTCAGTGGTATCGGTACCTTTTTTGTTGTCGGAAATGGCCTTGAGGAAATCATTTCGGACGCTTGCTTTCGGATACAAATTTACGTTCAAGCCGAAGCTATTCTTTTGAATGGATCGTTTGGTTGTGGAGTCAGTTTCCTCCAAGGGATGATAAAAGCATACTTCAGGCTCACCGATGTAGGGTTGGCTGCTTTCGATAAAGTTATTGTAGATTTGGAAGTGGGGCGTTTGACCATGATGCTGAAACGCCTCTTTGTTTCTGTACAATTCAAACAAGTAAAAGGCATTCTCGTCATCCACTCCTTGACCAAGAACAAACTGCAGACAGTCTGGCTCGTCACGACGGGAGCATAATTGATCCTCTTGAATTTGTTTCAGCCATTCGTTGCGAATTTCAGGTCGAACCTTGCATTGCAAATTGAGTGCAAAGAGTGAATCTGAGTTGATCGTTCTTTTGGTGGTGCTGGTGGATGATGAGGATGATGAGATCGTCAAACTTTGGGTTGTTGGGAAGACCAAACGACGAGAGCGGGTAGTGAATATGCTAAGGCGAGACTTCAACATGACTTATATTCTCGAGGATGAGGATCAACAATTGATGATGATGATGATGATGATGTGGGATAATAGTGATTGAAGTACATATACTTTTAATGATCCCTTCGACCTCACACCTCACACGTCATGAAATAATAACGACTCCAATAACCGGTGTTTGCGCAAGTCTAATGATAGTACAGCAGTAAATCAACAGTTCAACATACAGTACGGTACACGTACCAGGTACCGGTATACCGGTAGTTAGGAATGATTCTATCATATAACTTCCAAAAGAAGGTTTTCTAAGGATGCTATGAAAAAATATACTGTTAGGACTACTATTATAATAGGAGTCCTAGGCTGAAAGCAAAGATTGCTCATTGCTAGCATGGCATTTTTATCATTGTTCTAGAATATGGAAGAAGGAGACTTCGGGAGCCTTATCAAATGGATCGGTCGTCACAAAGTCTTCCCAGGCTGCAAAGTGCGGAGCACTCGCATGCGCATCAAATCCCTCCTTGCCATGGTTGTCGCCCGAGTATTGTTCGTGAAAATGAAAGGCCATGTTCTTGTTGTCACTATCTAATTCTGGTTCACCAGGAGCATTTGTCGCTTTTCCATAGGTGTACTGCAAGGCAAGTGGTTCGGTGGTATCGGTACCTTTTTTATTCTCGGAAATGACCTTGAGAAAATCGTTCAGGACGCTTGCTTTTGGATACAAATTGACATTCAAGCCGAAACTATCCTTGTGAATGGGTCGTTTGGTTGTAGAGTCAGTTTCCTCCGTAGGGTGATAAAAGAATAGTTTGGGTTCACCCACATACGGTTGGCTGGTTTCGACAAAGTCATTATAGAATTGAAAGTGTGGCGTCTGACCATGATGTTGAAACGCCTCTTTGTTTCTGTACAATTCAAACAAATAAAAGGCATTCTCGTCATCCACGTCTTGCCCAAGAACAAACTGTAGACATTCTGGCTCGTCGCGACGGGAACACAACTGGTCCTCTTTGATTTGTTTCAGCCATTCGTCTCGGATTTCAGGTCGAACTTTGCATTGCAAATTGAGAGCAAAGAGTGCTGAATCTTTGGTGGACGACGAGGCCGTCAAACTTTGGGTTGTTGGGGACAACAAAAGCAGTATTGCAATGGAAATGAGAATGGAGAGCATTGTCGCGTTTGGTCGAACTGATTGCACCGGTATTGGAAGTGTGCGATAAAAATGTCGCTATATTTATTTTGTGACGTTTGTTCTTGTCGTGACAAAATGAAATGATGTGTGCGATGTTCAATAATGAGAGAGATGACGAATGACGAATGACGAGTGAAAAGATATTTCTATTGGCGGACGATGGACAGTAGTATTTTTTTAAAATACGCTTGCATAGAAGTCAACTTCAAACTTCGACTTGAACAAGGGTATAACTTAGTGTCTGGTGATAACATTACCGGTGTTCTTAGCTTGTTCTTTGCTGCCATAAAAGAGCGCCACTTTTTTCTCCGGAATTATAAAAGCTCGTTCGACAGAGAAAATAGTTTCTTGGTTACACAGAAGGATCAATCGGATCACGTGTAATTTGATAAGTAGGCTTCACTTTTTCATCGTTTGTTGATGGGTCCAATCCGAACTCCGGCCTTTCTCTTTGTCATTTCATCATTACGATGATATATTATATATATAGCAATGGGTCAAAAAGGCTTCCGTCGGTCATTAGAAAGGAAAAATAATAATCGCGGAATATAATAAAGCTCGTCTTCACCTTTTGACGCCTTGACCATTGACCATACCGGTACAGTAGGCAGATGCTGCACAAAAAACTCAACTCGAAGGTACCGCATATTGCACTTCTTGATCTTGCCACCATGCACGGCCTCGTCTTTGAAATCTTTGAGCAGTTCATCATCGAGAAGCATGGCTTAACAGCTTGGCATGCCATCAAAAAGGCAGCTGATTGCGATGTGGAAGATCAATCCTTTGTCACGCGAACATTCTACATGTACGACACTTGGGTCAGCCTCGTCACTGCGGCAGCGGAAGAACTTCAGTCGTCATTCGAGGCAATATTGGAGACCTATGGGGAATATAACATTCGGTATCACTTTCAGAATGGCTATGATGCTTTGTTGAGATGTCAAGGCACCACTCTTCGTCAATGGTTGTCCAACCTGAATGCCATGCACGATCACATTCAAAAGAGCTTTCCCGGTGAGAACTTTTGTCCGCCAGTGTTTTGGTGCGAAGATTCCGACAAGGTGGAGGGATGCATCTTGCTCCACTACTACAGCCAACGTGGTAACCTACTTGTGCCATGGGTTGTCGGGATTGTCACAGAGTTGGCTTCCTACCATTTTCAAGTCGAGATCACTATGAAGCGACTATCACTACAAGACGAAGAAGGGGCATCCTTCACTACATGGAGAATATCTGCGGTCGATGAGACGCAAAATTGGAAGCTGTCTCCCAACGTTCACGGCACAAACAAGTTGGAAGGAGAGTCCGGTGCCGTGGACTTTACTGGTATTCCGACTCCTGGAAAGTGTCCATTTTCAGGACGAAAACTAAAGGGGGCATCATCCCCGACGCCATCCGAGAAGAAAAAGTGCCCAGTGGATCACAATCGTTCTATTGCGTCCCTCACTTCTCATCATTCGGAGGGTGATGAAGAGATTGGATTAACCGAAACCAAAATGAAGGATATCTTCCCATTCCATGTTCTTGTGGACCAAGAGTTCCGCATCTCACAAGTTGGAGTCAAACTTCCGAAACTCTTGGGATTCAAGGCCAAAGACTTTGTGGGTCACCACATCAAGGAATTTCTTCACATCACCAAACCTGTCTTGGCGACTTCTTGGGACTGGCAGTCGTTGAACAAGCTCTCGGATCAGAATTTCTTCTTGACTCCAACTCCAAACAAGGCCAAGGCTACCGGTACTGAAAAGGAGGGACCTCGCAAGGTCACAATGTCCAATTTGGATAGTGCCATGAAGTTCAAGGCATCCATGGTGCAAGTTACAAATCATAAAGTCATGTTCAATCTAAGTCCCGAAGCCCGGAACGTCACGGATCTCAACAATATGGGTTTGACTCTTTCCGATCTGCCATTGCAGAGCTGTCAGCGAGATGCTGTCTTCTTGGGAGAATACGTCGCACAAGAGGCCGACAAGGCTCATAAGCTCGACAAACTCAGTCGCAAGTTGGCCGTGGAAAAGAAGCTGTCCAACACACTACTGCATAGCATTATTCCACACCAAGTGGCCGAAGACTTGCGAATGGGCAAAACCGTGGAACCGACACTTCACAAAAATGTAACTCTCTTCTTCTCGGATGTTGTAGGATTCACCAGCATTTGTGATCAAGTCGAGCCATGGGATGTCATTGACATGATGAATCAACTGTATTCTGTCATGGACTTTCTCGCCAGTCACTTTGATCTATACAAAGTTGAGACGGTTGGAGATTCCTACATGTAAGTACCAGGTTCCCAAAATGACATTTGTCTGCTTGTGGTAATGATCGCGCTCATGTTGTGTTGTTGTGTTGTTTTTTCCATTTATTTATTTATTACGATAGGTGCGCTTCGGGATTGCCAGATCCTGATGAGTTGCATGCGGAGAAGATTGCCAATTTTGCCTTGGCAGTAGTGGAGTGCGTGAAACACGTCAAGTCTCCACTCGATGGATCGCCTATCCAGCTTCGAATTGGAATTCATAGCGGAAGCTGTACTTCAGGTGTGATTGGGACTCTGACCCCGCACTACGCTTTGTTTGGTGACATGGTGAATGTCGCATCAAGACATGAGTCGACTGGTGTAGCAGGAAAGATCCATTGCTCGTGCTATCTCTTTGGCCTCTTGAAGCACTATTCCACAAGTGATACCTACCAGTTCAAAGCCAGAGGTCTGGTCGACATGAAGGGCAAGGGTGAGCACTACACCTATTGGCTTGAACGTGCTACTGAAAACAACGAATGGGCAAGCCAAGAGGCACTTGAAGAACTTTCCGGTAAAGTGGAAGAAATGATTGCTTCCAAGACATGGAAAATGAGAAAATACTTCCGCAAGGGCCACTTGATTCAAGATGCTACTTCTGTTAACGGCCTTTCGTCGGCAACAGGAAGTTCGGGTCTTGGTACGGAAGACAGCCATAGTCGCAGTGACGGCTCATCTCGTGGAACACTCGAAAGCGGGCAAGCAGATGATCTTTCCATCAACAGCAACGACAGCGACCTTGAAAATGATATCGAAGACGATGAGCAAAGTGGCCCAATCATTGAATTCACGGAGGAGCAACTCCTACATTTTGGAAAAGACTGGGAGGAACTCAAATGGGAGCATGGACTGACCCAATTGGGTCTAGCAAACAAGATTGCAGACGTTATTATTTCCTGCTTGAAGTCTTGTATTCACAAGAAGGGGGCGAGAATGAAGATTGTCGAAGACCAGCTTCGTCAGTACGTTGTTCGGATTGCTGACATGTATCATGCAAAGAATCCCTACCACAACTTTCATCAAGCTGCCCAAGTCTTTCTTCGTGCTGTCTTCCTTTGGGAAAGTCTAAGCCGTGATGAAGACAACCGTCCGAGATATGGCCTCGGTTACGATCCTTGGGATCGCTTTGTACTTCTTTTCAGTGCTCTTGTGCACAATATTGATTGCGATGGTGTCTCAAACTCGCAACTGGAAACTGAAAACGATCTTGTGTTTCAGCTATACAAGGGAAAGAAGTCGTACCAGCAAAGAAAATCCTTCGCGACTGCACTTGAAGTACTCGAAGAAGACTTTGGGGATCTACACGAGGAGATTGCGTTCGGAAACCCCACGTTCAGGAGCTCCGTTCGGAAAGCAATACTCTCGACGGACATTGAATCAGAAGACAAGTTGCATGATCTTTTGCGCAAGTGCGAGGAGCAAAATACGAAACCATCCGTCGATGAGAAGGCAGCAAAAGCAAAGAACGAATCCAATGTCTGTCTCCTCCTTGCGATGGCTGCGTTGGGTCACTACAGCCAAGGATTCGATCTCTTCTTGAGTTTCAATCGTCTTCACTTTCAGGAGCAAACGCAGGCACACAAGCTTGGTAGGGGCGAAGACAAGCGGGGGAGCTGGTACGATGAACAAGCAGCGTTCTTCAAAGATTGCATTCTGCCGCTGGTAAAGCAGGTGCAGCTAGTACTTCCAGATGTAACTTACCTTGAAGAAGGGGCGACGATTAATGTCAATCTTTGGGAAGAAAGTGGGAAAGAGTGGCTTGCGGCTAGTATGCTTCCTGGCGCAAAAGTACAGGACTTTTTGGGCGGCCAGAGGTCGGGTGATCCAATGGAGGAACTTGTATCTGCAAATGTCAATATCCTCGAGTCACTTTTGAGAGAAGTCATGGCAAGCCATGATGTGACTCAAGGAACAGGACATCTTGACCACGATTCGTCAACGAGGGTTAGCAATCCGCGTGACGAGATTCAGCTAGCGATCCAAATGAAAAAGTCTCTGACGAAGGGTCTATCAGCTTCATCTAATCCCCAACTAGTCTCAGTCGTGAAATTGGAGCTAGTCGACTTTGTTGTAACCATTGCAGCTGGGTACGAAAGCAATCGGTTCCATAGCTTCCTACACGCAAGTCAAGTTGCCCATTTAGCCAATTTACTGGTCAAGGGTATCCATTCCCCTGAAGGGTCCAAAGATGCCAGCGATATTGCAGATGACCCTCTTGCTCGCTTTGCGATTGTCTTGTCTGCGTTGGTGCATGATGTTGGTCACACTGGAGTCCCTAACAGTCAACTCGCAGAAGAACAGCCGGAACTTGCCAACAAGTACCAAAACAAGAGTATCGCTGAGCAAAATTCGATCGACACAGCTTGGGCGATTCTCATGTCCAGCAAGTTCAAGAATCTCCAGCGCTGTATATTCGAGTCGGTCGGCGAACGAGAGCGCTTCCGTCAGCTACTCGTCAACTGCGTCATGGCGACTGATATTTTCGACCAAGATTTGAGAGCAATGCGGAAGTCACGTTGGGATAAGGCTTTCTCGGACGATGAAGCATCGTTGGGCTCTGGTGAAGAAGAGGGCGGGCAGTACAAGGCCACGATTGTCATTGAACACATCATGCAAGCATCCGATGTAGCCCATACCATGCAAGAGTGGGAGATCTACCGTCAATGGAACGAGAGCCTCTTTAGAGAAATGCACGATGCGTACACCGAGGGTAGATCTACAAAGGATCCATCTGATGGTTGGTACGAGGGCGAGCTTTGGTTTTTCGATAATTGGGTGATTCCATTGGCTCAGAATCTGAAGGAGTGTGGAGTCTTGGATATCGTGAGCGATCAGTTGGTGAAGCAAGCGAGGAGCAATCGTGCAAAGTGGGAATTGGAAGGGGAGGATATAGCCAGGGGTCTTCTTCTCAGCAAGCCAAAGCTACAGCGATGGGGATCGCAAATGAGTGGTCAAGGCTCGATTGCATCTGCTAGTAGCGCTGGAACAGAAGCTATACTGACGTCACACTACGTCAGCGAGGTTGAATCTCTTTCTAGAATGGTGAAGCGGTACGAACGCAAAATGGACGCTGCTGTTGGGAACCTAATTGCAGTAGCTTACAAGGGGCAGAAGAGTGGAAAAGAGCTTCGAAAGCAGAAATGGTCAGACGTTCACAAGCACTTCAAGCAGCAAGACTGGTATCGAGTTTTCTCGGATGATGAAGACGAAGACCTTGCAAGTAATGATGGTAGTGAAGATATGGACGTGTCGCTTGGCAGACAAGGAAGGACTGTTCAGTTTTCAGCGGAAGCATCCATCTCTGATCGCGACAGCGTAATCACCCATCTTTCCATAGCTGAAAAGATCATGGACGAGGCGAAAACACAAGATAGCACATAATTGTATTACTTTATAATGAATATACATGTATATAGAAAGAAAGGAATATCTGTTTTAAAATACACAGGTGTCCGAAACCTGAAGGAGACAGTACGAGATTCAAATTAAACATGTATTGCACTAGACTGGCGGGATCTCCACAAGATGTAAAGTCCTGCGTCCTTTTCTTTCCCCCTCTGCCTATTCTCTTGTGAATGACTCCAAACTGTTCTCCTTCCCCCCCGGCAGCTGTCGTTAATGACAGTACAAAGTAATCTTGACTCGTTCACGAGGCGTCCACTCACGGTAACTTGTTCCTACTTTTTCGTTGGCTTTCGAAATATTGGATTATGGCGAATACATCGAATCCGTTTTTAAAAATTCAAAAGTGTATTTAAAATTTAAAAATTAAAATTAATAACCTCATCTTCGATGCCCACCCCCAAAAATATATATTCACCATTGGCATCGTAGAATCCGGAGCTACTAAATTGGTGAAACGACTTCACTTTGCGTGGTCTTGGCTGTGGTCTTCCAGTATCAAGATTAGTCAACAAGATTGCCAGTCAAATCAACCTATTCCCCCTCTTCTTGGATGGCACCCATTTTGACATCAACCATTCCGGTACACCGCTCGATCATCTCTTGCACAATCCTCTCACCGTCAACTTCCCACTGCCTCCTGTTCTCCATTGCGTGGAACAAACCTTCGTCACTGGCTACACCAAACACACCACACTCGTCCAGCTTCCTCGCAAGTGGAATTATATAGTTGTTGAAAAACCATAGCTCCCCCTTGTACCATCCCTATGAGTAACAACAACAACGAAAAAGAAATAATGATAAGTCCATTGCCAATAAGTGGTTGAAAGCGAAGGAATGAAACGAATACTTACAAGAGCAGGGTTCTTTGCAACCCGTCCCTGCTTCCATCCTTGATACATCTCCTCAAACAGCTTCTCGTTCCATTTTTGGTATATCGCCCAGTGTTGCATCTACGAGTAACAGCAGAACCACCCTGTTAGTAAGGACTTTTTGACTTTCAACGAAACATGAACAAGATCACCATCCAACTTACAGTGTGAGCGACATCAGAAGCCTGAATGATGTGTTCAATGACAATCGTCGCCTTTCGATTGGTGCTGTCTAGCTTTGTGGAATTTCCAATTCCGGAAGAACTCGAGTTGGAGGATACAGTCTGGCTGGAATCGTCTTCATGAAAGGCACTGTAGGAAACAAGATAGAAGCGAAGTGAGGGTACAAATCAATAAGTCTAAGATACCACGACCAACGGTCTTACCTTTCCCATCTCATGTTGCGCAACGCCTTCAGCTCTGGATCGAAAATGTCGGTTGCCAGGACGCAGTTGACAACCAAATGTCGGAAGCGCAGGAATTCAACACGGTTGCAAAAGATGCACTGCTGTAGCTCTTTATACTTTGGTTGCATCAAGAGGTCCCATCCCAAGTCCACCGAGTTCTGCTCTGCAACGCTTTGGTTCCTGTATCGCTCAGCCAGCTCTGGGTTCTCTATTGCTAGCTGTCCATTACTTACCCCTCGGTGGTCAATGTCGTGGATGAGCGCACTGAACACAACTGCGAAATGCGTGAGGGGATCGGACGTAATACCGAATGTATAGGCATGTAGATCGTTCGCAACCTTGCTTAGGTTTTTGGTCTCGTAGTTGACGTTTTCGGGCGTCGAAACTCGCTCAAGCAGCTTATGAGCTGCCATAACGACGTGACAAGCATGTTCGAAGTTATGGAATGGATTACTGTGGTACAATGCCGCGATCTCTTTGATCAACGATTTCAGCTGTTCCTCTACCACGTCTGGTATCGTTAGAGAAGACTGCTTGGTCCGTGCTCGCTTTGCCTTGGCCTTGTCGAATGCTGGAAGGCTAATGATGGCTTGGACCTCGTCCAGAACGACAGTTTCACGTTGATAGAACGTTGTGATATCTTCATCAGTGGAACCCTTTTTGCCATCTCGAAAAGCCAGGATAGGTACTAAAAGACGAAGAAGCGACTGTGCCTGCCATTCAATCAAACGATTCTCCTTGTCGCTTCCTTCAGCATCCCCTACCACTAGCGCTTCTTCGTCGTCTTCATCCCATAACCCGTTATCAACTGAACCAATAGATAGATTCGAACAATAAGACGAATCTGTCTCCTGTTTGTCCGCGTCATTCGCTTTTGTTCTACGAGTAAGATAGTATCCTTGAATGTGGGGACCACCCAGTGTATCGCGGCGGGGTTCTATCCATTTTTTCCTTCCGGCTGAGACTAGTAGGTCCGCAGTCTTCTGGCAGAACTGGATTCGGTTGACTGCACTGGTCTTGTTCAATTCCGAAGCACGTTTGACAGTTGGCCCTGCGTCAGAACAGCCATAGGTGCAAGAGATTAGTAGGTTCAAATCCAACATGATGCGTCAACCAATAATGGCCCTTACCAAATAGATGAAACTTTGAAGTTGCCCCAAACAAGACCCCAGCAGTTACGGGTCCGCTGGATATCCCCATTCGTATCTCTAGACCGCCAGTTGCAGGACCGAGCTCTTTCTCCAGCTCCCTTGTCAATCGAAAAAACGCCATTTGGCATTCTTGAGCAAAACGGACCATTCTTTCAGCATGATCTGGTTGTGCATCTGGAAGTCCTGTTACTGCCATGTACTTGTCTGAAGAAACGAATCATTTTGGTAAGATTGGGTATTCCTTTGAAGAAAATGAGCCCCACTCGACTGAATATATTGACTCACCTCCCAGTGTGTCGACTTTGAAGACGTTGCGTTTTCGAGCGATCTTATCAAAATGAAAAAAGGCAGTTTGAAGCAGCTTGAAAACATGTCGAGGCTCACGCTCAGACGCGAACGATGAGAATCCCACAATGTCAGCAAAGAAAACGGTCGTCGAAGGATAGAAGTCTGCAATCGGTTTATGGTTCAGTAGTTGCTTTTCCATTGCTGGAGTGAGATCTCGGATCTTTGCTTGGTCGTCCACAAACATTCTCATTCGAAGCTTCTGCGGCTGGGACACATCTTCAAGGTAGCGAGTCTTCATTTGAAGGAACTTCTGCTTCTGCACGAGAATTGCAAAAATAAGCAAGGACACCCCCAACGACACCACAACTGCAGCTGCAATCGCCCAACCAAACCAGCTGGCGGCAGCCGATTTGTACACGATAGTGATTTCCCATAGATCATCGACAGTGTCCAGCGTGATGGAAACACTATGGTCAAATCTGTCAGCTTCATAGTCGTCCGTCTTGGCCAAGAGGACCTCGCTGATCGTCTCCTCGCCCGTTTCGACATTGGTTACAACATCGTCCCGCGTCAGTTGGAATCCTTTTCCTTGTTCTTGGAAGCGCGAGAAGATATCACTACGATCAATCAATGCCTGCCAATTGATGATGGACTCGACAGATCCCCATAGATTGTAACCCATGCCATCTAAAGGGAGAGTGTGATTGTTGGACCGAACTGGAAGAGAAGCGATGAAAGCTTTCTCGACGGCAGGGTAGCATTCCCCACCCTCAGCGCATTGTCGTAATGTAAGAGGTCCCGCAATGTAGACATCTTCAGACTGAACCACACCTCTGGAAAAGGCAATCCGGTTAGGATCGGAAATCAAATCCAGGCCGATTGCTTCTGTATTGTCCAGGAATACCCCTTCTTCAAAATCTTCTGTATTGTTGAGGGGATAACTGTAACAGACGACTTGATAGGGTACAAGTTGGAGTGAAACCATGACTCCTTCCATCTTGGCGTTCTCTTTGAGCGTTTGAGCAACCCTATTGAACCTTTCAAGTACAGTGGGATCATCGCATATCCCGGAAACGTTTCGAAGAGAGAAGGGATCTGGATCAGGCAACAAGGGACGGGATCCTTCCTCACCAACGGGTCCGATTCTGTCCGCGAGACCATAGAATTCTGGGATCTCACCAACGAACTGAGCAAGGGAAAATAGTGGAAGGATGACTCGGTCAAGTTGATCCGCTAAAGACACGATATACAAGTGGACAAGTGAGATTCTAAAGAACAGTGCAGCTAGTACCATTCTGAACAAAATTGTACGTACAGAACCATCTTCCTGTCTCGATCGCAAGATCAGAAGCCAGCTCTTCTTCTTTCCCGTTCTGATTGCTTGCAATATAGACAATGAGTGGAAGGGTAATGCCACACAAAAGCACGATGCTTAAAAGTGTGGAAATCCAGATGTGTGGATGACGCTTGGCAATTCGGACATATTCCTGTATCGCTTCCAGGGAAGATTCCCAAGTGGTGCAGCAAGATACGTTTTCGTTTTGTCGCCGAATGGATTCCAAATCTGCCAATTCCATTGATACCAGGTTGTTTGCTCTCTCAGAGCCTGTCAGAGACCCAGATCGAGTTTGGGCAGTTTCCTTTGAGATCTTGCTCATTGTACCTTTTCACCTTTTGTCTCTTTCAATTGAAACAAATTGTGCGTTCTTGGAATGTTTTGACAAGAGCAGCACGGAATCAAATACTGAATGTGCAAAAACTCTGCTTTGGTTATGGAAGCAACCGAAAATTGGCACTCAATTCCGAGAAAGAGGAGCCGAAAATATGAGAACTTTGAAAGTCAAACATTTAATGATTTGGGAAAGTAGAATATTCAATATGTCCACTTTCGTACATGTGGAATAGGGCCATTCGGTCATATTTATTAGAAAGAATATCGTGAGGTCACACAAGTTTTAGGGTCTTGGAACTTGGAGAAAGCACAGGAAATAAGCACAAAGTCTTCTCAAGACACGTGGTGGATGTATCAGCAGTACCGGTACAGTACGAGTAGTGCCGAAAATACGAAAGCCTTATTATTCAGACATTTAACGATGTCAAATTTTCATAAATGTGGAATACGAAAGATACAAGAATGGATAGGCCCTACCGGTATACGGTCTTCGACGTTAGTTCGAATGTTTTTTTCTGTATACCTTTTCACAATGTATTTTAAAAAAAACAAAGTGAAGTGGTACGATACATGAAGATTCGAGTGCTGAACATGAAGATTCGAGCGCTGACTTGTTTGCTCCAACCAAAGAGACAGCCCAAGCGCAGCGATAGTCCTACTACATCATGCACGTACCTGGCGAATAATGTTGCAACTGCTGGCAAATGACAAAATGATTCAGCGCAAAAAGTGAGGCACGACAATCGTGGAACAAAAGTACCTTGTTGGTGTCACCACGCAGGAAACGACAAATTTGTGGTGATTGATGGTTCTTCCTGGAGCGTATTGTAGAAGCTACTATGAACCACTCCACCAGGAACTTGTATTTCTTCTTTGATCTGTTTGTTACACAGCATTTGGGGAAGCCTGTACATACCACTGCCTTCATTTAGAGCTACGAAAAGTCTTATTTGAAGTATTCTACCGTCGGTGGCTATAATTATGTGGTCCTTTTGATGGTGGTTGATAGTTCACAAAGTGGTTGTTGAGCTATTCATCGAATGGTCACTCGTCGATGATACCAGCTCCGGTACGGGATGAAGAACAAGCCACCTCCTGTTTCTTCGAAAAATAGCTATTGTGGAATCATATTGTTGAATCAACATCATTCGTCAGCATGAACAACAACAACAACAACAACAACAAAAACAAAAACAAAACGCAGAGTTGGCTCTTTCCATTATAGTAGATATCCTGTCGTTGTCATTTCTGTCGTCACGGTATCGATGGAACCCTAGACCATTAGAGCAATGTTACGCTCGAGATCCATTCATTCAATAATGCAACCACAGCCCCATGCCTGGCTGTATAATTTCCAATCTTCAGAAAAGTATACTAGCTACTCCCACTTTGCGTTTGGACACTACAAGGATGTTCATTGTAGCCAAGCAGGCAAGCAATCACCAAGGCCTATGGCAATATAGAAGTGTGGGGTGTTATTAGAGGCTATACTATACAGACATTATTCGTCCATACAGTACCATACAAGTACCAGGCACCGAGTATCTTATGTGACAAATAATTAAGTTCAAAAAGGTACATGTTTAGGCTCATGCCACAACGTCAGTCCTTCCATCCGAAATGACAGATGGTGGATACCAAACAATATGTAAAAATAGAGAAGAAACGAGATCTGCGTATCTGCGTATCTGCGTGTAAAGTTCGAATGAATGAATATAATAAGATTGTCAGCTAATACCGTATATTATAGTACCATTGTAGTCATTGTATTCCTTGCAATACCGGTACTGTATTATTAATAATACCTGCATATTCAATATTGTATCTGCATCAGAGCACAACAGTGACAATGAGCGAATCCCATGAAAACGACAACAATGACAATGACAATGGCAATAATGGCAACGCCAACGCCAACGCCAACCCTACACTAGGACCTCGAAAATCCAAGAAACGAGAAAGCATGGCAGTCTTCTTTGACGGAGCTCCACTTTTCAATATGGACGACGACGATGAGTTGGAACCTAGTAGTACTTTACCCATGGTTGGTGACGTAGAAAGTATTAATACTAATTCTAGAAGAGGAGCTGTCAAGCGGAATAGTTTGGCTGTGCCTTCCGAGACGCAAACAGTAGGCGCTTCCGAAGGCTCCAAGAGTCCAATGTCCAACAAGTACACCGCAAGAGAACACAAATTCATCGTTGCCATCGCCATGATTCTTGCCTTTAACTCTGGCTTCAGCAATGGGGTTTGTCTCAGTGGCATTCTTACTCCACCGCATCTCAGGTGGCAGTCTCAGTCCACTTCTGGCTTTACCGGTGGATACACCAAATCGGCTCTGGCGTTGGCCGACCAAGAAGGAAATTACATTGAAGGATTTTCTCAAGTGGAGTTTTTTGGATATCAGCTCTTAATGATTTTCAGTTTCATGGGAGGTTCTTGTATCAGTGCCTTGATGAATCCAAGACCAGCTCCTTGGAGGTAAGAAATATACTATTATGCCGGACGGAGTCCTCTCTCTCTCTATATATATATATACCGGTATACATATGTATTATGCATGCTCATACCATGCACAGCCCACGACCTTGACTCATCCATATGCTATTGCTTTTGCTTTGTCTTGTTTTTCTTTTTGTTGTTTATTTTGTTTATTTGGCTACATACCGGTAGATTGGCTCCAATGTATGCTCCCACCTTCTTCATTGGTGGAGTATTCATGTGCATTGCTGCCGTCTTGAGTGTGGAAGATATATCGGGCACGGCACATTTTTATTATTTTGTGGCGGCTGCCAATGGGATTCAAAATGGAATCTCAAGCATGTATTCCGCCAATCTCATTCGAACCACACATCTGACCGGAGCAAGTACGGATATTGGATTGTTTATTGGACAAGCCATTCGAGGAAACAATAAAAATACTTGGAAATTGAGAATTTTGATTGCATTGGCACTGTCGTTTTGGACTGGAGGACTATTGTCATTTTGGGCAGTTCGAGTTTGGTTGCAATATACCCTCTTGGTCAATGCCGCCATTTTTGGATTTGTATTTTGTCTATGCGTTTGGTTCTTGGCCCATAATTTGCACATTCCGGCGCATAGAGCCTTGCAAGGAACGTGGCATTGGCAAAAGGCATTGCATGACATTGGATATCGATCGGGACAAGATGGCGCGGCACAATCCAAAGAAGCCTTGAAAGAAATATTTTCAAAGATGGACATTGATGGAAATGGGGATGTCAATAGAGAAGAATTCATCAGGGGTCTCAAGGCAGCTGGCATGAACGAGGTCTCGCAAAAACAATTCAATGCCATGTTTGATGTATGTGATACCAGTGGAGATGGGACTATTAGTTTTCAAGAATTTCAACAATTGGTGGAAGGAGACAATGCGTTGGTGGGTTAGTATTTTAATAGTTGTAGCATTTTTCTATATTCGTAGTATGGTAGTGTACTTTTAAAAATAATACTCTGCACATTTATAGGTAGATATTTGTGATAGTTGATTAGTTGCTTGAATGCATAGGATCCTAGTTGCTCTTAGTTGGGATATAGTTTTGGATAGGTTGATGATATCTATTTTTAGGTACAGCAAATCGTTTGTTTGTATGTATTCTATATATTTTACAGTTTATTATATCGCAGCGGCGGCATCATAACAAATGACCCATTCAAGTCCATCATATTATGCCCTCACAATCGAAAAAGAGCTTCGGCATTGTCTGCATGAGATCTATACCAATCCTGATCCTTGAAATGCTTATGGACATCCGACAACTCTTGCTGCTCGAGGTCCGATGGAAGTTGCCCTTTGTATGCCAGCGCAATCAGATTCCCCAAAACTGCTTCATACTTGCGTTCATAGCGAGCCATCACTTTTGACACAGATTCCGCTTCAGTCACCATCTGAGATGCCAGATAACTGGCGGAACTGCCTGAATGTTCACTAGCAGCAGAGAGCGAATGAGAGCAGCAGCTTGAACGAGTATCCGACTGGATAGTAGAACACATTTCTTGGCTAATCTGCTTGCCCTCCAACTGCCATCTACGTCGGTTACTTCGAGCCTGCTTCACCAACTGATCGCTCACGATATCCAAGACTCCACATGCCTTCAAGTTCTGAGCCAATGGAATCACCCAGTGGTCGAAAAACCAAAGCTCGCCCTCGTACCAACCATCAGATGGATCCTTTGTAGATCTACCCTCGGTGTACGCATCGTGCAATTCCCTATAGAGACTCTCGTTCCATTGACAGTAGATCTCCCAATCTTGCATTGTATGAGCTACATCGGATGTTTGCATGATGTGCTCAATGGCACTTGTGGCCTTGCAGTGCGCTTCCTCATCTCCGGAGAAGACTTTCTCCCACCTTGACTGTCGCAATACTCGCAAGTCTTGGTCGAAAATGTCAGTGGCCATCACACAGTTCACAAGTAGCTGGCGGAATCGAGCTTTCTCTTGTTTCGATTCGAAGAGGCAACATTGCAGTTTCTTGAACTTGGGAGACATCAGAATCTCCCAAGCCGTATCGATCGAGTTTTGCTCAGCAATACTCTTGCGACTATACTTATCTGCAAGTTCTGGCTGTTCTTCGGCAAGCTGACTGTTAGGGACTCCAGTGTGACCAATATCATGCACCAACGCAGACAAGACAATCACAAAACGAGCAAGCGGATCATGCGCAATATTGCTGGCCCCGTTGGACCCTTCCGTTGAATGGATACACTTGACAAGAAGATTCGCCATGTGTGCAACATGACTTGCATGCAAGAAGTTGTGGAATTGATTACTTTCATATCCAGCGACAATTGTCACGACAAAGTCTCTCAATTCGGAACGAATGTCAGCTCCAACTTGGTGAATAGTACTTGTGCCATTTCCAGACTTGATGGTCGACTTCTTCATTTCGATGAACATCTGGATCTCCTCATAGGGATTTCGTGAAGTCGACTCCACTCCGTCATCCAGGTACCTTGACTCGTTCCCGTTTCGAGTAGTCATGACCTGCGTCAACAGAGTCTCAAGGGTAGCAACGTTGACAGACACAAGCTTTTCCACTTGATACTTCGATATGACGCTGCCTTCGATTACCCCATGGAGCTTTGCTTTCTTTAGCTTACTAGCTACCATCCACTCTTGTCCCCTCTTGTCCCAAAAGGCAATATTTTCCGCTGCACCTTCTTCCAAGTATCCAGAAAGCGGTAACACAGGTAATACTTCTTCGATCAACGGAAGTAAGACATCCTTCATGAACATGCTCTGCTCGTAATACCAGCTTTCTGCACTGTTACTATCGGAAGCCTTCATCGCTTTGTCATACTCTTCACCGCAGTACTGCAGGAACTGATCAAGTGATTGTGTGCATTGTCCGACTGTAGCCACGGCCAAGATGAGTCCGATGTTGGCCGTATTACGTTGCCGACTTTGTCGCTCATCCGCGCAATTATCCATTGAATTCAGTTTGGCACAATTTCCAAGCATTTCGCGAACTGTGTTTTCATTTTCTAAGTCTGTACAGAGGACTGCCTTGCGTACCATGATTGTGAAGTTCGGACATCCAAAGGTGATCTCATCATATAACTCTCCAAACTCGGTTTCTAGCAGAGTGAATGCAAAGTCGGCCGATCGTCTCTCCTGACAAGATTGTAGCCCTTCGTACATCTGGGCAACAATATGCTTTTCCCTCTCCAGAGTGGCGTTCGTGGAACCAGTATGCTTGACTCGATGGATAAAAGCACTGAAAAGAAGAGTAAAATGATCCCAAGGGTTGGCACCAAGCGCGTATGGAGATCTCTCATTCGGATCCCTAGCTTCCCAAAGTGAGTTGCATCTGAAAAGAGTTTGTGTGATGTTGTGTAGCTGCGATCGTTCAGATCTTGCCAGATATATGTTTGCTATGGAGGAGACGAATGCACGAAGCTGCTCTTGCATGATTCCAATATTCTGAGTGCACGACTCTAGCGATGTCATTAACATGTCAAAAATGGTGGATCCCATCTCTGATTGCGATGAGGTCTCATCGCAGTGGAGTTGTTTCCAATAATTGATTCGTTTCTCTGGTGCCAAATCGACTACAACAGGACAAATGGCACAATCGTTTCCATTCATCTCTTCAATGCGGCCACAAGATGCATTTGCATCCGGTATTGATGATTGCGAAGATTCACTCGCATCCTGGCCCTCTGTTGAAGTTTCATCTAGACCTTCCTTGTCAGGGGAATTGTGGAACATTTCTCCACCTCGTTCAAAGTAGCGCCTCTTCTTCCACGAGTTTCTTCCAAGTATTTCCAGCACCTGCCTTGAAAGACTTGCCAAGGATTCTTCATTGGCTGCAGGATTTTCCTCTGTAGCGCTCTCCAGCCAATAGGTGTAACACTCTCCCTTGCCCTTCATATCAACAAGACCACGTGCCCTAAATTTGTACTGACTACTGTCTTTTTTCGAGTCACGTTCGACTCTATCATACAGCACACTCGAGCATTGAATCTTCCCTGCCAAACCAGTCGACTCATGTCGAGACGCCGTGTTTACCATGTCACCTACAAAAGAATAACAGCTTCCATAAGATTCATTGATTCTGATGCAACATATTCTGAAGCCACATATCTTCACAATACGTACCGAACAAACAGTAATGAGGAGCCAATGTTCCAACAATACCAGAAGTACAGCTACCAGTGTGGATTCCAATTCGAAGCTGAATCGGCGATCCATCGATAGGAGACTTGACGTGCTGGACACACTCCTGAACTGCCAAAGCGAAGTTCGCCATCTTCTCAGCGTGGTAGTCATCAGGATTTATTAGCCCAGAAGCACACATGTACGAATCACCAACAGTCTCGACCTTATAGAGATCAAAGTGACTGGCGAGAAAGTCCATCACTGAATACAGTTGATTCATCATGTCGATGACATCCCACGGTTCGACTTGATCGCAGATACTAGTGAATCCAACAACATCAGAGAAGAACAGTGTGACATGTTCATGGAAGGCTGGCTCAACAGTTTTTCCTCGAATAAGATCCTCGGCAACTTTTTGAGGAAGCATACTGTTGAGGAGAAGCTTTGATACGTCTCGTTCGGCCAATTTCTTGGTCAGCTTGTCAAGCTTGTGCGCTCTGCTTGCTTCCTTAGCAACGTGCTCCCCCAAAAATACGGCATCACGCTGGCAACTGGCAAGTGGAAGGTCGGACAGTGTGAGTCCCATATTCTGTAGATCCGTCACATTTCTAGCATCAGGAGCCAAAGTGAAAAGGACTTGATTGGACGATAGTCGAAACATGGAAGCCTTGAATCGGATAGTGCTATCCGCCATGGAAACTTTCTTTTGAAGCGCTGCAAGTAAATCTGATTGCTCGGCATCTGCAGTGGAGACCTTATTGTGCAAGGGTGAATTTTTGACTGTCGGAGTGAGAAAGAAGTTTTGATCGGATAACTTGTTGAGCGATTTCCAATCCCAAGAGGAAACCATCACAGGTCTGCGGTTAAATAACGGTTAGCACAGAATACCACAATAGCAATGATAGGCAATGTTGAGTGGAAATGGAGCTGCATACCTTGTAATTTCGACGATATCACCAATGTGCAAGCCTTGGATCTCCTGGTCTGACGTCTGAAGAAGTATTGATAGCTTTTCGCCGACATTGATTATAGAGAAATTTCCATCAACCAAGATGTGAAATGGGAACAACCTAGCCAGATGTTCCAATTCAAATTTGAAGGAACTTGCACCTGCTGTGACAGTGGATCTTGAAAGTGATTCTTCACCTGGAGCGATCTCAGCGGTTTCAGGCTGACTTGTGGATGATTCTGCTTCCTCTTTTGGCGCTTTCGACGATCCATGATGAAATGGACACTTCGATGTAGACACTGACGTTCTTGTGGTAGCAGTGTGGTCTTCTTGATGTCTTGTTGGTGTTTCTTGAGCATCAGCTTGAGCATCAGCTTCATCAGTAGTTCCCCCTTTGAGTTTTCGCCCTGAAAAAGGACATTTCGAAGGCATTTGAACTTTGTCAAAATTGACTGGTTGTTGGACTTCATTTCTTGGTGAAAGCTTCCACTGCTTTGATTTATCAACAGCTGAAATCTGCCATGTAGTGAAAGTGGCCCCATCTTCCCCTTGTAAGGAAGTTTGATTCATATTGACCTCCAAGTCGAAATGTTGAATTGCGAGTTCTTCCACAATTCCAACTACCAGCGGTACGAACATTGTACCTCGCATGGAGTAGTAGTGCAAAAGAATACTTCCATTATCTTGGCAGTCTTCACAGTCTTCGCACCAGAATACTGGCGCAATGAAGCCCTCTCCTGGAAAGCTTCTCTTGATGTATTCGTGCAAGGCATTCAGATTGGAAAGCCATTGGCGTAGCGTAGCCCCCTGACACCTCAACAGTTCAGTGTAACCACCTCCAGCGAGCTGGCTAGAGAGGAAATAGCGACCATAGGCTTTTAGAACATCAAAAGACGACACATGTAGAAGCTTTGTGGCCGCTTCCACAAGCGCAAAAAGTTCTTCGTCTTCATAGAAGGCTCTTCGAAGGAAAGCCTGGTCTTTCGTCTTGCATCCTGCAATCTCTTTTATCTTGTGCCAAGTTTCTGTTCCAAACTCGTCTACAACGAAGTCTTCGAGGACTTCAAATATTAAACCGTACATGATACTGCTGACTGTTGGTGCGGTATCAGATTACAAGTATTATGAGGAAAGGGAGAGACTGCATGTACCGGTACTGAGTTTTTTGGGCCTGACTTTCGATTGATTGATTTGTGATTGCGTGTCCGTTCGGATAATTTTGACCAGAAGCCAAATGAGTCATTAAGAAATTCTGCTCTGAAGACAATTTATGATGGGAGCAACAATAGACGAAGGAAAACCTTGTGCCGTTCAAAAGGCATTTTTGGACATTTTGTTAAGAGCACAACGTCACTTCTCTTATTGAGCAATTAATAAATTGAACAAAAATTCTCTTTTCGGGACCCTAACGGTGAAACGAATGTTGTGTTCGATTCATTCTTCTACGGCATAATTGTACCGACAAAACAATTAATGAAACGAAAATGACCGAGCCACGTCAAAGATTTTGGGTCCTTCGCGATTTTGGGCCCTTTGGGCCCTTGTGTGATATAAAATGCTTTTTTGTCGTCACTATTTTCCTTCCGATTAGAAGTTTTCATCACATTCAGTGCATGTAATAGTCTAAGCAAACTTTTCTGATGTCGCGCTTTCAATTTTGACCCAAAGCTTTTGACCAGAATATTTGTACTTTCATACTTCGTCATACAGCTCGCGTCAGTTTTAGACTACAAAAAGTGAAGATCGATCTAGTCGGATCGAAATTGGACTAAATCGACTACACCTCCAACCGAAATTCTGGAACAAGGGCAAGCATCCTGACATCATTTGTTTTGCCACAATTTCAACGCGCACGAAAAACGCGAAAAACACTAACTCCTCGTGCGTTCTTCCGTACTTGTACTTTCACACCAATAGGCTCGCGTTGCTACAGTAAATATAATATACAGTATGGTATACTATTACAACGATACTGTAGCTATACGATACGGTACAGTACGGTACGAGTATACCGGTACTGTATGTCACATGGAGGTTTTGGGTTGGGTTTGCCCAAATGGGGGTACGATTCGAGTACTCGTACAATAGTATGTTGAAAATCGACATTTTATGGTATAATAAATAATATATATTTTATGTAAAAGAAAGAAATAACTCTATATTTCTGTTAGTATACTTGCACACAAGTCCGATATGAGGAGATCGGACTTGGTTGCTGTGGTGCAATACTCCGGAGACGGTCACCTGACCGTCGTTCATAGAGTCAATATTGAATCCATTGGTTCGACCGCTTTCTTTCGTATAATCCCCGCGATGATGCCTATTATGTCGGTGAAAAGATACCGTACGCGGTTTTCGTCCCTTTCATTTTCTTCGCCGGCAGCGGCAGCCATTATAATCATCGCTCAGCACATTATCGCTCAGCTCATCACCGCATTGCCATTCCCTGCAGCCATGATGAAGAAGATGACGATGATGATGATGCTACGATTTGTGGCATATATAGAGTTCGTATGCCTTGCTCTATTGGTGATTGGAGGAATGCATTTAGTTTCTTGTCAACCACCAGGAAGCAAATTGACAATCAAGGTGAGTTGCTTCGTTGCTGCTGATGCTTGTCGTAAGTCAGTCGCCTATTTTTTTCTGGGGCAATCGCCTAACATCGTTTGAACTCGTTCTTGCATTGCAAAAGAGCCCAGTGGTACTGGCGAAAGAACTTGATCATAGAGATTCGCTCTTTGGACAGCTCCCATATGGCACATCTATTGAAGAAAAAATATTCTACGCAGACAATAAGCTCTGTGACCCCACGTTCGATGCATCGAAAAATGGATTTCCGAAACGAGAAGTGACCCAAGATGGCAAAATGCAGCCTTTCGCATCTACTTTCATTCTCCTGGTTGACCGTGGGGGATGCACTTTTGTAGCGAAGGTAACTGTTTGGCTCGATAATTTTTTTTTGTTATTTCATTCTCTCATTCCCGCTCCTTTGCTTCTTCCTTCTCCTATTTGAAGATTCGTAACGCCCAAAGACTTGGAGCTGTAGCAGCAATAATTGCTGATAATAGCTGCTTATGCTCAGATGCCGAATGTGTTGCTGGAGACGGAATTTGCGAAACGGCAGAACCAATCATGGCCGATGATGGCTCGGGAGCCGACATTTCGATCCCATCCATGTTAATCTTCAAAACTGATGCTGATGCTTTGATTCGTCACCTCAAGAACAATACAAACGTTGTCATGGAAATGAGCTATGAATTGCCATCGCCTGATGATCGGGTGGAATATGATATTTTCACGGTTCCAACAGACGGCGTAAGCAAGGCATTCCTAACAACCTGGAAAGCAATGGCCAAGGCGCTGGGGACGAGGGCATATTTTAAACCACACATGTACATCTATGATGGCGTTAGAACTCACTGCACGGGGACCGATGGACAGTCGCTGTGTTTCAATCTATGTACCAACGCCGGGAGATACTGTGCAACCGATCCGGACAACGACTTGGAGAAAGGAATATCGGGTGCTGATGTCGTGACGGAAAGTCTCCGACGAATTTGTATTTGGCGCATATATGGAGAAGGAGATGGCATTGGAGAGGCATGGTGGGATTACATCAACGAGTTTGAACGCCGTTGTAGCCCAGCAGATTATTTTGCAAACGAGGAATGTATAAAGGATGCCTACACTTATGCTGGTGTGGATGGAGACGTCATCGTTCGGTGTATGCTGGATTCGGGTGGGTTGGACACTGATGGTTCCAACTCGTTTCTAGATCAGGCAATCGCGGATCAGGCTACAATGGGGGTTGTCGTAATTCCAACCGTGTTTGTAAATACTGTGGCACTTCGAGGAACCATGAGTTCCGAGGCTGTGTTTGGAGCGATCTGCAGCGGTTTTGCGGAAGGCTCAGCTCCGGAAGTCTGTGCCAAATGCATGTCTTGTCCGTGGGACCTTGCTACGTGTGTAGAAACAAATGCATGCGTATCGGAGCCCGACGATACCAATGAGGCTTTAATGATCCATGGCGATGACCCTATGCTACTTGGTCTTGGTATGCTTTCGGGACTACTGGAATCCTTTGGCGGATCTGAAATATGTGGCTTGAATTTCGAGGAGATAGCAGAAGCGTCCAATGGTGGCAATGCTGATATACTCGACTCTCTTCAACTCGACGAGCAGTGTGATACATCGCAAGAAGAACAATTCCTCGGCACCTTGGAAACTTTTGAAACTTGTGCTGGTTGGGATATCAAAGAGGTTATAGAGACACTGCCGAGTGCGTTGGTCGGTTCGGCCATGCGATGTGCAATGAAGGCAATGTCATTAAAGGATGACGAAGCATTCGCTGAGACCATTGCGACAGAATGTGCGGGAGTTGTTCTGGCCGATAATCCACTTGGAAATGCCCTCAAGCGAATCCTTTTGGAACCCGAGAAGAACTGCCTGTGTATGGGTGAATTGTCAGAACTTCCAGAGTGCGAGCTGGATGTCTGGCCGATTCCAGTCTTCGGCTCTGGGTTGAAAACATGGTCTTGCCTTTTGACTAATCTTGGTTGTGGTTTTCTGGTCCCAATTTGCGAGTCAGAGCTGACCGCCCTTGATACTTGTTTGCCACTGAGCGATGACGCTGAAAACTTATGTGAAGCACCGGCAACATGTGAAGACTCTATGCTCCTTTCACTTCCACAATCGCTAGCAGGAATGCCGATCCCCGACTCTTGCCGTCAAACAAATCAGAACCGAATGAAGGGAGCCACTTCCAATGTCGTCGCTCGTTATAGTAAGTCTTGGTATCATCATATGCTTTGCTGTCTTGGTTGATCACATCTCTGACAAACCTTTGTTATCTATTCAGATTTCTTTGTGGAAAAGTGTGTCGACGATGTCGGTTTCTGGGATCTTCCTGCACCTTCATCCAATTACGTCGACCAATCATTTTCTTCTGATAAAGTTGGCGATAAGGACATTTCGAAGCCAGCAGAAGAACAGAGCGCTAGCACCGAGAAGTATAACGAGGAACTCGAAGAGAAGCAAGGAGATTTGTCCCAAAGCGAAACCAGCATCACTGAAGAAGTGACGACTCCCGAATCCACATCACCGTCTAGCTTTCTGACTGGCCTTATCACTGGTTGCATTGTTACCGCAGTGGTAGCCATCTCTGTCGTATTGTACCACAAAAAGTCAAGCAATAAGAAGACCGGCCCACAAGGAGGAGGCAATGACAAGAGAGGTTTGTACACATCGATCGAAATGACATGATGAACAAGGCGAGAGCGATTTCTGTGTATCCCATATGTGTCTCTTGATTGCATGATCAGTGTCACTCAACTGTGTACCAAAGTTCGCTTGGAATTACCGAGTTGAAGTAGAAGGTTCATCAACACGACACCTCGCGACACCTTGGATTCTCCCACACAACATCAATCAGATTGTAATTTGGTCAATTTATTTATTCTGTTGCCAGCATAATAGCGTTTCGCTGTCATTTGTCTATGATGTATGCGTCCAGTATTCTGGCATTCCGTAGGCTGGCATATTCCTCAATTCTCATTGCATCTTCCGTCAATTCGGTGATTGCTACTCCATTTTGTTGCACTTGCAGAGTATTCTACTTTCCATTCCGTTCCGTTCCTATCCCAAAGATTAGCTCACAGCTTATCTCTAGAGTATGACGCAAATGCCTGCGCGAATTTGCGATCATCTCTCTAGCGGGCATTCCATAGTACCGTAGGCCAGTTGAGAGCGCGACGAATCTGGCAAGTACATACCTCTCATTGGAAAAAGCATTGCATTTACTTGAGACGCAGTTGCCGTACTTGTCTTCTACTTCAACAACTGAATTGAAATAACCATGATCTTGATTGACATCATTTTTTTTGGCATCCTTCTTGTTGGACAGATGCATACTTCTCGCGGAACCCGATGAATAATCTTCGTAGTAGCCAAGACCGCGAACAGAGTCCTGTATCTCTCCGACCTTGCGTGTAGCCGTGCACGCTCCTTTGTCGCTGGTGCCCCGTCGCATTCTAATGCAATCGACTTAAGCTTCCAACAATGGATCTTGGGTCATATAGACGACAAGTTGCGACTCGGACCGAGTGCAGCGCCCTTGAGGCGGGGATACTCTTGTTATTCCTCACTACTGTCGTCGCTGTAAATCCTTGGTTCTTCGTTCTTCTTTGAAAAGCTACAGTACCAGGTACTACCCGCCAACCAATGATGACCAGTACTGGTACGCTCCTTTGCTATACCATGGAACAAGCTTCTACATCAGACTTTCTTGCAACAACCAGCATTCGATTTGATGAAAGCTTCTTTGACGACGATGTAGGCCTAGCCTATAGTACCGACCCATCGCCGCAGTGGATTCGAGACGGCACCAACGCCACCATGACACCCGCCACATGATACTGTACTAGGCATGCTGATCGGAGTCCCGATTACAGTGAAGGTCAAAGAGGAAACAACGGAACTAGCTGGCTAGTACGATACTAGCTAGCAACAAGCAGCATCCAGTTACTGTAAAGCAAGTCCACGATGAGTCGTCAACCAGCAATTGATTGGAGCAGTGTCAGATGCAAAACACTTTAGCGCGGAACGACAGCTAGATACAACAGTAGCTTTGGGGATTTATTCATTCATTCATTCAGCCATTCCGCATTCCCCAACTACATCGAATTGAGGGATCGTCGGTCGACAGCCGCCCCAGCCAGCATCACCCTTCGTTGTAATTGACACACCATCACCAGGACATGCATGCCACAGTGGGACAATCGAAAAAGTTGTTGATTACGTCGCTATTGCTTTGCTCCGAGCCATTAGTTTCGCGACTGCCTGGCGATGATTCACTCAAGTTCAAAGTGCAGGGTTTGGGCTTTTTCGCATAGCTACAGTAGAGTGGTTTCTTGAATTGAAGCTCGAAAATTTCAGGTCTTGTTAGTCGTATTTTGTCTGGCACCGGTGACCAGCTGACACTTTTATCATTCACTGATAATAAAATACCGTACCGGTGCATGTATGTGTACCAGGTACCTGGTACCAGGTAGGCACTCGTAGGTACGAACCATGTTCAAGGCACCGTCTCAAGTTTCAAAAAGTTTTAGTCGGCACTAACAAGTCTCAAGTCGGTCCTTGTCCTTCCATCCACCCGCAACCACGAAACCAGATGAGATGATTTTATTTTATAATATACGAGTAAAACTATTTCATGTTGTCGCACCGCAGGTCACAGATCACAGATCACAGCTCTCCCATTGTCCCTGCATACAGCCTGCGGTGAGTTTGTCAACGCGGCGCTATTTTCAAATTTGATTTTGTCAATGCTCTAGTTTCACCTCAGCACTCGTGCACAAGATGAGATAGTTAAGAGTCCTTTGGGTGGCAATAAATAACCTGGTCGTAAAGGACTTGTCATAAATGTGGAACAATGCTGCCATAAGTATATCAGTCTGGTTCGGGAATCACACATAATCGTCTTAGCTTTCGACATGCGTTAAGTTGATTCCCGGACGGAGATATCATTAAGTGTTGAACCGTTCCCGCGAGGTTTTCCACTTAACCAGCAAACATTTCTGGTGGTACTTTTGGAAAGGATTTATGCTACTATGAGCAGGACATCAGCTACGGTAGGCGCGATTGTAAACAAGAGTTCTCGCTATTTTTTTCGCACATGTACACAATTGATGGAACACAAATACCGGTGGGCAGGGTGTAGTACGGTAGGGATTGTACCTACTGTACGTGTGTGCAATATCCAAATCCCAAATTTGTCACGTAACTCTGCAAACGCAAACCGAAAAAGAATTTTCCTCTCATCACCTGAAGGTTGAGATCCAACTCACAATTAATTTTCAAAAGGCAATCGCAAAGATGAAGTTGAGTTTTGCCACATTCCTACTCTCGGTTGCCGCACAGGTACCGGTAGCCCAGGGAGAAGACGCTTTCGCCGAGGTAAGTTGATCTAGAGTTGAGCTCAGCTGAGCTCAGCTGAGCTCAGAATCGTAAAGACATGCAATAATGATGCTTACCGTACACTAACACCTTCAACTTCTATCTATCCATCCATTCATTCATTCGTTCGTTCAATCGTTCATTCGTTCATTCGTTCAATCCTATTCCATACTCGAAGCCTTTACACGCAATCCACGAAGATGAGGAGATTCATTTTGCTGAGCAAGGTTGCGTCGACTTGGCAGGAAGCGGCTGGTCTAAACTTCCCAAACTGGACGATCAACCTCAAGAGACAAATACTGGAATCGTATTTGATTGGTTTGGCACAAGTTACCTTGATGACTCCACAGCGGCAATTTCTGCATATAACGCGGCTCCTTCTACAGATGAAAGTAAATCCTATATCTTTATCAATGACAACGGAAATCTTTCTTTCGGAGGTGGTCTGGGCTTTAACAGACCAACCGGGTTTGCCATCGATGGTGGAACTTTAGAATCACAGTGGAATATGATCGCTCCCTTCTGGTCTGATGTTGACATCTCCGGAGGCAAGGTTGACGGTAACGTCTATTTCAAGACTGTCCTGGATGAGAACGGCCAAGGCTCCAAGTTTGTTGTCACTTGGAAAGAAGTGGCGAAGTTTGGAGGAGATGCAGCTGAACCCAAGGTCAACAGCTTCCAGGTGGTCCTCTCTGATTTCCGTTCGGCTGATCCCAAGATCTGCTTCTGCTACTGTCAGATGGAGTGGGCTACAACCTCTGAAGACTCTTTTCTTGTAAAAGATAACGATTTCGAACCTGCAACAGTTGGTATCAATCCGGCTAACGGCATTACTGACATTAACAACGGGTCTGTAGGCTTGAACAAATTCTTGCTAGGAACTTTCAGCACAGATACAAAAGACTTTGGAGGATATGGTTCTCTCAATAATGGTGTCAAGTATTTGCATGGCAAGGGGTTCTGCTTTGACCCAGAGATTGTGTTTCAAGAGAAACCAACTCCCACAGTTGTCACCTCTGGAGCTTGCGGAGACCCACATTTCAAAACTTGGAAGAATGAGCACTTCGAGTACCACGGACAGTGCGATCTTGTGCTCACCAAGGATGACAAGTTCGCTGATGGTCTGGGACTTGATGTCCACATCCGCACCAAGCTTGTTCGTTTCTGGAGTTACATCAAGAATGCTGTCATCCGCATTGGCGATGATGTTCTTGAGATTGAAGGTTCTGCCATGGAAGGAATCGATAAGGAAGTCCACTACTGGATCAACTACGAATACCAAGGAGAACTTACCGAGTTTGCTGGTTTCCCTGTTACCATCTCCTCCGAAGGAACCAAGAGCAACAAGAACTACATCACGATTGACTTGAACAGCAAATACCCAGGACAAAAGATTGTTCTCTCCACATTCAAGGAATTCGTCAAGGTTGATTTCAAAGGTGCAACTGCAGCTGCCTTTGGTAACACTGTTGGCATGTTGGGCGACTACAAGACCGGAAAGACAGTTGCCCGTGATGGAGCCACTGTCCTTGATAACTACTCTGAACTTGGACACGAATGGCAAGTTCTTCCATCTGATGGAAAGTACTTCCGCGAGGCGTCCGAGCCACAATTCCCAAAGAAGTGCATTGACCCAGAAGATCCTCAAGGAGAACGTCGAAGACGTCTGGCAGAGTCTACCATCTCTATGGAACAAGCGGAATCCGCCTGTGCCGGACTCAAGGATGCCTTGGATCGCAAGGACTGTGTCTATGATATCTTGGCTACTCAAGATATGGACATGGCTGGAGCTTTCTAAATCCTCCCTTACCGACTACCACGCACAATACTTGAGTTATTGTGGGTTAAACTGATTTACTTTTAATTTTATGTATATTGAAACCTTTTTTGTTGTCAACATGTACCAGTATTCTGTGGTTATGACTTTTGCCCACATTATTTCTTTATCAGTTGTGCTCCAAATTGACTTGTGGTTATAACAAGAAGTGTGATCCATGTCGGTTCGATTTTAGATTGCACAGACAACTGCAAGGATTACGATATTGTACAGTAGCCAGGGGGCTTTCTCGACCTTTCGACGATTGCCTGATGACTAGAGATTTCTCCATTTGCCGAAGCATGGAAGCGAGAAAGAGTCTGAAGTCTACCATACGAGTACTGTACCAGGTACTACCGTATGAAACGATACCGTACCCTTACTATAGTACCTAGCAGCTACAATTGGGGAATTATGAATCGGAATTGAAAATAGGGGGTAATCGATGGGTGACGTTCCACTTGGCACGCAATAACAACAACCACAACAACCACAACAATAATCTCATACCGGTATACCGGTATCATTGACAAAGAGGAAATAAAAGTCTCGTCTTTTACCACAGTCTGATATCCAAGATTTTTTAATTCACATCTTTTTAGCGACGCTTTCCAACCACTTTGCACGACAACGTCATAACAGTTCATTTCATTGTATTCTTAGTATAATACAGTAAATGTTGCAAATCCTTCGAACCTCCCTATTGACCGCCCTTTTGGCACTTCCAATTCAAGGCTTTGTGGCTACCTCAATCACCAGCAGTCAGCTTTCTACAGGACTTCAAGCATCCACTACTGATGATGCCACCTCCACAACCGATGACTTGCTGAATCCGAGCTACGAAATCGCACCTTTAAGCATTCGAATTGGACACGGATTTGATATTCATCGCATGGCACCTCTAGAAGAAGCTGGCCAACCAGTTGTCATTGGAGGTGTAGAGATCACGCATAAGGACCAGAAGGTATGTTTGTTTGTCATGTGTCTTGCGAAAAAAGGATGGATAAATTTGTTCCTTCTTGTGGTGATGGAAATGAAACGTCATCCTCCAATGAGACGAATCAATCTTGGTAAAGCTCTGAGGCTCTCTGGAGGATCTGTGAATTTTCTCTGGAGTCTTTGGCATCTGTTTCATCTTGATGTTGCTCGTTGTTCCGGCGTTGAATTTTTGTGAATCTCACTTTGGACCCTTGTCTCTTGTCCTTTCGAAAAAAAAGTGGACCGACAAGGACGGTCAATATGTACAAGCTGGCGGCATTTACGAAACCCAACTTGGTCTCATTGCCCATTCTGACGGAGATGTAATTTACCATTCCATTGTCGATGCCATTTTTGGAGCCCTCACCTTGCCAGACATTGGCCAAGTCTTTCAAGACACGGATCCCCGCTGGAAGGGATGTGATTCCTCCAAATTCATGGAACATGCTTACAAAGTGATGGATCAGTATGGTTACCAATTGGGAAACTGCGATGTCACCCTCATTCTGGAACGTCCCAAAGTAGCTGGATTCAAACCCGCCATGAAAGAGAACATTGTCCGATTACTTCATACGGAACCCGGTAGGGTCAACATCAAGGCCCGAACGCATGAAAAAGTTGACAGTGTAGGAGAATTGAGGAGCCTGAGCTGTCATGTTGTCTTGACTTTGGAGCGAAAGCCTGATGCAGGTGCAGATGAGGAAGATTAAGCGTCATATTGGAGCGAACTAGACAAGCTCAAGAAAAACTGAAACATTGTATGGATTCATTCATTCATTCATTGGGATGCCAAAGCTACAGTATTATATATGATACGAGATATTTTTCAAACCAACCTTCCAAAATAGAAAAGGATTGATTGAACATAGCCAATTCAATTTTGCATCATCTAGGCGAAGCATTGGCACTTCCAGTTGTCGTTTCCGCCGCTACGTTGCCAGCGGACAAGTCAGTGCCACTGGACGACGCTTCCATTCCTGCAGTAGCAGTGTTATTGTTATTATTGGTGCCATTGTCATCAGTTTGTTGCAAATACACCCGATCCCACAATTCATTTAGCATGTGCATACAAGCCTTATTGTTGGCCACCCATACCAAAAACTTGGCTGCCTGAGTTGGAGTTAGAATTGTCCGAATGGTGTTGAATTCTGACTCGAGAGAATCCCCGCATTGCAACAGACGGTTTCGTAGTTCGCCCAGTACGTTCAAACTATTCTTTAGGCATTCGTCCATTTCTTGTGCAACAAGGCGGGAATCCTTTAGGGCAGCAGCTTGGTTTGGGGTCACTTCCAATAATTCGACCAAGTGATTGAACAAGGATTTCATATCGGAAAAGGGCAGAGACTGTTGTGTGGCTTCAATCTCGGATGATGCGATAGTTGGTTCCATGTCCTGTAGTCGTGGAGCTTCTGTTGATTGTTCCGACGACCCTGGAGCCACAGGATTGCTTTCGCCGCCTCCAGATACTGGTGCATTCACGTTGACAGTAGTTGCATCGTTATCGTTGTCATTGTCGTTGTTGTTGTCATTGCCATTATCATCGCTTGCGTTGGTACTCGTACTCATTTCGTGCACATGGTTACTCATTTGCAGAGTCTTGACCAATACATTGGTGGTTTGGGTGGGCAATAGCAATCTTTCCACATTTCTCAAGTGAAATTCAATGGCCGAGCGCCTATCCCTTCCATAATCCGCAAACTTTTCCTTGTACTCTTCAATGGAAGCATAAATCTCAGATTCGGAAGCCCCACTCTTAAGTAGAGAATCCAAGGACTCCATCATTTTCTTCTGTTCCTGTTGGTTGCTGGCTTCAGCTTCTTCTCCAACCTACAGTACAGTATTCGTTTTGAAGCAATCGAGTGTGATGCATGATGTATGATATATTGATTGTGAGCATGGCTGTTTCAACAGAAACAATAAATCTATCAAGAGAGCATTGTGCAAACAGTACGGTACGGTACAGTAAAGTACAGTAAAGTACAGTACAGTACAGTAAAGTACAGTACAGTACGGTAAAGTACAGTGCAGTGCAGTGCAGTGCAATGCAGTGCAGTACAGTACAGTGCAATGCAGTGCAGTGCAGTGCAATGCAGTGCAGTGCAGTACAGTTCAATAGAATAGCTTTTGCTTACCTGCAATTGGAGTCGCAATCTGAGATTCTCTCCTTCCAAAACATTAATTTGACGCTGCAAATTCTCTGTTGCCTCCCTCTTACGACGTCGGCATTCTCTGGCACTGAGGCGATTCTTCTCCAATCGTCGGAGTTTCTTTTCACTGAGTGGTTCCCCATTGTGATTGGTAGTTTTGGTAGTCTTTGTAGTAGTCTTGGTGGTTCTAGAACTGGCACTGGCATTGGAAACTAAAGGACGTTTGTTGTTGCAGTTCTTGACGGAGGACGTTTCTGACATGGCGTTGCTCGCGTTATTGACGTTGTTGTTGGGTGGTAGTAAGGGTGCCAGATTGGTGTGCGGGAGAGGGCTGATACTGACACCATAGGTGCTATTGCTGGAAGCAAGAGTGTCGTTGGGACCACTTGGATGATTCATTCTATGATGTCAAAAGATACTTCTAGCGTTCCGCTTTTGTTATTGCTGCAATGTCAACTAGAGGTTAGTGTTACCTGGTAGTTGAAGGATAAAATAGGCTTTGTTGATCGATTTGAGATTTGGATTAGCGTTTGATGATGATCATCATCAATCATGTTTGGTACGTAATCCGGTGCGATTGTACCTATCGTATGAGTCAGTCGTCATGTCCGACACGTCCGCTCTGTCCGTCCGTCATGAGAAACCAAACGGACAAAGCTATTCGTACAGTACCGGTAGGACTTCCAATCTGAAATTGAAAATCGGAGCATGTTTGTACCGGTAGTATAGCACCAGGTACTCGCACCGGTACCCGGTACCGGTACGGTCTACTCAGATGTAAAAGAAAGAACCCACTTTCAACTTTGTACTTGTATGATGGCCTAAATCCTATACAGTAGCTATTTGTATGATAGTAGTTCTCATGAGGAATTCAAGATAGTCCTCCTACTATACAATATGTATAGAAGGGAATTCCTTGCTTTGTCTTTTTCTACAGCGTTGCTCCTGCAGAAAGTGTCTTCTAATTTGGGCGTTCTTTTGTTGTTTCTTTTGGAAGCAACGGTAGAGCATACAGCACCTGGTACTGTGCGTGGTGCAAGTGTACCTGGCTGAATGAGCGTAGAGTTCCTCGTCGAGCACCTCGTCGAGCACCTCGTCGAGCATTCATCGAATTGGACCCCAGTCCCCGACAGAGGAAAAGGCGTACCCACTATAGAGACTGTAGTCGTTGTTCGACAAGCCATCGGGAACATCCTTATTGTTCAAGTCTCGCTCGTCCAGGTGTGATTGATTGATTGATTGATTGATTGATTGATTCGGTTGTTGCGGAAGATTGATTCCAACTTTACTGGTGGACTTGGATCGGATGTTCATGTGAATACCCGTGCAAAGATGGTCAGCTGCTGGTCATAGAGTACTGTAGGCACACGTATACATCTACATCAAGAGGTAGCAACGACCACCCATTCACTCATTCGCTCATTCATTCGCATTGGGGCAAGTGTCCAATTGTCATCCTTCTTGATCTTTCTTGCGGATACAGTATCAGGTACTCACGACCAGAGCTTCCTTGTCAATACACTGTAAATGTCTCGACATTGAATCTTGAATTTAAACAGTTCCAATACTGCATTAAAATACAGTGGCATTATAGCTGGTATTAAATTAAATTAAATTAAAATATGTACTGAGCGTTTCAAAACTGTTCGACGGATTCTCGCCTCCGTCGATATTCCAATTTCCAATCGTTCCAACTGCCGTTATTTTTTTCCCTCAATTTGGATGATGTAAGCGGAACGCCTTGCTTCCGATTTTAAGGAAATTTCTTTTTCTATGATTTTGGATGGTTTTTGGTCGTTTTTGGCAATTTCCAACGATCGGAGTGGTCGGAAACGGAAGAGAGGGTCCAAGCAAGTTCACATGAACAGTGGAAAAATAATAAATCTGAACGACAGTTCCTATTTTGTTTCTGTGGCAGCAACTGAGGCGCGTTGCAACAAGCCTCTTCCATCAATAGCAGGCATCAGCCATCAGCCATCAGGAAGCCAGCACCCATAGAACCATTATCATTTGCTTCAGCAGATTGCAGTTCTCCCTTGTGCTTGCTGGTTGGTGTTCGAGTCGTAAGAGCTGGAGGAAGAAGACTGCAAAACAACAACAAGCAGTGTTAATAATTGATTGCAATTAATTCTGCAGGAATATCAATACCAATACCAATACCAATACCAATATCAATACTGCAGGTTTTATTGATACATACTGCTCGTACTTTTCACAATCACAATCACGCTTCGGGTACTCCGATGCAACCATCCCTACATCAACAGCAATATCAAAAGACAAAGCAAACAAAGCATCGTATTCTCACAGCAAGGATGGATTTCGGGGAGATTGAGGTCGAAAAGAAATACTATCCAATTGACGCAAATGAAATGGAAATAGAGGTCCAAAAACAGACGACGGAATGTGAAGAGATTGAAGTGGGCAAGAAGTATGAAATGGAGGTAGCCTATGGAGCAATACAAGTGGAAAAGAAGACGGACTACGGAGATGAGATTGAACTAGAAACGAAATATGACTTGGAGACGGGAAAGGAAATGGACTATGGACAACCACAAGTCCAAAGGAAATGTGACTATGGAGACGAGACTCAAGTGGAAAAGAAAATGGACTACGGAGAGATTGAAGTAGAAAAGAAAACAGACCATGGGGGCGAGATTGAAGTGGGAAAAAAGACCGACCATGGAGACGAGATCGAAGTCGAAAAGAAAGAGGAAAAATCTGATGGTGCTGACGACACAGCAAACGACGAGGGAGATGGGAGTGGCCGCAGGACTTTGGTAGGTGAAACAGACACAAAGGACAACAAAAGTCCCAAGAAAGCATTGTTCAAGAGTCTTAGTCCTAGTGCTGGTCTCATCAAACGACTAACACCCACTCGTCAAAAGAGGGCCTTGGCGAAAATAAAAACCATCAGCCTAAGTCGAAGCCGCTTGGATGTTCCACTTAACGACGATGAAGATACAACCGTCCAAGATGTTGCTGGCTCAACTTCAGATTCGCAAACCACCAGTCCCGACATTAGCGATACCCGCGCCAGCCCGGAAAACGTAGCTGATGACGACGATGATAACTCTCACGAAAGCCAAGTTTCAGAAAACGGAGATACCCTGACTTCACTGAGAAAAATTGGGAATCGACGGCGGCATGTTGGTATGGCAGGTCTATACTCCGCAGGACCGTCGCGATCTGAACCAAAATCGAGGCCTTCATTGTCGGGTCCTCCTCCGAGACCTACGCTAGCGAGACCAACACTGAATAGGCCATCCATGGCCGCATCCATGAGAATAAACAAATCGAATGCCGGTGGCCGCCAAATGGCGGGTCGGGGTAATTTGAGAAGAATACATAGTCAAAGGAATAAAGCGCCACAAATGAAAGTGCAAAACTTTCAGGACTATTTGAAAATGCAACAGATGCAATCCGTCAGGCGGTTCGACAATACTTGGAATGTGGACGAATCTGAAGAAGAAGAAGAAGAAGAAGAAAACCTTCTTGAGGTTGCCATGCCCTCCAAAAGCATCGCAGCTCGGCCATCCTACGAAAAAAGCTCGGAATTTAGCATGTCGTTTCGGGCATCCTCTCGGCCAAGGGATAGTCGCCGTGTGGCGTCCACGCAGGGCGTTACACATCTGGCCCAGAATGCGGATTGGTTTGAATTTCTGGACAATGTTAATGATGACGACGACGAAACTGAAAGGGACTTGGACGACTTCGATGTCGATAAAGATCAAGATGTAAGAACTCCCTTCTACTGCAGACCAAATCAGCGACAACGATGGGCTGCCAAGCAAGTTCTTCCTCACGTCAATTGGGGAGACCTCTTCTTTGATTTATTCTTTGTTTCCATGGCTGCCAACTTGGGAAACATGGTGGTAGGCGTTTTGCAAAAACCAGCAAACGTTGTTCGAGGCGTAATATACTTTGTTGGATGTTTTGGACCGCTATTCAACTCCTGGGAACACAAAACAAAGTACCAGGCAAGGTATAGCGTCAATGATCATGCTCATCAAATGTTTGATATTGCCCGCATCTTTGTAATTGGATTTGCTGTCTTACATATCAAATCACTCGATCTTTTCGCCGACCCAAAGTCAATCGAAATGGGCGTATTCACGTTCTCTCTCTCTGTGGATTCCATTTTTTCGTTCCTCGTCAATATGGAACTTTTCTTATACGCCAAGGGCGATAGAAGGGCCATTCAAACAGTTACGCGACGGAAAATGATCCAGAATGCAATCTTTGAGACACCCTACGTCATTGCGACTATTCTTGCAGCAATCTTTTTCTGGTCAGACGTTGCCACTGAAACAGAGCCAAAAGAGAATCATCTTTGGCGACTTGCCGATCTTCCGTTGACACTCTGTTGCGCCTCTTACTTGTTGCGCATCTGCACTCAAATTGGGATCATGCAATATCACAATCGAAGCAAGAAAATTGTAGATTTTCAAAATCGATTTGTCCCCCACAATATTGAATTTCTCATTCAGCGGTATGGGGAATGGGTCATGCTTATGATTGGAGAAAATGTCTTGGCACTCTTGATTGTGGAGACCATCGAATCCGTCGACTATTACATTGTCACGACAATAGGTATGTTCGATTTGTTGCGAATTGCTCGTCCAGCGGAGAATATATTTGGCTTGAGTTTTACGCCTTATTTGCGTCCTTTTGCTGCAATTGATCCCAAGTCAAAATACAGTATCAACTTTGGGTTTCAGAGGTCTCTCACTATCGCCCTTTTCCATTACAGGTGTTGTCACTGTCACCACACTTCACTTTTTGAAGCACGAATCGGATCCTCGAAAACCTTCTCGCCATGCTGTGAGTCGCTAGCAGTGCCTTCTTTTCTGCAGACGGGTGCTCACTGTCTCCTCACACGTCGTTCTCTTTGGTCTGATCACTGTAGTTATTACGAGGGACATCCAACGGATTGTTCTACTCAGTCTGCGTACAACTTTTTTCAATGACATTAATTGCGGTGAGTGTTTGTTACTTGTGTCAGCTGTCATTTCATCAATAAACAGTTGGGCTGACATTTGTTGTCGACCACAGTTCGGAGTCAGTCTGAGGATTTTCCTTGAAGCCATCTTGAAAGATTTCAACCAAGTCCCTTATGACATTGCTGATTCTGCAGTAGGCACACTCCACTGTATAACATTGACAGTTGTACTGTTTTCGCTGGAGCTTATTCACATGTCACACAGCAGTTCAGAAAGTGGACGCAGCGGATTCACATTTTGCAAGCACGAGGACTTTAGTGTCTCGCTGCTTTTCGTTGTTTCCGCCATTTGTAAGACAGTCCTGCTGCTCTTCACCGCCACCCTTCCACTTTGGAAAACGAATCCCGTCTTCTTGTCTGTATCAAGTAGCATGGTGACTGGTTTTTTCGCCCTTTCAAGAGTAGTTACGACAAGCTACCAACTCATGTCAAAACGGAAGAGGCATTCTGAAAAAGTGCGACAATCGAGGCTAGATGATGTGAGCATAGTGTCGTCCAGCCAAGCTGAGGATTCAGAAGGGTTTCAGATCGACAATATTGTGTCGGCGTAGTGTAATAGAATAGGAGGCAGATTGATACAACGAAGAAATAGCATCTAATAATAGAAAAAAAATCTAATGCAGTGCCCTACTCAAAATGGGGAGAGGAATAGGAATCGAATGTAACAAACAACAACACTTGAACACTGGTTTCACTCAGCGGCTTATGAAAACCAACCACCATGCTTCGGTTCTGATCGAGAGGTATGCTCGCTATTGACCAGCAACACCAAAGCATCGGCAACCTCCTTGGCATCCGTCATATACATGGAAGCATGCGACGGCTTTTTACCTACAGCGCATGTGTAGCAGTACATCGGCTCTGAAACCTTTGTCTGCAGCATGCTCCAGTCCGGGGGTGTGTCCAAGGATCCGTCTTCATTAATAACAGGAGGATCTGGGTGTGCCGACTCCTCATGACCCATTTCCGCAATAAAAGAGAAGACACTCGTGAACATCTTTTCATCGGAAATATCATCTCCCAAGCACATGCAAAAGTCAATTCCTTGATCGACCGACTCTCTCGAAATATCCCGTAGGACCTTCTTGACCACGAGACCCTTGTTGAGTTTTCGCGGCACGATTTCGACGATTCCCTTCAAGGTAACAAATCGAACGTCAAATGCCTTCAGTTCAGATTCCAGCTCCAACACCAAATGGGATGCTTGAAGAGAGCCCCACTCGGGATCACACGAATAATACGACCAACCAATCGAAAATGTGGTGAGTTTCACAAACGAGCCATTTGATCGAGCCGTGTATTTGGACAAGACAGGAAGAGCCACTCTTTTAACTGCATCCCAATCAACTCCCAAATCGAACTTTTGCCATCGGCGAGGTGTATTCACATTAGGGCTAGGTGCACTAAACGTAGCTCCATTAGATACCGCCAATCCAAGATTAGGAATGTGTCCGAGGGCACTGAGTACATTCTCGGCCGAATCTCCCGAAACAACATAGACAGTATTCTTTGGATCGTTACACAATAGCGTGAGAGCGTCGATAACCTTGGGTGGTGGCTTGTTTCCAGAAGTCCCCAAGATCTCTCGCTTCAAATACTTGCCAGGAGGTTCCTTTTGAACAATCGTTCCATTAAAGTCCAGCATAATGACACGTCGGTTTGAAGCATCATAGGCCTGCTTTAACACTTTGGAGGTGAGATGCGTAAAGGACGCATGACTCTCCTTGAGCAAAAATGCGGCAGTGCCATCCAACTGCTCCTGTTTGTTGCGACGAGGCGTCCAGGATGGTGTTGTGGGTGTCGCACTGCTAGACGTGTTGGTCGATGACTTTCCCCTAGAGGATGAATTAGTCACATCATTTAGATCCCTCAAAACATTGCGAACCCACTTGTCAGAGGGACAGTTAGAAACAAAATCCAAATCCCGATAACGGCGACCTTCTTTCTCTTCGTAGTCCATACTCAAGGCCTTGTCAATCGTGGTAATGGTCATTTGAATATCAAAAGGATTGACCCGAAGCGCACCATTTAAGATGGAAGAGACGGCTGTAAATTCTGACGAAATGACCACTCCTGGATTTTGGGAATCTTTGCAGTAGACAAATTCCATTGGCCAGTGATTCAACCCCTCGCGAATCGGAGTCAACATTAGAATATCCGAAGCTTTCCACAGAGCGAGTCGTTGATCCATTGGTAGTGTCGCCCCGGCAACTTCCTTGTAATCAATGACATCTAGACCAAATTTATCTTGGATGCGGTGGACAATTGCACGGACCTCCTGTAGAGTAATCTGTTCGTCTTTCTTGCGCCCTCCGGGAATCAAAATGCGCTGAACCATGACTACTCGGGACCTCCAACTGGGATAATCTTGCAGCAGACGCTCATACGCCAGCAGCTTCAGGGATGTGCCACTCAACCGCTGCGCAACTTCGACACCACAAATGATGCATCGTTGGCCATGCTTCTGTCGAAGTTCTTGAGAGCCCTGTTGTACAACTGGAAGCGCCAACGCAACTGGGGTATGAAGGGAAGAGAACAAGAGGTCAGATCATGGCAAAAACAACAACCAATTGCCATCCGCCACGCCTCATCGACTCACCATCAACCATTCTGGGTTCAATGCTAACGTTGGACATGCTGACCAAAACGGTTCGTCCCAAAAAGTTTACTCCTATCAACCCTCCTTCGATGCTTTCATTGTTTAATCCCAAAATACGCTTCGAAGCATTCAAAAAGTGCCGAGCATGATCAAATGCATGAAATCCCACCACATCAGCGTGGAGCATTCCTCGGAGAATTTCTTCACCGCATTCCAACTCGCGAAAGATTTGTGAGGTCGGAAAGGGAATATGCAAAAAGAATACCTTGCGACACGATTTGGCTGGTTCCCTGTCCAACATTCGGGGCAGCAAACTCAAGTGATAATCATGTATCCAGAGATAGGTTGAGGCATCAGAATCCACCAAAGTGTTGACTACCTGGGCAAAATCCCGGTTGACTTGTTGGTAAGCCTGCCACCAATGGTCCAATCTCGATTGATCCCAGTCAGATGCCGCCGCGTGCTGACCAATGTTATCTTGTGACGATGAAACCTCTGAGCCACTCAAATCCAAGAGGTCGATGTTGTGAAATGCTGGCCACAAGACTTGCTTGCAGAATCCATAATAGTGGGCCTGTCGTACAGATGCCTCTAAAAAGATGGGCGTGCAATTAAGATTAGCCAATACCTTGCGAACTGCTTCTCGGTCTTCCTCATTGCTGATTGGAGGGTGCGGTGTGACAGTTCCGATCCAATGGGCCCGATAGGCTGCCACAATCTTGCTACCTTCCTTGTGAGCCAGCAGGGATTCAGACCAAGTTGCCTGCCACTGCCCATTGATCTTTACCACGACAACGGGCAAGTGAAAGCAAATGAATAGAATCTTGGGGGCCATTGTTTTCTTGGACAAAACACCGCTTCCGCTTTCGTCCATGCCAAGGCCACTGCTCAAACTGGATTGAGAGCTCTCCTGCGAACGCCGATTCTTTTCTTTTTCCGACTGACTCATGCTTTCTCGAATTTGGTAGGCCTGAAAGGTCAAGTCTTCGGGGTTGTTCCAAGTATCTATACGTTCATTGGGGTCAGAAGCATCACCACCAAAGTTGTAAACCACTTGGGCCGTTTCGACATTAATATTCAAGGTTCGGTATGGCAGAGAAGCCAATTGTTGGATTGTATTCGCTGGAGAATCTTGGTTCGCTGCCACGGACCCAGACTTGGAAGTTCCAAGGCTAACTGACGAGGCGACCGGACCAGGTACTTGTGGGTAGGGTTGTTCCCACATCATGACGGAAGCGGCCACCGAGGACATTTCATTACCCGTAGCCACATCCATGGCATCCTCTTTCTCCTCTCCATTGCTATCATTAACAGCATTGGCTCCAGGTGTCACTACAAGATAACGATAATAATGATGTTGCAATGCCCCAGAAGTTGGGTGCAAAACCACTACCACAGGCTTGGCCGTCTTCCATTCCGGATAAGTCTCAGGAGTGGTAACCATTTCCACACTACTGGTATAAAGGCTGGTTGGATGTCGAAACCAATATTCCAAACTTTCATCAACAGCATCTCCGCCTCCGCCACCGGTCGGGAAGGCTTCTCGTTGTTCTTCTTGTGCAATGTGATGAGCATTCATTGGATCGGAAGGAGTCCCCATGGCTGGAGGAGCCCAAAGAGACGACCCCGTCACTCTCAATAGCGAACCGATGGGAAGCTCAGCACGGCAAGTAAAATGTAGACGAACGACTCTTCCAGTGGAAACTGCAAACGGTCGAGGAATGGACATGGCAGTCTCCTCTTTGTTGTTCTCTTCAGTTTGCATCTTGTCTTGTTTTCTTTTGTCTTGTCTTGTTTTTGACTGTGAAAGCCTTGAATGCCTGTGTTTATATTTTAGAGGATCGTGATAAGAATGAGAGAATAAACGAGTACTGATTGAAGCTGTTGATGCTTCTGTTTCACGCTTTGGTAATGTGTCCTTGACTGACTCGTTTTCAAGTCGTTAAACTCTGTGTTTTAATTGGCAATCTTTGACTTTTCACACACTGTGCAAGTGTTTCTAGAATTATTATGTCTTTGATCGAAAGCAACACGAGTAGAAATAGCGTGCACTTGAGTCGTTGCCTCCCAACAGGACGTTCAGAGATCTTTCTGTGGAGATGGATCGGTATTTGATTTCAGATTGGATTGATTCATTCATTCATTCGTTCATGCCATCGATCGTTTCCTTTTCACTTGACACCTCGTTCGCACAGAATAACGCGCACAAGATGAACGACACGAAATATCGTACCTACAGTAGCAAGATCGTACATACAGGTAGACTACACTACCGGTACATACCGTGTACACTTTTATTGCGGTCGTAAAGTACTGTTCAGATTTACGGGAAGGGGACAGACACAGCAGTACCGCTATGACAAGTGCGACTCAGATGACAGTACCTGGTAGGTATCTGACACAGTATCTCATCTCTGCAGTTGGTACTGTACCGACGTCAGACTCACTGATAAAGTTGAAAGTTAGATCATCCCAATTGAAATTTTTTACTATATTCAAGAACACTTTTGCAATACCCACTAAATAACATACTCTCAACTTCTAATTCATACTACTTTGGTACCGGTACTCGTACTGATACTCTAGTACACTGATACGGAAAACATCAGCACACATTGCACATCATAATTCGAACGCGATACACTGGCACCATGTAGACACTGTTATCACCCTATTTCCCTAGTATCATCTCGTCATACCACTCACCGACCCACCGGCATTGAATACACTAGACACCCGACGTTCGGTCGCTGCTTTGCGCATCACTTTCTTCTTTAATGATTTCGGAGGCCAATATTTGACGCGATCGAAACTATTCTTGGCACGCCGGTTCGATCCCGTCAAGATGTGCTCTCCATCCTTCGTCAAGTCATAATACCCGTAATCTTGGTCGGGGTCCGTCCTGTTTATCGCAAGTAGTTGGAGTTGGAGCAAATTCAATAGAAGCGTGGTTAACAACGATTTTGGTGAAACTGGTGCCTCCGCACAAAATGTGCTTACCAATCAAATAACTGGTCCCCAAGCTTATCGCAATCGCATACAATCAAAGGATAGGAAAACAAGTTGCTCTTCACTTGGGGGACATATCCAGCGATGGTAGGAACTTCATGAAAGGCTATCCCTTGCTCGGCACCAATTGACTGCAGGAAGTGGGAAGAAAAAATGCAGACAAATCGTCAGTCGACTTCCATCAACTAAAGAATGACGCATCTAACAATGCAACCATTACAGAAAGCATTCGAGCATTCTGACCTACCTCATGCTCCACAACGAATTCGCGCTTTATGCGACAGTAGATTCCATACAGAAACTTTAACACCACCAAAGCAATGAATCCAATAGAGGTCCAACCAAATAGCTGCGAAAGAAACTTTTGCTCTTCACTCATCCACGAGTCTCCGAAATCTGGGTCGCCCTCTCGATAGATAAACGGAAAGTCTGGCCCGCCCGGCCGAAGGATGAAATCCTGATTACAGAATCGGTAGACTTCCGTGTTCGAATCCACTGTCTCAATGAGAGTCCTGTTTCCAGCATTAGTGACTGTAGTAACGTTATAGGTCCCGTAATAGTCTGGATTCAATGTCTGGTCTGTAGGACACAAGTTATCAAAGGGGAACGCAGACCAATAGAACGAACTCATTACCGCTAGAAAGAAGAGCGCCGTCGAGAAGAAATAGTTCAGGCTGATGTTGGATATCTCGGTTCCGACTCGAGGTGCCCGTTGCCAGGATCTCATTAGACTAAATCTATCCGTGTAGTAGTTCACTAACAGCGCAACGGCTGCCAGAAGCATGCCACCAGGAAAGATCGACGAATACCAAAAGGCCAAAAACATAATTTTGGTCATGTTTGTGTATCTATGGTGGAGACTCAATTAGTTTCGTCATCATCATTTCATTGACAGCGCTATACTCCAACTCCCACTTACCGCTCTGCTAATTCCACCTGCAATCCTTGAAAGCGTCGGTTCATCGCATCTTGGGTCTTTTCTCTGGGCGCGAGAACATGCCGCTGGAAGTGACCCCATACATCAGTCAATTGGATGACATTAGTTGTAACAATCTCGGCAAAAAAAATTGCCGCAATCTGCGATATCAGTCCACCTGGTAATAAAGTATAGGTAAACGGCGTGATATAAGTTGTCACAACTGCCGTGTTGACCCAACGAAACGCCGCGATCTTGATGTACAACGAGGTTTGCAGTTTACTTTCGTTTCTGTGACCCTCAAAGTCGGTGATGTACTTTGCAAGTTGAGGGAAAGAGAGATTCAGAACTGGAATTGTGTGAGAAACACCGTACCACAAGCCAGGGTATAACAAACCGAAATGTCCTACCAGAAATTGTAAACGCGGCCCCAACACCGGGAGAAGCTCTCTCGGCAAATGTGACGGCAAAGGAACCAACCAAAATGGCACCGATCGTGATGGAAGCTGTAATGGTGGTTTGCTTCAACTTCTCTGCAACTCGGAAATTCAGGTCTTCCCATCGAATTGAATTTGGTTCCGTAGCCTGGTCAACATTTAAAACGGTACCTTTGCGACAGGAAGATCTCGTGTGAGAGAACCAGAATTCGGTGATGACTGCCCATGGTATCTTTTCAGTATGTCATGAAATCCACGACCTCTGCGCTTCTTACCTTCAAACATCAGCTTTGGGTGCTCAAGGGCACTTGGGTCGTTCCTTTTAATATATCTCTTTCCAACAGATAGCTTTGAGAGCACCAAGCGTTTCTGATTTTCCCTCTCAAAACTGATGAACACACTTGTGCATGGATAGTCCAGCTGAGCCAAACCCTGATTCAGAAACAAATAAAACAATTCCGTGAGGCAACGAACCAGCTTGTCATTGACACTTTCATCAAGAAGATTACAACACTTATCATCCTACCAGCATCCCATGCACATAAACCAGATAAAGTGGGATAACCAGCTGGACTGGTGTTGGTTGCGTGTTCTTACCTTTATTCGTGTATTCAGACCGACTAGACTTGAAATCAGTTCTGGTAGACCGGGAATAAACCAGGCTTTGATCGCGTCGAGATATTTGCCTCTGTTGCGGGCCTCCTGTGCAGCAATCAAGGCGAGATTATCAATGTCCATGTCTGTTCCCTTTTCCAAATACACTTCCATTCGTCTCAAGATTTCCCTTCTCGCAACCAAAGCTTTAACCAGCAAATCGTTATCAAGATTGCAGGTCACTGCAACTACCTCGACCCCTGGAAAAGTTTCTTCAAAATAGTTTCTCCATTTTCTTGGGTTTCTGGCATCTGGTGGCGGACGCTTTACGATAATGGAATAGTCTTGTGCCGATTGCTCGTCTTCGTCGAACAAGACTGCGTGCCTTTCCAAATAATATCCTAGCAAGATATAAATGGTTGGCAGCAAAAACAACATCACTCCATAGTTGATCATCCCCAAGGTCAAGATTGCACTAGAATCTTCCAAACACCTATTTTTCAAGACAAAAGTGATCCTATCATCGAGCTCACGGCCATCTGTCGTCTGGTTTGTATCAAAGCAACGAATATTAATTCTCGGGAAAGCCCATCCCTGGATCGTACTATTGCAATAACAATCGCTGCAAGGTACCCAGGACACGTCCGTGCAAACTGCGGATCCTCTTCATTCGTATGATGATTAAAAAACAGTCTGCAATCAATCACTTCGATTTCTAGGCTCACGTACCTTAGCAGATTTCCCATGCCTTCGTAGGTGAATCCTGTATCTGGATCGTTCACTCCATATTCGTCTGATGCGAAGAAATAGATATTGAAAACAGAGATCGTACCAGTTAAGAATAAGATCCACGTGATGGCCCTAAGTGTGCTGCAACAATCAAGAAGCAAGCTTAGAACTTTCGGCATTCTGTTGGAGTGATGAAGACTTCCCCCTCACTCACCTAAAGTAGATCCCAAACCCTAAACCAAAATCACCTAGCTGCATATGCGGGGTTGCGAGCCAGTCGTAAAGTCTGGTTGGTCGTGTCTTCTCTCCAGGTTTTGCTCTCTCAAACTCTTCGTCTGCATGTGTTTTGGCGTATCGAAACCGTTCCCACAATGTCATCTCAAACCAATTCCTATTCACACCAGTGTCAGCATACCTCATCAAAGTAGCGTGCTCAAAGTAGGCCCATGCTCGCTTTATAGAAGGGAAGTTGCCTGTCACTGAACCTTTGAAACTCTTCTTTAGGTCAACTTCCCCTTTTCCAGCATGTGGATTGTACCATTTTTTGTCCATCAGACTGAGAGCTAATCGCCTTGACCCTGTCATTTCCCGAAGATGATCCTTCAAAAAGTCAATTTTCCCGTGCTCATCAACAGGAGCGTCTTTTGTATATTTTCCAGTCAAAAATCTGCTGGAATAGCTTGGGTACATAGGAGAATGCTCGATTTCATTCACCAAGTCGCTTGAGACAGAGTCATCCAACTCGGAATGAGCAACAGATCTCCCAGCAGCATCGATTAGGCTTCCAGTAAAATCCACGCGCACCGTATTGGAGACGCCTTCAGTTTCATTATTTCCGCTTGTCTGTTTCTGAAAAGGTTCGCTCCACTCCTCATCGTCTTCTTCTGATCTGCTGCTCGTTACCGAATCGCTGTCTTTGTCGGGAACGGAATCGTCTATGTCTTGCTTTCTCCCCATTTTGAATAGTATTGAATTTCAGCTCAAAAACGTAAGTGTAATTGTAAGTGTAAGTGTAGTTGTAAGTGAATCCTACTAGCTAGCATGAAAACGCTGAATCTACAACCATTTAGTGATTGGTGCACTGCCGAAACGGAAGACCTCAACGGATGGATTGATTCATTCATTGATTCTTCCGTCACTATGACAGTTTCAATTGGCCCAAATTGTTCCGAAGAATTGAATCGATAAATCTTTCGGTAGCGACACGTCACCCGATTCTTCTTTCAAGCACAAGAAACTTTTTTGATATTATTACTGTACGTGTACCAGGTACCGGTATTCCAAATTGAAAATTCCAAATTGAAAATAAACATACGGCGTACGAGCTCCAATTCTCGAAAAATGCAGCAACCGGTTTTCGCACGACTTTTTGATTTTCACGTGGAACATTTTCCAGTACCAGGACCCTCAGCAACTCGTCTGTCTGTCGTCCAATTTAAACGGGGGGAAGCACTTTTCTCTAGTCTTCCCCCATTATGTTTTGCAGTCAAATTTAGGGGCCCCAAGTTCTACTTTTGGGTCGAATCGAAACACGACAAACCAGTTCGAAACACGACAACAGATTCCGAAACGCGACAACAGAATTTGAAAGACGACAAACCAATTCGAAAGACGACAAACTCGAATGAAACACGACAAACTTGAATGAAACACGACAAACTTGAATGAAACACGACAAACTCGAATGAAACACGACAAATCAATTCGAAAGACGACAAATCAATTTCGAAAGACGACAAATCAATTCGAAAGACGACAAATCAATTCAAAAGACGACGACAACAAAATTCATCACGCCCGTCTAAACCTGTTCATGGTCCAAAGTAGAAGCGACGGACGGCAGAAAAAACAGGAAAATACGCTCATGTGCGAGAACTATCGCTACGTCAAGGTCATGAAGGAAGGCGACAACATGCCTTTTTTGGAGGACCCGGTGAAACATTGGCTCCAGGCGGGAAGGAGCCTAATATCAAGTGGCATCATTGAAAGGCACAAAGGATTCCATTTGGAGATGTGACGACAATTGTTACTAAACTCGAATCCAACAATAAACAGGATTTGGATTATTATCAAGCTCCATGATCCGACTTCTCGCAATATTCTTATTGCCAAGCTTCCCGTTCTCAAGTTTGAGTTCTACTACAACCCAGATACGGTTGTCTCCAACTATGATCGGGCTACTGGCGCCTCAACTGGTTCGACGAGTGTCACAATCAGTTTAGATGACATGTCAAAGGAAATGCATGATCGAGCAGAATTTTGAAAGAAATGCTTTTCAAAGAACATTTTATATCTATCTGTTGAGATTTGTATCACATGTTGTAGTGAAGTAGCAGGGATGGTAGGATATATGTATAATACGCTGGTCTTTTGCTGGTCTAGAACTCTTGTTTATTGTCTTTACATCTATCTACAGCATCTTCAGTCAGAATATTATGGAGTGGTGAAGACTGCTCTTGAATGGAATGGGACCACGCATCCACAATTGCCGATTGTCCACTACCGAAATTCCAAACCCGTGGCTTATTATTGTATCTGTGAAGGTAGTATCGGGGATCTTGACTGCAGTCCGAATGAGAAGGCTCATTGATCGATCCAACGGTGACTACCATCCGTCGACAGCACCCAACTCATACCTTTCTGACTAGTTTCTTCCCTTACAAAATCACGTCTTGAATCTTTTTGATCGTTTCCCATGTTTTGATCGTTGACCAAAAAACTACTTTTCGAAGACAGTAAAGCCCCATTAAGAAGTACTTAAGATCTTCGTCTCCTTCGTTGATCTTGGTGTCTGCAATGTTGCTTAGTTGCAGGTCGGTCTAGATCCAAACTGCACGGCAAGGAGAGACTCCAAAATGGTGCTTGAAAGACGACAAACCAATTCGAAAGACGACAAACTCAAATGAAACACGACAAATCAATTTGAAACACGACAAAATATTTTTCGGAAAACTGTAATGCCCCCTTTTAAACAACTCCCCCTAAAGAATGATGTATTCGCTCCCCGTAACGACGAAGGACGGACGAGTTGCGGAGGGTCCAGGTACTGGTACAAAACGTTAGTTGTACCTGGTACTGTAGGGAAAAATTGGAAACCAATAAATAACTACAAGTTGAATTCATTCTGAAATACAATCAATACACTTTTTGCTAAGTAGTAAGTAGTAAGCTGCTCTGCTGGTGCTGGTGCTGGAGGATTGATCATCTCTTTGACTTTTCTACCAAGCCCAGCGAGAATTTCAATGTAATCTTTTCGGATATCACAGTGAATGCCACTCTCTATCTTGTTTCTAACGAAATTATTGCCCCCTACCAATGCAATTACTTTCGATGCTATCCGGCTGCATTGCACAAACCTGATGCGATCTTTTAGCTAGGAAGTTTTCTCCAAACTTCCTCTGCCGCATCCCAAATTTCGTCCTGTTCCAAAACATGAGCACTCCCCAATCTCTCGCGGCTGCACAATGACGTCTCGACATGCAGGGGAATAACAACAAGACTGAGTTGTTTGTATGCGGCATTTGTGGAGCTTGCGGTTCCCGGTGCCAGCCACGCTGTTCACATTGCGTCTCGCACCAATTTAAGTACTCTTCTTCATCATGCGGCCCTGCGCTGTCACCCTGGATAACGGGAATGTGCCCTTCATATTGTCCTCCCGTCGCCACAAGACCATCCAACTTTCAAAGATGTGACGCTCAAACAATTTCTTCACTGCAAACTTTGGATCATCAGGTGTCCCTTCCGACGATCCGGTGACATTACAATTCACCAAGTATGCTCCGCCTTTTTCCCTTATCACTGCTCCAGTTCACTTGATGGAACTATCGTCCTGTCCTACTTCCTGCCTTGCTAGCTTCTTTGCAACCTTGTTGGTTTGGGCACAATAGAAGCCAACCTTGAGGCCGTCTCCAGTTTTGTTTTGAATACAAGCTATGAATACAAAGCAGTCACAGCGATTCCCATGACCTTGGACAAAAACCAGCTTCCACTTTCACATAATCCGAGCCCTGCAATGTGAAAGGAGCCCTCATGTCATCCTCAACATCCATTCCACCCTTGCGTTCTGGGCCTTTGGTGAGGGCGGCATCAGTCTCTGGCATGTTGCGGATCATCTGAATATTTGCAGCACGCACAAGCACATGATCAACCTCATGATCAGCATCGTCGATGGTTTGCCTCATCTTTTCTCGTCTTGCCATTGCATGGGCTTGCTTGATGTCAGGCGTTTAACAAGGCTTTATCGTCAATGTACGTTGGGTGTTGATTTGACTCAGTTCTTCATTGATGAAGACCACTGTTGACGATTGGAGAAACCAGAATCTGCTCGTTGTTGGCTGTATGCGATGCGCCATAATTTTGGGATTGGTACTAATTCTACGTGTTCTACGTGACAATGATTGGTCTTCTGCCTGAAAAATCGTCCGAAAACCGATTGCTGCATTTTCGAGCAATTTACTTCGTGTGTAATATATTGATTGAATACATTAGGGTAATTTACAGTTTCATCGTTCCATCGATCAAGCTATCACCATCACTTGTGTCGTCACTGTCATGAACCTCGTCATCTTCACTCTGCAGGATCTCCTGAATCGGTGTACCGCATGTCGGACAGAGTGACGAGTCATTGTTTGTCGTGAACGACGCATCCAGTACTGATTTAGTGCTTGGCTGTTGGGAAACAGTATTGAAAATGTTCTTGCTCCGACGTCGTCTCGCTTTTTCTTCCAATCGCCTCTTGTGTTGCTTCAGCTCTCTCACCACGCTTGTGTTGGGTGGAAAGTACTTGACCCGGTCAAAGCTGTTCCTCCCTGGTTGATTACCTCCAGTCAGAACATGGTCGGCATCTCTAGTCAAGTCATAGTACTCATAATCAAGATCAGGATCAGTCCTGGAGATTTAAAAAAAGATGAGTCGCAAGGCCCAAAACAAACCCATATTCAAAATTTCATTTCATAACATACCAATCGAGTACTTCGTCACTCAGTCTACGAGTCGAGCACACAATCAAAGGATATGAAAACATTGGACTGCGGACCTGGGGGACGTAGCCAGCAATGTTTCGCACATCATAGAAACTGATTCCCTGATCCTCCGCTGCGGCCTGCAATGACAAAGACATTGAGAAACGGGAAAAAACTGCGATGTTGAGTGCAAAGTTCACCCGAAACTCACCTCAAATTCTCTGTGGAACTGTTTTTTAATTTTTTGGCCCACTCCATACAAATACTTCAGACCAACTAACACCATGACACCAATTGACGTCCCTGCAAACAGCCTCGAAAGGATTTTTTGTTCAGGTGTCATCCATTCCCCGTGATCTTTTACGCCTTCGCGATAGATAAAGGGAAAGCGGGGCCCATGAAGAATGAAATCTTGGTTGCAGAAGCGATAGATTTCAGTTTCAGGGGTCACAGTGAAATTGGAATTGTTTGGATACGGATGTTTCGTAGTGTTGATGATAATGTCCTCGACCAATCCGTCGTAGTATAGATCTTCGACTTTGCATAGGTTGTCAAATGGAAAAGCTGCCCAATAAAAGGAACTCATAGCCGCAAGGATCACACAAGCGCTGGAAAGAAAATATTGGCGGCTGAAAGTCGCAATTTCATTTCCAACACTAGGCGCACGTTGCCATGATCTCATCAGGCTGAATCTATCTGTATAGTAATTGACGGTCAACGCAACTGCAGCGAATAGAAGTCCACCAGGAAAGATTGATGAATACCAGAATGCCAAGAACATAATCTTCGTCATGTTGGTATAACGTTCTGCCAATTCGACTTCCAAACCCTTGAATAACTGATTCATCGCGTCTTGGGTTTTTGCGCGTGGCGCCAAAATGTGCCGTTGAATATGCCCCCATACATCAGTCAACTGAATTACATTCGTTGTGACAATTTCCGCAAAGAAAATGGCAGCAATTTGGGAAATTAAACCACGGCTTGGGGTCAGCGTATTTGTAAATGGAGTAATCAGTGTGATGATGATCGAAGTATTCACCCAACGAAAGGTTGCAATCTTGACATAAAGTGATGTCTGAACCTTGCTTTCATTGCTGTGTGATTCAAAATCTGTGATGAACTTGGCAAGCTGCGGGTAACCAAGATTTAAACCTGGGAACAATGGATTAGAGTTTGTGGGTGGTTGGAAATCAAACTACCAAATGTAATGTTCCCAAAACCAGACACCTACCAGAAATCGTAAAGGCAGCTCCAAACCCAGGGGCGATACTGTTGGACCATTGAACAATCAACGCACAGCCATAAATTGAAGCAAAACTTAGCAAGGTTGTCAACAAATGCTCCTTTGTCTTAGAGGCTTTATCTGCGTTCAGATCTTGCCATCGCACGGAGTTTGGTTCTGGCGCTTCTTGGACAAGCAACACAGTGTCTCGAAAGGCATAATTTAGATCCTCCAAAATGCTAATATCGTTGTTCCTTATATGTTTCAATCCAACTGACAACTTGGATATAACAAATCGTTGATGTGATTCCATCTCGAAAGTCACATACACGTTTGTGCAAGGATAACTCAATTGCGTCAAACCCTATATGTTCACAAAAAGCACGAAAGTCAATGAATCAGCATCGTCAATCGACGACGCAAGCTACATAGCGAATAAGCTCACCTTGATACTTGTATTCAGTGCGACAAGTCTAGACAGTAGCTCCGGCAAACCTGGGCTGAAAAATCCCATGATTGGTCCAAGGTATTTGCCTCTGTTCTCCTGTTCTTGAGCAGCTAGAAGCGCCAAGTTGTCAATTCCCATGTTCGTCCCATGGTCGAGCTGCAATTCCATTCGCCTCAACACTTCTCTCCTCTTCACCAAAGACTTGATCAGAAGATCATTATTGACATTACAAGTAACGGCTACCACCTTGATGCCTGGAAAGGTTTCTTCAAAGTAACGCCGCCATTCCTCTGGATCTGTTGCTCCTGGTGGTGGATTCTTAATCAAGAGCGAATAATCTTGCGCCGTTTGCTCGTCTTCGTCGAAAGTTACAGTTTCTCTGTCCAAATGAATATCCAATAAGAAATACACCGAGATGACCAAGAATACCAATGTAGCATAGTTGATCAATCCCAGAACATAGAGCTGTCTATGGTCTTCTGCCATGCACTCATTTTTTACTACAAAGGCCATTTCACTTCCATCGGCAAATACATGAGGGTAACACCGCTCTGTCCGATTCCAGCCCTGTTCGATACCAATGGCAGTATCACCTTCACAATGGCAATCAGGACATGGCACCCATTCGGTTTGCGTACAAACCGCAGAACCTCTATAATCGCAACCAATACAAAACACAGTGAGTATGCGATCGGTCGATTGGTATGGCATTGGAGGGGGGCAGTGGCGAAGAAGCTTTTGGTACTGGTACAAGACAATCCCTTGGTACTTTCTCTTGTCCTGCCGGGGTATTCGCCCGATTGGCAAAGCACATCATACGATTCCAGTTCCAGTTCTAATTGACTCACCTCAAGAGATAATCCAAATCACCATTTTCTGAATTATCATACGCGCTGGATGCAAAAAAGTAAATGTTGAAAGCGGAAATGAATCCAGCAATGAGAAGAATGTTCCGAATCGCGCGGACAGTCGAAAAATAGAGCCCAAATCCCAATCCGAAATCACCGAGCTGTAACATGACAGAAATAGAATTGAGTCAAAACATCTGCGTCCCCCGATTCGCTGGGATTGGTCAAAGGAATGAATGAAACATACCTGAATGTGCGGTGTTGAAATCCAATCGTACAGCCGCGTTGGCAATCTCTTTTCTCCTGGTTGCGCCCGTTCAAAAAGCTCATCGGAATGCGTATAGGCATACTTGTAACGCTCCCACATTGTCATTTCCGCTGGGTTTTGATTCCGCTCGTGAATGATATACCTTGTCAATGTGACATGTTCAAAGTACGCCCAAGCCTTTTCAAGACTGGGTAAGACCTTTTGACTCGAAATCATCTCGGCGGAAGAAACACTGTCGAAAATAGCTGCGTTATTTCGTCGGACTCGTTTCCCGGCATTGGGGTTGTAATATTTGTTGTGCACCAGGGACAAGGCTAAACGCCGGTTCCTGGTCATTTCTTGAGGGTCGTCCAAAAGGAAGTTGATGGCACCATCACGGTTATCGGTGAGGTCGTACTTTCCCACTTTGGCTTTTTCAAAGGCTAGGGGGTTGGGGTAAGATGCATTTTCTGTAGCCCTCATTGGCGTTGGGTCGAGAGCCTCATTGATGACGGAGGATGATGAAGTATCGGACAAATTTCCCGAGGAAGAGAAATTGCCCGATGAAAAACTACTCGAAGTGGCACTTTTATTGTTGTTGATGAAGCTAACCGACCCCATACTTGGCTCTCTGCGTAGGATCGTTGGCAGCTCTCCAATCTTGTCACCCTCTTCGCTGCTGAGGTCTTCACTCCTGCTGCTCTTTATTTCTCTATCTTTCATAGCCTTCTTCAGTATACCTTTAGAAGGAGGTGAAGTCATAGGAGGCATAGAAGGCATGGAAGGCACAGAACTTGTTTCAATTACTGCTGGCGGTTTGATTCTGTGTTTCTTCTTCTTGGACGAAGATCTAGAAGCTTTTGACTTTCTCCCCGTACTGTTGCTTCCTCGTCGGTGAGCTGTGGCTTGGTTTGGCCCCAAATCCCACTCGTCACCTCCTGATGGAACACTCGGAACGCTGGCGTTGGTGTTACTGTTATTGACATTGTTGTTGTTATCTGGCGTGGTCCAGTTGTTTGTTCCGCTATCAACGCCAAGACTACCAATACTCTGTGAATGTCCCCCAATTCCATTGGGACCATCGTGAGAAATGGTCTGTTGGTTGGCACTGTGAATGCCGGAAGCTCCGATATCGTGCTGTTGATCCATGGCTTCAATCTCGTGCTCTACGTTTTCTGCAACCCTTTCAATAGAAGCTATCGCACTTGTCGGCTGAGACTCGCCTGATCCTGAAGAGGATGAGGACGAAGCTTGCTTGGTAGTAGCAGTAGAGGAAGAAGCGAGGTAATCTTCTTCTCGATTGTCACTCATTCCCTACTGTAGATGTATAGTACTGCGCTGCGGCTGGTTTGAAGCTTGCTTTGTTGGATCGAACAATGCGCTGCCGACTGCTGACTGCTGACTGCTGAAACTGTGACAATTTGAACTGATTGACCGACTCTTTGGTTCAGTCGTCCGTGCAATTAATCAGTCAATCAATCAATCAATCAATCAATCGGATGCCAATCTAGCGGAAACTGAGGCTGAAGCTGAAGCTGAAGCTGCAACTCAAACTGAATTGGATTCAACTACAATGCAATACGCGTACAGGTATACCGGTAGTAGGATTGATTCCTTCCGTTTCTTCCGAAGGACAGAAACAGACAGCGAGCCAGAAACCAAACTCTTGTCTCTCGGATACAGAAAATGAAATGTGTCTCATATGTGTCCTCAGTGTCTCATGGTATTAAGTGTTCAAAATGCACTTTAAAAAAGTGATTCACTTGTGTCTCTCTCGGAAGCCTGAAGAGCAAGTACAACACTTTACAGTAGTGCCGGTACCGGCACATCGCGTGTACGGTACCGGTACGTACCAGGTACATACCGGTACTCTTGTAGGTACCGGTAGTGTACACTACCAGGTACCGGTACTCGTACTTTGAAGCGAACATTTTTCTCGCTCAAGAGAGCGAAGCACAGACGAAACCCAAACTTGTCAGTCCACGCGCGCCACGCCTCTCTACATGTTCAAATTTAAATGTTCACAAATGTTCATATTCACATTCGAATACAGATACTACAGTTCAATTTTCCGTTAGCTACAGTACATAGCAGCGCACGTCGACGTACAAGTATACAGGACAAAAGGTCAGACTCTAGCCTCTGGAAAACGATAATGTTCAAATAATTTGGAATTTGGAAATTGATGAACCTCTTTGAAACGCTGCATTGAACGGTACTGTAGAATTATTGGATCAACCCGACAAAAGACTCACACTGGATACTGGAAGCTGAGTAATCAATCTCTTATCCAACACGTTTTTCCAGAGTTCAATCCTCAGCAACGCATCGTACGCGCTTGATTACATTCTTCTTTTTCCTTGAGTTGCAGTTGCAGTCGCTTTCTTTCTTGTTTCCTTGTTGGTGCACCCAGAAAACATTCCTTCCTTTTTGCATACATAAAAGGGAAGGCGAGTACTAGGATACACCCTCTCCATTCAAATCATCCTCAAAGATATAATCAAGAATCAAACACAATGACGTCATCACCTAATCTGATGAATTCAGCGATCGAGATGTCATCTTCTTCTGTTTCATCATCATCATCACCCAACACACAATCACAAAATGTGGCTCAATCATCGCCTTTGAATCAATCCCAGATTCATCACAGCAATGACGATGATCAAATGGCTCCTAGAAACTCAGTAACTGATGGTTCAGCTGACATGACGACAACGGCTTCAACACAATCAATACCAACACACGCGGGCGAATCAACAACGCTAGGAAAAGTTGCCTACAGTCGGAGAAACAATAGCAGTAGACTTTCAGAAGTGGCTCCACTGGTGGCTGCGTGTTCTCATCTATTACAGCCGAACGGAAGCATAAGTGGGGATCAAGTGGCTGACGCTATCCTGCCATACTTTCCTGATTTGTGTAGTGCTTTGCCAGCCCAATCTGGACAGGGTCAACAATATGCTCACGACGAATCAAACGATGAAGGAGAAACATCTTTCTCTCCGTCGTCTCATTCCAGCAGTCGCGTTCGTATGCAGGCTCCGTTTGCCAATCGACAGGGACTTTTGGGATTGGATGGTGTCAAGAGACCATTGACTCATGCGAGGATTAGACAGTTCATCTTACAGGAACTAGGACCTCAATTGCATCAATTGGGATACGGAAGAGGAAGTCGGATAGCATTGGTACTACCAAATGGCCCCGAGCTAGCACTTGCCATCTTGGGTGTGGCCCATTGGGCATCCTGCTTGCCTCTCAATGCTAATGGTGCACCATCGGAACTCAAGAAGGATTTGAAACTTGCAAAACCATCGCTAATTGTAGGAATGATAGATGACGACAGTTCACGTTCCCTTCAGGATATGGCAAACGCGTTGAAGGTACCCTATTGTGCACTTCAACCGAGTACAACCGAAGTTGGTGTTTTTCATTTGATTCCGGCTCATCTCCTTACTTCAGGTGGAGGGAATAATCCAGCCAGCGGCAAGACAGGCCCAAACAACAAAATGCCAAAAGAAGAAGGCCCCTATGATACCATGACTTGCCCGGAAACATGCAAAGGTGAAGAGAACGCTCATGAAATGGATTCCATGGATTTCATGTTCCCAAATGAACACAGCGATGAAGTTTTGGTTTTGTTTACTAGTGGCACAACTGGAAGCAAGAAATTGGTGCCTCACAAACTGGGTGATATGCTCATTGCCGCAGCCTGCATTGCTGTCAGTTGGAACCTGTCTCCCCAGGACGTGAATTGCAACCTAATGCCTCTCTTTCATGTTGGTGGGATTGTCCGACAGGTGTTTGCGCCGATCTTGAGTGCCGGATCTGTTATCTGCTGTTCTTCCTTCGACCCCTCAATATTTTGGCAATTACTATTACAACCTCAGCCGCAAGGCAGTCAACAACAGCAGAAACAACAACACGGGCTGCAAGTGAATACTGTCTTTTCTTGGTATTATGCGGCGCCTACAATGCATCAAGTCATCATCGACAGTATGCCGGCTGCATTGAAAGCTGCCACCAAATCCACAGGATCTACTCCAAAACCGAAACTTAGAATGATTGCCAATGCCGCGGGAGGGCTCTTGCCTTCGCTAGCCGAAGAACTTCGAGAAGCATTCAATGGTGCTAATATATTGCCTAGTTATGGCATGACAGAGTGTATGCCCATTTCGTCCCCACCTCATAACTATCAATTGACCAAACCTGGAACATCTGGAGTGGCAGTTGGCCCACAAATTACAATCTTTAATTCCAACTTTGAAATTTTACCACCGGGGAAGGAAGGGAGGATTTGCGTTAGAGGTAGACCTTGCTTCCACGGATATGGTGGAGTGGCGCCAGAGGAAACTTTCCTAGAGGGAGGCTGGTTCAATACTGGCGATCTTGGATACATGGATGCTGATGGATACATTTACATTACTGGTCGTTCCAAGGAGGTCATCAACCGAGGTGGCGAGATCATTAGTCCCATGGAAGTAGAAGAGGAAGTTAGCTCGCACCCGTCTGTCATTCGATGTGCTGCATTCTCAGCACCCCATGATGTGCTGCAAGAAGTGGTTGGGATCGTAATTGTCACAACCCCAAACGTCCCCAGGTTAGACCTGCCAACACTTCACGACTTTTTGGAATCTCGATTAGCAACTGCGAAATGGCCCCAAGTGTTGGTATTCATGGATGCGTTACCGAAATCGCATACCAACAAGTTGTTGAGGGTCAAGCTAGGCCAGAGGCTGAATTTACCCCAGATGAACGATGGGATGTTTCCAGTGGAACGTACGTTCGATGCTACTTGTCCCCCTCAGGGTACTCCCGTCGGCGTTTCCATACCTTGCAAGCCTGTGGCGATTGAACCGGAGCAAGTCCAGCAAGTATTGCGGGAGATATTCGGGCTGCATGATGGGGCTCATAGTCGAGGTGCCCAACTAGTTGCAACGCACCACCCGAGCCGATACGGATCTCTGATTGTGCATGTCACAAATCTTGATAGGCACGAAATTATTCAATCTGCAAAGGAAGCTTTGGATGCGTACCAGCAACCCTCGCACGTTTGTATACATGCTGACAGCTCTATTCAATTGACTGCGGAAAGTTGCGCTGCGATCATTCCTCAATCCATGGATGCAGTGGGTTATGTCCAAGGTAATATGAATGGAGACTCGAACCAAGAGGACCCAATGGTACATGAGCTTCAAAGAATGATGCAAGAACTTATCGACTTAGATTGTTTGCCGTCACCGGATACCTCATTCTTTCAACTTGGTGGGACCTCTCTTCTTGCTTCTCAATTTGCCAGTCGAATACGGAAGACATACAAGATTTCATTTAGTGGGGCTGATGTGTTTCGACACAACACTTGTTTCGCCATCACCAGCAAAATCAAATCTAAAACAAGCACGAATCCGTCAGACATTGGAAATAGGCTAACCGGCACGAATGGAAGCATTTCTGCCAAGAACACTGGTGCTGGCGGGGACAGAGTGGCCGATCTACAAGGGGTGCAGTTTGACGCAACCCGATTGGAACCGAAGAGCGAATGGCTTGCAGCACCCTTCCAGCTTCTGCCTGGTTTTCTGGTCTTCCCAATATGGCAACTGACGCGATTTTTCCTCTTGTTCATGAGTCTCCTAGAAGTTCTTCATCGAATTCCCTGGGAACGAAACTTTTTGAAGTTGGTTGCGACTGTTGTTGTATATTATGTTATTTGGAACCTCGTGGCTCCACTAGGCTTTGTGATCATCAAGTGGCTTGTGATTGGAAAATATAAGAAAGGGAGGCATGCATTATATAGTTACTACTATCTGCGATGGTGGTTTGTCGATGTGTGCCGGAAAATTTTTGGCACCGGTCTTTGGGGCTCCAACACTGCAATGTTGGTCGCCTATTATCGAATGCTGGGTGCAAACATCTCGTGGGACGTGCGATTGAACTTGTCAGCCGAAATTGCAGAATATGACCTCGTGACAATTGAACCTGACGCGTCCATCGAAGATGCGACGATACGTGGATTTGGTGCTGACAATGGTGCCATGATTCTCGGTCCTGTGGCCATTGGGAAGTCCTCTAGCGTTGGTATTCGATCTGTGGTAGCGCCATACACTAAAATACCGGATGGAAAACACGTTGGCCCGGGGACGTCGAGCTATGAGATTGGGGATGAGGAACTTTTGCACTACAATCGACATGCTGTGCGTGAACCAAGTTTCTTGATGCAAGCTTTGGTGTGTACTCCCGTCACAATTCTTGTGGATAGCATCGCTTTACTACCTGCATTATATGTGCTGTATAAGATGATATTGATGCACCGAAATCAACACGGTGATGGTGACTTTAGTTTCTCAACGATTGGGGACTTGCTGGAATGGCTTTGTGAACCAGCCCGTATTCCATATTATTTGGGGATTCGGATCGTTCGAGCAACGATATCACCGCCACTTTACATAATGGGTTCTCTGTTTGTAAAGTGGACAATTATTGGTCCGTTTGTGCCAGGGCCTCGCGACACCTCCTCGGATTGGGAGCTCACTCGTCACTGGTTGGCGGCCACACTTTTCTCTCAAGAAAACGTTCAGGCTGTCACCGATCTGCTAGGACGGCACTACGAATTGACGTCGTCCTTTTATCGATTACTAGGAGCAAGAATTGGTCTGCGGGTTTTCTGGCCGGGACATCAACCAATTACATCTGGGGAATATGATTTGTTGGAGATCGGAGATGACGTTGTGTTTGGTTCCCGAACTGTCATTTGCATGAGCACTACCAAGAGGTGCGAGAAAGTTATATTTTGCGCTGGTGCAAACATTTCCGACAATGCTATTGTTTTGCCAGGCTCCATCATTGGGAAGAATGCTGTGATAGGATCCAATACTGTCTGTCCAGCATATCGATACATTCCACCCTCAAGTACTTGGGTCGGTTCCAAGAAAGGCCAGCCCATACCATTGAATTCAGTCTCATTCGACGGCGACGAAGTTGCATACTCCAAAGATGTGAAAGCGTCGGAGTTGGAAATGATTGGCGACGGGAGCACAATACGCCCATTTGGGCGAGCCCTTGGTTTACGTGAGGCCAAATATTTTGTGTTTCCTGGATGGATGATGTCGTTTTTCAGCATTATTGCGGAAGCCCTTTCAGCATGCTTTCACTCTCTACCACTACTTGGAACAAGTTTTCTTACTGCAGCCATTATATATGGCTGGAGGCCGTCCGAAAGAGATTATTCCATCGGCGTTGCCCGGGTGGACGTATACATTACCATGCTTGTCATCTTTTGCGGACTTCACTTTTTACGCGTCTTGTTGACGTTGATATTTGAAGTAGTCGCGAAATGGGCTCTTCTCGGTCAGCGCCAGATGGGTCGATATAATTGGTAAGCAAATTTGTATATTGGATTGGAGAGGTACAAGTTGGAGAAGGGGATCTCACTCGTTTCCAACACTATTCAGGGATGAATCGACTTACAATCAGCGATGGGAGTTCTACCAAGTCATCAGCCGGATTAAGAGAGTCCATCGATTATCGTGCTTGGATTTCTTTTCGGGCAGTATTTTCATGGATTGGTACACTCGTGCCTTGGGGGGATCTGTTGGGACGAAGTGTTGTTTGTACCCCACTGGGTGCGATCCGTTTATGCCAGAACCTGACCTAGTAGTGATTGGAGATCGCGTCGTCATTGACACAGCTGCAATCGTGTGTCACTTGAATACGAGAGGTAACTTTGAACTCGTGCCAATCAAAGTGGACGCGCAATCCACCGTTAGATCGAGGTGTCGTGTCCAGCAAGGTGCGCACATGGAAGCTGGATCAATGCTTTTGGAGAAAAGTTTGGCCTTGACAGGAGAGGTAATCGAGGCGGATACTATTTGGCAGGGTGCTCCTGCCACGCGGATATCGGAATATCATTTGGGCTCGGGACTACTTCCATCAGTATCTTTTGGAAAGGACCATCATGTGGGTGCTAGAGGTAGCAAGGACGATGACAAGGTCAATTTGGAGGAAACCAAGCATTATTTTGAGCTTGTTTAAGGTTATGGTTTGACGAATCAAACGCCATGCTCCAAAGTAATCTGCATAGCAACCAATAGATACAAACGGGTTTCGTATGAAGATATGACACTGATAAAAATGATGAGAGATTGATTATTCAACTTTCATCCCATTTTGAATTTGTTGGTTTTATGCGCGCGATTTCACGCGACGATTGGACTGCGATGATCAATTGATGAGTGTGATGATGATGATTCATCAACTCAACCAGAGAACCCAACCCATCTCTTCTTGCCTTGTTGAACGGCTCAAAGCAATCAGCATTTTGCATACCACAACTCATCGTCCTCCGCGAAGTTGGCCAAACCAGATATTCCCCACAAAATATATTTTTTAAATAACATATCAGTATGGCAATTTCTCGCAGTCGGCTGATTCTTCAGCGTCAAACCTCTGGCCAAAGTCATCTTGGAAGGAAGGTTTCCGGTCTTTTGAAACGTACTCTCTCTTCTGCTCCAGCCATCACTGAGACCACTGAGACAGCTTCCGTCGTGGTGGATTTGCCCACTCGTCATTCGTGGAAGCAACCACCTCGTATTTGCGGTGATGTTCAGGAGTTGACAGAATCAACAGCTTCGATTTTGGAGCAACCACTTGGTTCCTTGTACGTATCAAATGCTGCTCACTCTTTCAAGGATCCCACTAGTAGCATCGAACATCAACGCAATGAGGTTTACGAAACTGCTGATGCTACCATTCAACAAGTAGAGTATTTGATGCGAGGACACGCGTCCTTTGTGGAAGGATCCATTTATGACAGAGCTGGCAGCACAGGTAGTTCGTTGTCTGGACCCGAGCACTTGGAACAAATGCAACAACTTTTGCAGAAAATGCAGCAAGAGGGGAACTTGTACATGAGACTGCGGGAGGAACACTTAAAGCTAGCAGAAGATGAAACTGGAGAAGAGGATGGCGAAACGGTTGCCCAATCGGAAGAGTCTCCAGATATGGACTTTGCCCCGCCTGGTGCTACCATTGCCATGTACGATGTGGTCTTGGATTCTATGGCCGTTCAGTCCGAGAGAAGGGAAGACCCGCTCCTTTTCTTTCAAACTAGTTTGCAAGCCTTGCAAGCATTTGAATTGGACGCCGAGTTCTTGATGACGCAAGAAGACAAAAGAAAAAAGGAATACTTCCAACAACGTGACACCTACACACTAGCGACACCTGTCACCTACAATGCAGCCCTTCGTGGAATTGCCGTCCATACATCCTTTGCCAACCCACAACATCGGGACAATGCTCTGAATGCTTCCTTCCACTTGTACAACCATATGACCCATTCTGAACATTTGCTTCGCAACTCCGCCAGTATTGGGTACATGCTTCAGATTGTGAATCAAGCTTTGCCGGACAGTCGGGTCAAGGGTAATATTAGTGTGACCTTTTGGAAGCAAGCCTGTCAAATGGGTTTGGTGACACCGCAAGTTGTGGAAAGCATGCAAAGTATTCACAAAGACTTGAAATGTGGGCCTGAGTTTGAGCCGGTAGTAAAGCAATTGGAAACGCCGCTGTCAGACTTTCCGCAACGCTATCGAAGAGCAGTGAAGCAGACGAGGCATTCAGCAAACTATTAGTAGATACAAGCAATAGCAAGAACACTGCTGGAAGCTAGGACCATAGTAGTAACATGAACGATAAAATTTTCTTAGATCTAACATCAAGTCATGGAGTTTGACGAAATTGCGTAAGTGAAGACAGCTTCGAGCTTATACTTCAACTTCAACTTTCAACTTGAATTAATTGTAAAACCTCGATACACGTTTGTCCGCGTCACAGACGTCCGTCAGCATTGAGGCAGTGGGAATTCCCCCTTTTCATTTTATTTCGTCCCCGCGATATTTAACGCGATTTCCCACAACTAGTTGTGGGAACAGATTTTTGCCAAAAATTCCCACAACTAGTTGTAGGAATCTTAAAAAATAGTTGTGGGAAATTCCTACAACTAGTTGTGGGAATTTCCCTCAACTAGTTGTGGGAATTTCCGTTGCTCAGATGTCCGTTATTTTTGCCTTTAAATGTATCACGAAATATCACGAAAACAATTAGAGTTTTTGGGAAACATCATATGTAGTTGTCTATTTTCTAGTCAGTACATATATCAAACGTTGTTTTGTGCGTAGAACAGACAGTTTTCCGTAGAACGGACAGTTTTCCCATAATTCCCAATAAAACAATTAGAGTTGTGGGAAACTTCCCACAACTACAATTAGAGTTGTGGGAAACTTCAAATTTGTCTCAGTACATATCCTACGTGGTTTTCTGTGTAGAAATGACAATTTTCCCACAACTGTTGAGGGAATTCCCACAACTAGTTGTGGGAAGCAAAATTGAGTTGTGGGAAAAATTGAGCTGTGGGAAAAATTGAGCTGTGGGAAAATCTCGCAACTAGGGGAGAAATCCGGGGATTCCCACTGCCTCATTGGATTTTGGTCTGTTTTTGTAGGTACGTACCTGCTAGCTAGTACCCCCCATTTCCCTCCTCCTCCTTTTCAATTTCCACTAAACGATAGCATTGTTGATGTTACAAAATATGTGTTGAACGAGACAAAGAAAACGGCTTCAGTCATAAACCAATCAATACCTTTTGTGCACGTCCATTCGACTAGCCATTGTGCATAAAAGCCGTCACCATTCCGTTCTCCAGGGAGACAAAACGAACAATGCCGCTCTTCCATCGATCGCAGTCGTCGGCTCGATTGCCCAATGGAAGCAGCTGTCATTTGAATGCGTTGGTCTACCACAATGATGAAAGCAAAAGCATCAGCACTGCGAATGAAATGTCCACATCGCCATCTTCATCCTCACTGTTGCCGATGAGAAATGGAAAACACAATTCGAGTCGACAAGCTTTGCATACATCCAACAGTGTCATAAGTTTTGGAAGTGTAGGAAGCCGAGGAGGACGAACAACGCCCAACACCCCCTCTAAACGACCGCCTCATGCCAATTCGAAGATACGACACCTACGGAAGAAATATCCAAAAGTCTTCTCTTATATTCCAGAAGCACCCACTCAAAAACAAAAACTTATTCTCGCTACTCTAATCTTGCTCTATATTCATCGAGGAGACGTGGCTCAATTTCTTGCTCACTTGATTGGCAAACTGATACGAAATCTGATTACTGTCCGCGTCATGAAGCATCAGTTACTGCAATCATCTCCAGAAGCCGATGCGTTATGGAAGGCATCAATACGTCTTCCGAATCCACAAGAATATCAACATGATACACAAACACCACAAAGGTTGCGACAATCACCGTCCCCTCCTGCCACATCCAGCAAACCTGACGATGATCCATCACCAACGCTATCCGACTTTACCATTGATTTGGTTATTTCTCATTGTAACTTACCAGTGGACTGGATCTTCACCTCCTTTGCTTCGCCTGAAGAGGACGCATACAACGATGACATTGGATATGATCCTTTATCAATATTTCGAAATGTTACCATCATCTCAAAATGCAATCTACCCGTGGAGGGAGCCCCACCTTCGGCCACGATAATCCGACTCCCTAATGTGGGTCGTTGCGACCATTCCTATGCTCATTATCTGGCCAATTACTACTTTCACGACGAGAACCACGGCCACAACGAAGTGCGACGTTCTCATTCAGACCATCCATCATCACTGGAGGTGACAGCAGCTCCCCAGGAATCGAACACGGATGCTAGCAGCAGTGAAAGGAACACATTTCATGCAACACTCTTTCTCAAAGACAATGACAATCATCATAGAGCCGTTTATAGTCGACAACGATCTCTGCTAGAAATGCTACAAATTACCCAAAAACGAGGCTTTGCCTGTCACGAAGAGCGGATATGGACGGTTTCTAAGCCCAGTGACGAAAGGCCCCTGCAAAAGCAACAACAACAAAGTCAGCGCCAGTCATCCTTTTGGAAGGACGTTGCCATGCACCCCATTTGTCAGCTGTCGTCCTACCACAATTGGACACAACTACAACATAAACAAATGTCCTCCTACATTCGGCTGAGACGCGACAAGATTGACCTAGGCCAATTTCGGAGCACCCATGGTAGTACCATTGGCGAATATGCGAAGGAAATGGGTATGGAAATTAAGGGGCCGATTGTACCTGTGTGTTATGGTGGCAATTTCATGGCATCTGCAGACCAACTTTTTCGATACAGTCCCAGTTCGCCATCTTCCTCGTCCCTATTTCACAAGATGGAAGCCTCCCTCAGTCGAGCAAGCAACATTGCTGAAGGGCATTTTGTCGAACGTTTATGGGCAGCCCTCTTAAGTTTGCCCTTGACGACTTCCGAAGTGGAGCAGTTGAAAGCAATGGCATCTGCAAAGCAACCCATTTGCAACGCGGGGACAGACTTTCAAGGGGCACTTACGAAGTACTAGCCAAGCGAAGTTGAGACGCGAATAAATTTGTTGACTTCCGTCCGAGAGGCAACAGCAATTCGGAAGCGATCCATAGCCCAAACTTTCTCGATGCAGACCCGGAGTCTATACATCCCTTGATCGCATTTAGAATGGAATGTGGGTGGAGAAATGAGAAGCTACGCTAAGCTACGTCACACGGTGACAAAAATGCAAGCCTGCTCAGATAAGCTGTGTCAGGGTGATATGTATCGTACTTGCGCATGTCATGGAAGGGAGACACTCGTTTGACAGTTGCAGGAAGCAACAGGCCTGTATGAAGTCATTTTGAACTGAACGGACCATGCAATGAGTGGCGAGTTGCTGGTGGTTTCAGAGGGCATTCAGGCTATGAATGCTGTAGGTCTATTCCTCCTCGAGCCAGTCAAGGCTGTGATTACGGCACTTGGGCCCTGAGGACCACCGTCAGCAAACACAATAGTCCATGCGACGAAATTTTCATTCCTACTAAATTCGAAGATTGCCATACCACTGTAGTCCTAGCTATTTTGAATTGTACTCATAAACTGGGCAAATTTAGAATAAGCCAAGCTTGGCTTGAACATCCTCGCCGATTTGCAATAACTGCATTATTGTCTTCTTAATTTCAGACGGTATTTCATGCCAATGTGCCATGCAAGGAAAAGAGAGTGATAAATAAATCAGGTGATGATAGGAGTGTTCAAGTCGTTGTTTTGGTGTTGTGTAATTGATATACACGACTGTTTTAATATCCTATTCCTATGTTAGATTGAATTAAAAACTGAATTAACGTGATTTCTCGTCGTGTCTTGAGGTATTATTAATATGCGCTAGATCTGGACTGGCAGAATAATTAGATAGAAACTAGTGAACAGTGATGGTGGAAGGACAGAGGAGAAGAATCGGAAAGCAATGAAAAAAGGAAAGAATCGAAGAGACATCTTGGTATCTTTCGATTAACGGAACGGTGCCGTGTGATTGCCCCAGACAAATCATGAAATGGAGGTCGTCATCATTCTTGTTTTTGCTGATGATGATGACGACGACGCTGGTGATGTCGAATGATGATAGAAAGAGTCGATTTGACGACTCGAGTACTCGATTCGATGCAGAACGTTGCGAACAGTCGAAGACCTTTGGTAATCCTTAAGCTTGGGTGTCTTGGCATAGAGCGACTTTCGAGTTGCTTGGGACTTCTTCATGCTCTGGTTGAGTTTGTGAAGAGATTCTTGGAACTGCTGTTGTTCTTGTTGTTGATGATGATGATGTTGAAAAGGGTATATGGAAGCTGTCCTGCGGTCATGCGTGTCACTGCTTTCACACGAAAAGAATGAATTGGTGTCATCATCAGCAGCAGTGGAAACGTTGGTCAACACGGCATCGGCCAATAGTTCTTGCGGACGACCCACATCGTTGGAAATTGAATCGTAATACTCATTCAAGTTGAGCAAGCCTTCGTTTTCGTCGATCTGCATGATGACATCATCGTCATCGTCACTGTGATTGTCAAAGACGATGGTTTCGCCAATGTCAATGCTAATGGCGGTGTTGATGGCTGTGTTAATGTCAACGTTGTCAACGTTGTCAATGTCAGCGTCAACGTGAATGTCAGAATCCAAGCTGCTGTGACCGCCAAACATCTGGTCTTCAAATCTAATTTTTAGATCGTGAAAGCCAGTATCAGGCTTCTGCCAAACGTGAAAGACGGAATCGTCGACGCTTCTTGGGCTCTTGCTGCCATCATTGGCGCTTGGGTTGTTCCAGGAGGTCCTGAAGTCTTGGAGGTTCTGAATGTCGATGCTGGTCATGATGTCGAATGTCGAATGTTGACTGTTGACTGTTGACTGTGGAATGTTGACTGTGGAATGTTGACTGTGGAATGTTGATCTTGCTTTCAGCTTGTGACTGAGATTGACTGAGATTGACTGAGATTGATAATGTACCGCTCTGATAGAGTGGTTGCTTCGGACCTACAGTAGAGCAGATATGAGTGCTAGTTCAGAACGAGTTCAATCTACCGGTATTGAGATACGATGTTGTACACTGCATGCACACACCGCCGAGGAGAATCAATATTTTATTCTTCATAAAAATCCCGGTACCGGGTACAGGTACTCGTACGTGATATTACGTATTTTTGCTCGTTCGACCAAAGGTTGAACCACAAAAATTGAAGAACTGCCGAAGGATCGAACGCGCTTTTTTTCTATCAAATAAGCGATATTTTTCGCCTTTGGATCTTGTCGGTCTCGAAATCTTTGAAAGTTGTATTGCACCCCTTCGAAGCAAGGTTTGGAAATACATACTAGGTTTTACATAATAAGTTCGTTCGAATAGCACTAAGTCCTTTCTCTGTGCAGGATTGCACATATTCCGCATTTCATTCAGGCAGGCACCTATCTAAGTATCAGTGACTATCGTAGAGGTCATTACTGCTTCCTACTGCGAAAAAAGATACCACCATATCTTGCATGCGGCGAATAGCTTTCCCAAAATTTCTCTCTCTTCCCCAACGGAATAGCAAAAGTAAAAAGTAGAAGATGGTGTTAGTCGAATCAATCAATCAATCAATTGAATCAATCGTATCGTGCTATTCAAACGAATGAGTGACGTCGCATCGCATCCATCGCATCGCATCGCATGCGCATGATGAAGGATAATGGATGTGATTTGGTGCACACACTCAATCGATCATCATCTATCATCTTCATTGCAAACATACAGTATCATTCAGTGAGTGCGGCAAACGACGATATACTGAAGCATTATCATTATCAGCATGGCGGATAGAAGAATACAGACATGCATCCTAATACTTCTTGCCTTTCTGTGTGAGAGCGTTCGGTCGTTCTCCACATTGCATCCCTTACAGCTACTACAAGGGCACCCACAACAATCACATCATCGTCATCGTCATCATCATCGTCATCATCATCGTCATCGTCATACGTCCTTGTTCCTAGTCACCGAAGACGATGTCATCAAAGCGGTTGAAGAAGCCGAAGAATTGTGGGCCAAAGCTCTAGAGGCTCGCAAAACTGCCAATGCCTTATCAGATAGGGCAGAAGAAGAAGCGGAAGCATCCAGTGCCCGTGCACAGGAAGTCGATGCTAAAATCAAAGAGAACAATGTATCGAAAACACCGATTACCATGGAAACTCTGGCTGAGGGTGATGCTGTGGCAAAATCCAGTTTAGATGCGGGAAATCTACTCAATAAAGCACTGGCAGCATCAGATGAAGCAGACCAATTGTTGCAACAGGCGGAAGAAGCTTTGGAAAAGAGTGAAGCCACACTGGAAAAACATTTGATTGATTTTCCAGACTCGACCCTAGCAGAATAATATACCGTACCTGTTGATTTCTTTTAAAATAACTAATCCTAGCTAAAAAAAATAATATAATAACGACCTCTTTTTGAAATAGGTAGAGGACGAGGCAGGAAATGGTCATGTTATACTAGTATGCTTTTGATGGGGGTGCACCTCATCTTCCCGGCAAGCAAGCATTCTGCCTGGGCTAATTTATAAAACAACAATCTGCAAGCTGCAAGGGGTCCCAAGTATCCAAGTGGAGATGAATGACTCGTACTCCTTACTCCTCCTTTTGCCATGCAAGTGTTAAGAGAAGAAAATATTGCAGCAGTTTATCTGGTACTACCGTACAGTAGTGGCACGATGAAATGAATAACGAAATGAGAAATGTGAAAATGAATGATGCTCCATGCTGGATACGAAACGTATGACTGGTTCGACTTCGGTTCGACATCACTCAGACATAATGTGAAATCTATATTCTTGACGACAAAATAAAATCATCGACGACTGACTCACAATTCTTACAAATCACAACTCTCACAATAATTCATTCTGTACTGTATTCACCATCAACAGAAAGATGTTTCCCATATTGTCTCGGAGGGTACCTTTATCCTCGAAGCACTTACGGGCGAGCTATTCTGATGCAGTCTCAACGGAAGTAGGACTAGCACAAGTTTCGACACAAGTTTCGCAACCTGCCAAAGCGATGGCTATGCACTCGTCTGTTGTGAGGAATAATTTTACAACCGCCTCATCTTTCCAATCCTTGTCCCGACAGAACTGTTGCTTTCCATCGCTGCGACATCAGTCACAAGGGCGTAATCACCTCAAGTCGAAGCCATTCTCCTTACATCTGCCGCAGGAGCATTCTGGTGTGTGTGTGCTGCGAAACAATCCTCTCCAACAATCGCAGTTGACAACAAGCCGTCGAACCTACTTTACGAATGGAAAGGTGACCAAAGATAATGACCCCTACGAGCTATTGGGGTTGCAATGGGGAGACGGTGCCACATCGGCTGAAATCAAAAAGGCGTTTCTTGTAAAGGCTCGAGAGTTACATCCCGATCTGAATACCACTGATTCGCCCGAACAAGCACAGCTGAAATTTCAAAAACTGGTCAAGGCTTACGAAACACTGGTACCTCCAAAAGACTCTGAAGCCAATGATGCCTCCCTTGAAGACTGGAGATTAACGATTTGGCGCCAAGGGGATAGAATTGCCCTGGATCGAACTGATGTGGCGGGCCAAGCTAGGGTGCGACCGGCACCTCCAGCAAAAACTCCGAGACACCAATACCATTCCCGGGAATTGGGACATCCACAAGGGGTAAATGTGAAAAGAGGAGAGTATTTAGAGGCTGGCAGTAAGAACGCTAGTAGCTATAAACGCAAATCTTCCTCAGTTGGGACGGGGCGAAGCAAATGGGTCAAGCCAAAGGAATTCAAACCATGGAATCCAAACGAGAACGAGGGAGAGGAGTTCAAGTGATGATCGATAAATAGCATCGGACGTATGCGGCAGTCAAACAGATTGAATATATGCTGGTCCCTACTACTGCATGCTTTGGTAGTACGACACATGCCACAAACCCACCTGTGTGATCAACCGGCCACTGATGGAAAAAAAGATTTCATCAAATTGGAGCAGGCTGCTAACGGAACTCGGATGGAACCCCAGCATCGTCAGAGCTATTTTGAAACACACAGTGGTGGACTATTTACAGTGCATAGAATGAATGGTCCAAAACAACCACCAATGCATGGATACAGCGTACAGTTCGATACTATATGAACTGGTATGGTGATATGACAATACAGTACGTGTACTGTACTGTAGCATATATTAATAATACATGTATTATTATTGCGGTGATACAGGCAGTTGCAGAATTCTTGGAGTTTTCGGTCAGAAACTTCCTCGAGTAGAGTGCTTGATCGCCATCTGCCATGCATGGTACACTTGTACGGTATACCAGATTGTACGGTATACCAGACTGTACCATTGGCACCACCGAAAAGTAGGACCGTTATTTATTTTTTAGTACCGCGCTTACGTACACGTATTGTGCGCGTGTACCTCTTCTACTGAGGTTCAAAATGACGCCAACGGGACAGAAAATATTCCCTCAATGTAATTTTGTGGAGTGACAGAAAGAGCTGAGAGAAACCATACTCGTACTCGTACTCGTACTGTACGATAGTCTGTACTGTAGTATATTAGAATCATCAACGCCAAGATTGCCAGGATTGCCAGGATTGCCAAAATTGCCAAGATTGTCAAAATTGCGACAATCACCAAGAGAGCAAACGCTGATAATTACAGACTCACACTCGCGCTCTCAGAAAGTCAGCTGCTTCCCATCTCAATCCTAATCCCAATCAGCAATCGAATTGAAAGCCATAGTGAAAATACAAGTAAAAAGGCATGGCACCTCAAGCATCTACCGGCACGACCAGCAACGGCAATTATTTGAATCAAAGGCAGATGAGGCATGACAAAGACCTAATAATGGCTGGCGAAACCAAGGACGATCGTGAAACTGGCAACGATAGCGCCATTACCATTGGACAAAGCCAGAGTTCCCCAACACGTCAGCTCTTGCCAACACGTCCTCAACATGAACGACCCGCTTCTCATGGAGACCAACACGATGTCTCGGCCTTACGAGCGGAATTGGCAGCTGCAAAATCAGAAATTAGTTCCTTACGGGTGGAATTGAGTCAACAGCAATACGAATTGGAAGAAGTTAATCTCATTATCAATTTGCAAGATGAGTTGCGAGCTTGTAAGCAAGTCATTCACCAGCAAAAAGAACAGGTGGAACAACTGATGGTGGTGCAGCAGCAACAACAACAGCAACAGCAGCAGCAAGGATCAGCAGAGAACGATACATCTACCTCGTGGTCTGGGTTTGAGTCTGAAACCCCTCCCAATTCTTCTCAACACGAAGCCCAACTTGGATTGGAGACAACTGTCGGCGGAACTCAAGATTGGAAGGAAGAGTACAGGTCTCTCCATGCCAGATACTCTGAACTCCAAAATAATCGCGCTTGGAGTGAATTCCAGCTTCGCGATCGAATCTGCAACGACAGTTTGAAATATCATCGTCGTCTGATTCACTGGAAGTCCAAGAACCAAAAGTTGGAGCAAGAATTGGTGCAAACCAAGGCGGCTCACTCGACGGAAATTCAACAATTGCAAACCAAATGGAAATCGACGGCCTCTTCGGTCTTGCAACACACACTCCAGGATTTAAAGAACACACAGGGGAAGGTTCGGCAATTGGAAAAGGAATTGACGCGCATGAAATTGGAGCAAAATGAACCACAGATTCAGATTCAAGATTCATCATCCAAATTTTTGGCCAACGCGGCCAAGCATTCCAACTTTTTGTAATGTCGTGCAAAGGCAAGAGCCGAACCTTGGGGGTTGATAATGATCAAATTAGTTACTATTTCTTGATCCATTATTTACAGTAATAGGGAAACATATTTATTGAGCGGACAAACATGTAGGACTCTACTGCAACTCAAGTAAAAGCAGGATTACGAAATATCTTCCTGCTCAGATTTCAATGAATTGTGAACTATTTTATTTTTAACATTGCAATGGGTGTGACTTTTTTCTTCGTGCTTTCGTGCTATTGTATTCGGCTCAACTCCCTTCAATGAAAAAAGCCACGTAGGCCATGAAACCGAAAAGCAAAATGACAATGACCAGAGCAATGGTAATGCTAGGATGGGCAACGTCCTCGTGGTGTCCACAAAAGAACAATCCACAAGGCATATAATGGGCATCGGAAATTTCTCCCACCAAGCGCTTGTAGACCTTGGCACTCACAGGTAAGACGTAGTTTGGTGGTTTGAGGATGGAATTCATGTCCAAGTTGTTGTTCTCATTTGTCGGTACCCGATCCAGTGTCTCCCATTGAGGAGTCAGTCCCTCTTCGATGGCGTTGGTGATGTCAGTATAATCCTCAAAATCGTCATAATCGGATGCCCGTCCTTCCATGTACAAGTGTCCCTGAGTCAGCATTGAATGCGGATCGACAGGGGGTGGAGGTTGTTTCGCTCGTTTATTCTGTTTGGCAAAATTGGGATCTTCCTCGTCGTCCACAAAGACCAATCGTACGGCTTCAAAGGGGAAATGCATTTGCACTTGCCCCGTATGCGCATCAAAGCCACCAAACATGCTCGATTTGACAATATTGGATCGTACACTAGTCGTACTGACCTGAGAAGCAAAAGTTCCCACACTTCCCGATGAAGCAGTCCGGCGATGACCACTTCCTCTTCGCGGACGGGAATTCGATCCCGAGGACATGGCTCTTTGTCGATTGCCTCCCGAGATAACACTACTTCCACTCCCAGTTGCACCTCCAAAGGATCCAGCGCGTCGATGACCACTGCCACTCGGTGGGAGAAGGAGTGGAGACTCCACAGAGCCATTCCGTCTATGACTATTGGCAGGCATATCTGAACTGCTCCGACGGTGCTTCCGGCGTCCAGCTGGATTGGGCGAGTTTTGCAGACGAGCAATGGCCCCGCTCGAGGAGGTGCGTATCAATACTGGCTTGACTCTTTTGGCACCTCCACTCGCAGAAGTGTTGGGGGGTGTGGAAAGCGGAGGAGCACTCCAAATCGGGGAATTGTTTTGGGCAATCGATCCATAGTTGGAGTTGTTGCTGTTGTTGTTGCTGGCACTGTTGAAGCTTGTGACGGAATCGTTGTTGCCGTTGTTGCCGCTGTTGTTGTTGCTGAAGATATCTTGCAAAGGCGGAAGGGAGCTAGAATTGTTTCCATTTCCATTTCCATTAGTTTCCGTGAGTATTGGAGACGAAGCCCTTCTAGACGACCTTGGCGGACGTGAGGAAGTAGCAGCGGCTTGGGGTGACAAGGGTGAAGGAACAGGGGGCCCTGGTGGTAATGGATTGGTTGATGGTGCTGCCATGCCTTGATATTGGTGTGTTTGCTGTGTTTGCTGTGCTTGTTGTGTTTGCTGCGCTTGCGAGGAATAATACATCGGTGCTTGCGCATGAGTCGGGTATCCAAATGCGGAAGTAGCACCGTAGATTTGTTGCTGTTGTTGCTGATAGGCAGTCATGGAAGCAGCTGCCGCCGCAGCATCAGAGGGATTGTATCCAGCTTGCTCATATTGCGCTGCAAGTGTCGCAAAGACTGCCATTGAATTAGGATCATTGCCGTTTAAGTTCATGTTTGGATTCATGCTTGGATTCATCGGCATTGTCACTGGCATTTGAGGTGCTACCGGGACTTGTCCAGGTATGGGTTGAGGGTACGCATTGTTGTAGTTGTAGTTGTAGTTGTAGTTTGGCACTGTTGTGTCCTGCTGTGGTGGCTGGTTTTGCTGCTGCAAAAGAGGCGTTCCTTCCGAATCGCCATCGTGTTGTTTTTCATTGTTGCTCTTCATTGTTTTCTTTTCTTTTCTTTTCTTTTCTTTTCTTTTCTTTTCTTTTCTTTTGTCTTGTGTCAAACTCTTCTTTGAATCGATTCTCAAAGATTGATTGTACAAAGATATCCTACTGTACCGTATTACCGTATTACCGTATTACCGTATTTTATGTAATACTGTATGTTGTTCTACAGTACCCTGGTACCTGGTACCGTATTTAGATCTAAAACTAATCCAATTGGACCCACCTGCTCCGGCAAGAACAAGAACAAGAACAAGAACAAGAACAAGAACAAGAACAAGAGGACCGAAGGAAAGAAGCAAGAAAAGCAATATTAATACTTCGAGTGAAAGAAAATATGGAAATTACTCAAACTGCCTGCAATGTTCAACGTTTTGATGCTCCAACCAATTTGCAATGCAATCGATGGATGATGAAACGTGAAACGAACGTGCGTGGATTTCGTTTCTGCAAGACGGGGTAATTTTCCGAAATATGGGTTACACACGGACAGACGGGGTCCCATTGCCAGCGGGATCTCCTGTCGATTCCCGCTTGACCTGCTTGACCAGCCGTTAAATTCTAGCGATGCAATTTGCCAAAATAGACCTCGCCTTCAAACACCTGCCGGAATATCCAGCACTGGCCAACGGATGAATGATCGCCATATGAGTAGACGACTGAAACCGTTGTTGCCACATTAGCTTCCGGTGCAGAAATAGGATTTCCATTTCCGCACGGTGCGGAAATAGGATTTCCATTTCCGCACGGTGCGGAAATAGGATTTCCATTTCCGCACGGTGCAGAAACCAGCTTCCGAGTGAGAGCCAGCTTTTGATACAGAAAAGTCTCCCCCCAATTCTCCCCCAAACATAACCTGCCTCTAGTACTTCATAATGAGAATTGACGTTTCAGCTTTCACCTTGGGCTACTACACTGTCAACATACTCCAACATGAATCAGTAACACCTGCAAGGAAACGGCCCAATTACCATTTTGATAAATGGAGATTTGGAAGAGAGGAGGATTGCAAGCACTGAAATATTCCCTTGATCTGATCCGCGATTGATCTTGGATGTTGTGTAATGCTGAATATGTATAGTTTACTATAGTGTCAATAGATCGCTATCGGAACAGGAGCTAGTATCTAGCCACCGGAGGGATACAAGAACTATGGGAGCTGAGGCACCCAAAGCTAGTTGTATTCATATATCTCTCCTGACATTTTCTTTTGGCATTCTCCACTCCCTACCGGTATCTTTTGGCGTATGCAATCAAATACTTCCCCCAATTTTTCTTTCCCTTAAAGAAACCTTTTGGCTCAAGCTTCCGAATGCGGAAATGGAAATTCCATTTCCGCATCATGCGGAAATGGAAATTCTATTTCTGCATGATGCGGAAATGGAAAATCTATTTCCGCATGATGCGGAAATGGAATTTCAGAGTCGTGGATTCCAGATTCCACATCCGTTGTATTCACTGTTGTACGAGGATGTAGTGCTCGCAACGCCGATTTGAATCGTGTGCAAATTTGATTCGAGCTTTTTCATTCCGCGTGCAGACGACGATGACCGTTATTTTTTGATACATTTGTGTTGGCACGCAACCCGCTTGAGAGAGCGGTGACACCCGTCTGTCCTTGTCCTTATTTATGAAAATTACCCTGTCTTGCTGTGATTTTTTCGTCTCTAATCTCACGATGATTGATTTTTCTGACCATTGGCTTGCTCGTCAAATGTGAGTCGCAATGCGTGTCGCACTCCACCTATTCTGAAGGGTTTTGATTGGTTCAAACAGGGTTCAAACTAGGAACAACAATGAACATTTCTGGTTGGCCACCATCGGATCATTCGTTCATCGGAGCATCGGAGCATCAATCATCACCCCTACCGCTACCGCTACCTGGTACTGCGACACAAGACTCTCAAAAGCGCTGCAAGCTGAAGCGAATGGCTTCACTACCCTATTCTTCTCTACACGCACCGATACTAGAAACCATGAGAGCGAACCATCATACAGGTATATTAGCTGTCGCACTGCTGCTGCTATGCCTTCCATTAATAGTGACAGCCAAAACGAGAGCGAGAGCGAGAGCAAGATCAAGAGTAAGAGCAACTGTCACCAGTCCAGTATTTGCTCGAGGCGGTGAACAACGCAAAGTAGGTCCTCTTCAAACCTTCCTTTCCACAGTCAAGGATGCTCGTCAACACTTGATGGCTGCGGCTGTAGCTAGAGGAACTTGTACGGCAATCATGTATCCCATGGATTTGATCAAGACACGGATTCAGGTCAGCCATCCCAATCCGCTGCAATTGGAGGGTCTCTTTGATGGTTTGGGGGGAAGTCTGTTGGGACAAATTCCTTACGGAGTATTGACCTTTGGCAGCTACGAAGTTTACAAGCGCACATTGCAAGAAAGATTTCCTGATTGGAAACCCGCTTTCCAGTATGCCCTGGCAGCAATTATGGGAGACATGACAGGATCCTTCTGGTTGTGCCCTTCCGAAGTAGTCAAAAATCAAATCCAAGCTGGAATGTACAAAACTACACCGCAAGCTTACAGAAGCATCTTGAACAGCAAGGGATTTGGGGGATTTTATCAAGGTTTCTTTGGTTTGGCAGCCCGTGATATTCCTTTTCGTGTTTGTCAGTTGACCAGTTATGAAATCGTCAAGAGCGTCTATTTGAAATCCAAGACTGCCAAGAATCTGAGTCAACAACGTCAACGTCAACGTCAACGTCAACAGCGAGGAAAAGATCAAGGACAAGCCGAAGTGGCGCTCTCGCCAGTAGAATCTGCGATTTGTGGAGCCATCGCAGGTACCTTCTCGGCCGCGGTGACAACGCCACTTGATCGCATCAAGACTCTTATGGCTGTCAGTACGGAAACCAGTGCGGCCGCTGCCGGAGTCTCCTCCTCGGTCTTTGCATGCGCTTCCATGATCATAAAGGAAGAGGGACCTCTTGGTCTTCTCAAGGGATTGGTACCACGCGTAGTCTATGTTGCACCAAGTGTCACCATTTTTTTCATCGTCTATGAAGCAGCTCAACAACGGTTCAAGTCCTCAGATGCCTTCCAACCAGACGGCAAAACGGCGCAAAAGTCCAAAAGACAGTAGTCATCAACAAGAAGACAGGAAATGATTAAAGCAGCTAACATTTTATTGGGGCTACTACTGCTGGTGTAGCGGGTGGTGAACAAATCCACCAAGGCACGACACTTTCACTCTACACTTGTATCAGCCATGTGCTCTTGCTCGGCACTATACACTGGGATATCATGTCAAGCACGTCATTTTGGCGGCAGCAAAAGAGGATTACCATTGTAGACTGCTCCACTACTGTACCGTATGTACCATATGTAATGTAATACTGTAATCTGAAATCAAAAGGCGGGGAAACTGTTCCAAGAAGTCAAACAAGTCATCAATTTTTTATTAAAAATCCACGATCCACAAACCTGCGACACGAACCACTTATTAGGTAGTACACCTCAAAACCTTTATCAGCGAGACCAAATCTCACTCACTACCTCACCCCACCCCACACTCATCGCGAGGGTGAAATAGCCAACCTTTCATTACCTTCGGTGACCATGACGACACCGGCGATTTTATTCAACGACGTTCCAAGAATCCACTTTTGGGGAAGCACAGCTCCATACGAAGTTAGTGAAGAGGATGGTTCACATCCATTGGGCGCTCCAGTAGAAGATGATGGACGAATAGAGGAGCATGGTCAAGAGGACACGGAACATGATGCTGGAGACGTCATTGAAAACGACGGCGAGGACGGATATATGGAAACCATATTTGCAGACCCTAACGTGGATGAATTCGTAATGATTCCAGCGAATATTTATGGTGAAAGTCAAGATTCGGATTCCCGATTGAACTGCCGGCGAATCAATGCATCGACCGAGGAGCAAAACAATGGAATAAGCACTGGCGCGGAAGTCAAGAACGAAAACATATTTAGTGCATTTCTTAATCGGTGTCGGCTGTATATTGAGTCTCAAGATGATTCACCACGGCCCCAACAAGACAAGAAGCAGCCATATATTCTTGGTAGCAATAGACGAGCTCCAACTCGCAGCTCAACAATCTATAGCAGCTATGATTGGGTCTCGGAAGTAGTTGTCGACGAGGAAGGTCGCAGACTGATTCTCCCTGGTCAAGTTGTTGTTATGGGACAAGAAAGACAGGGGAACACCGCATGTTTCAATTCTGATTCTCAGCATTCTCCGTCTGCTTGTGAAACCGACTCGGAAAGTCCCGCAACATCCATTGCTAGACGGACAGATTTGTCATCCTTCTTCGAAACTTCTACCATTATGGTTTCCGCACACGACTTGCTTGCAACTCGAAACAGCAGCAAAAACAACAGCAGCAAGGAGCACTGTGAATTGGATTTTGATCAAATGCATGGAGGGTCTCCACAGTCATCGCTGACATCGTCTCTAGGTTATCATACGGCAACGATGAGTTCCAAAATTGCTACCGGCCTGCAACGGTTTGCAGTCCAAAAGTTGGATCGAGTTCATCACAATCTGGTCCACACTACTCATCGTCTGACGAATGGGGTCACAAGTCAGCTCCGAAAGGTGGAAATGCGCTTCCATATCCTGGGCATCGTATCTGACATTGCGATAATAAGTTGTGATTGGTTATTTCCAACGCCGCTAAGAGAGTTGGAAGATGGCATTGGTGCACCCAGGGATCCTGTCGGCGACGCTTATGTATCGATTGAAATGGCAATGCTCGAGACAGATGAGACTTCATCCTCAGGGTATCAGCAAGAAATTGTCTAATGGACCCGAACTTTGCTTGCCACTATTGAAAAGGCAAGTGTCCAGCGTCCAGCCCGATACTAGTCCAATATTAGTCCAATATTACTAACAAAGCAGTACCTGGCTGGGTCGATTTGTTGAATAAATCTATTTAGGCGACACGAATGCAACGCAACGCTATCCAACGCCTTCCTGCTCATATAGTAGACAGGCAGGTTGTTGGGGTCACTTTTCGCAGCAAGAATTTTACCAGCCAGAGAACTGTATTAATTGTAAGATTGCAATTGCATTGTGTACCAGATCACTTGCAAGGCTTGTGTACCGGTACATATACCCACCGATATTATGTTGTATCATACAACAAGTACTGTATCGGCTGCTCGAATTTTGTGTAGGAGCGCTCGTACCTCTAAAAAATAGGTATGATCCCCCGGCATATATTATCTAAACAATCAGTGGAACATCATGTGCATGCCCCAAGCCGGTCCAGCAACATTTTCATTTTGTTAATCCTACGGATTACCAGGCGCCGCCTCCACTTCATGACTCGATGTTTAGCGTGATTGGCCTAGGATGATTGCATACTACGAATTGTACCAAACGGGATTATGCCAGTCCTCCATACGGTACGTAAGTAAGAGGTGTGGGTTTGGCATCGTAAGCTTGGTAACTAGAATTAGGGACCGGATTTGAAACGGGAATCGAAGATTCGACTCAATGGACTCAGTCGTGACACAAATTTGGGACCGTAATGGTACCGAGCATTTGGTGCAGAAGAGATAAATCAGGAACCGGGTGGGATGGTGGGAAAAAAAGATATAATCATTCTGAATTGCTTCAGAAGATCATGGTTCCTTAGCTCTTCATCGTCTCATCTTGCACTTGGCAAAAAGAATGTTTCTGCCACGCCTTCGTTTGCCATGCCGATCGTCCCCGAAATTTCGTCCAATAATTACCGTTACTTCGCTTAAGCGACTGACAACATGACTGTTGGCGTGAAGACAGATATCTTCTCGTGCCAGTCCGTCTACCGTCTTGCCTGATCATAATCCTACGGATTACCAGGCGCCGCCTCCACTTCATGACTCGATGTTTAGCGTGATTGGCCTAGGATGATTGCATACTACGAATTGTACCAAACGGGATTATGCCAGTCCTCCATACGGTACGTAAGTAAGAGGTGTGGGTTTGGCATCGTAAGCTTGGTAACTAGAATTAGGGACCGGATTTGAAACGGGAATCGAAGATTCGACTCAATGGACTCAGTCGTGACACAAATTTGGGACCGTAATGGTACCGAGCATTTGGTGCAGAAGAGATAAATCAGGCCAAGGAATGGTATGCAATCGCTTCCGGAGGAAACGGAAGAAAGGGCCAATACACAGGCGAGTGCATGGAGTGGGAAAAAGAAAAAAAGAAGGAGGGAGAAGGAAAAGTTGTCGATGGTCAGAGCATCAGACTAGAGGAATAGAGAGGTAATGTTGCATAAAGGTAGCAAGTTGAGTTATATAAGAAATGTGGTTGCATCAATCATGGTGATTGCATCATTTTGTTGCATGCAGAGGTGGGCGACGTTGCGCAGGTATGCCATGAAAGCGTCGGATTTCCATCGGAGGAGGAATTTGATCTGGTCAGTTGTCGCTCCTGATGTGTGGAGGAGGACGCAAGCTCCAACTCGGATGGAGTGGGAAGAATACTTTATCTTGTCTTGTTGCGGGTCTAGGTTGTAGAGCGAACAAGCGACGTGGCGCATGACGCGGGTGATTTCGGCATCATGGAGGAAGAGGACGCGGGCGCCATCTTGGTAAACTGCAAGTGGGACATTGGTAGTTTTGATACCAATCAAACGGTCAAAGCGGGAAAGGATGGAGTGCATCCGGCGGATATAACAACGGAGTGGAGACTTTTCGCTGCGGATGAAAAGTTTTTCTTCGCCATGGTTGCCATTCTTCTGGTGGGAAAAACGCATTTTGATGCGCCAAACACGGTCCGGATTCTGAAGGAATTCTTCAATGGATACTTTACGTTTGAATTTGTCAAAGCAAGTGACATCTTCAACACAGAATGCAATGGAAATGCCGTCGAATGTAGCTTGGTCACCGATATTCTTGTTAGTGGAGGTTTGGGCGTACTCAGATAAACGGTGGCCATCGAGAAGGCCGATACTGTTCCAATCTTCGCAGGTTTTCCAAATGCCGTCGTGGTGGGCTTTGGTGTCAAGGTTGTGTTGCTCGAGGTGTTGTTGCATGTCGAGGGTGTAAGGCTCGAGTTTGTTTGGGACCTTTTCGTGGCGTTCGACTTCAGCAAGGGTGGCGTGGATATCTGGGGACATTTTGGTATCGCTTGGGTTGTTGTAGCGGGGATCACGACCAGTGAAAAGGCAGATAAAGGAGGCAGCTGCATGGAGGTATTGTTTGATAGTTGCAGATTTGATGTATTGGCCTTGGAGGGTGCGGCCGGTGGCGAGAGCCACTGTATAAAGGGCAAAGGTAGCGACACGGCGTTCGTGGGGGAAATCGGGGCCATTCATCAGGTAGTCGTCGCGAAGATTCATATCATAGCAAAACTTGAGGAAATGGAGTCGGCGGGAACGAAGTGTCCCAAATTTGCGGGGATCATCGGCGGCGCCTGCTTTGGATTGGAGAATAGACAGGAGCGCAGGACGGAGCAGAGTTCGGGACTTGGCTGGAAATAATCGAAGTTTCTCATCCAAGGTAAAGTGTGAAATGTCTGTGAAAGTAAGTGATGGTGAGAGAGTTTTGTGTCGGGGCGTGAAATAAAATCAGCAGCAAAGTTGTCTTCACCGGGTACATGGTCGGATAGTGAAGTCAGAGGGGAGCGCTTGAGCAGTTGACCGTGCAAGTCGACCAAAAGGCGTGCGAAGGGACTGTTGGTCCGGGCGTCATTCATCCATTTCTCAGTAGGGGTGTTGTCGGTTCGATTGAGTAGAACTGGAAAGTGTGGAAATCCATTGGGAAATTGGTGGACCAGGCCTGCATGGGCGTGGGAAGTGCCTTCAAGGCGGACAACCGTTGCAACCTCTTGGAGGAAAGCAACCAAGAACTCAAGGCTGTTGATGTGGACATAGTTCGGGTTGCTGGATTTTAATTTGGTACCAGCAACAATATCGGGGCTCCAAACAATGCGGAACCAGAAGAGAAGTTCCTCCGAATAGGCTCCTCCTCCAATAAAGCTAGCATCACCAAAGGAAGTGAAATGCGGGTCGCGAGGGATCATTTGGGGAATGTAGATTTTCCATGTTTCAGTTTTGAGGCTGTGTTGGATCGCTCGTAATTCGCGGGTGACAGAGGCATCGAGATGGAATCGCTTGTTGGCGTTCCAAAGAAATGTTGCTGCTTCTTTTCCGATGAGGGAAGCGAGGCGGTAGCTGAGGGCTGGAGGAAGTTGGTCGGAAATTATTTGGACTTTGTCATTGCGCTTCATGTAATGTTTGATGGATTGGTGGCGGGAGCGGAGAAATTGACTGAGGACACGTTGCAAGTTGAAATACGAACAACGCATCCAGCGACAGACTGTGGTTGCAGTTGAAACGTGCCCAAGAAGAATCGCGATATCGCGAAGGGAGAGTTTTGGATTCGCGAGCGTTTCTGAAAGGAGTTTGAGAAGGCGGTCCCGTTTGATGGGAGGCAAGCTCACTGTCAATTGTCTTGAGTTCACTACCCATCCGATGGTTTTGCGTTCATGGGAGAAAGTGTTGGCAAATTTTTCCCAAGAGATGCAATCGCGTATTCCATTAGAGGTGTTTGGGTATCCCAGGAGGATGTACAAAGCAAGGACACTGGCTGATATTGTTTGGCGCAAGAAGAGCGCAACATCAGCATAGAGGCAATCGTCGACGTGGTGGTCGAAAGTAGGAGACTTGCGGGTACCGTCAGGTTGTAGAACCCCGGGATTCTTCGAGTCAGGTTCGGCGGGGGTGAAAGCGGCAATGTCTGATGGTGTTGGAAGAGGGGCAAGTGATAATGTCGGAAGGTATTTTGCCACCCTGGGGATGGTTGTAGCTGCTGCGTACCAAAGGGATTGGGCAAGTTGTTGGCGGACCAAGGCAACGACTTCCCATTGGGCAGGGCTGGTGTTGTCGCCAAAGGAAAGACCAGTGCAAAAGAAAAGGAAACCAAAGAGCATAAACATATGCATTCCAACCACATTGGGGTTCCATTTGACATGGCGGAAGGCGCCGGAAACATCATCGTCACAGATGTATATTTCCTCGTTGGGGTAGGTGATACGGAGGTTGTAGATCCAGATCAAGAAGTTGGGGAATGACCGCGGGAAGCAGATGTCGGGTTCTGTGTCTTTGGAGGTAAAATCGTTGACTGCCATAGCTGCCAGGGAAGGATGATGGGTCGCATCGAAAATGATTCGGGGTTTTCTGTATTCATGGGACGCGTCAACCAACCCGAGTGGAGTAGTATGGGCATCGCGGATATACGGAAGGAGGGCGGGGTTGGCTGCCAGGAGGTAATTGCGGAGCACGTCCTTTTCGACAGCACTTTTGGTTTTTTTCACATCATCATAAACTGTTTTGTGGTTACCATAGGCGATGAAGGTTCGGAGGTTGTCATCTGAGGATTCGGCGGTCACGTAGTTCGGGGCGCCGTCGAGGAATATGCGTTTCAGTTGTGTGATGAGAAGAGGGTCAACTTTTGCTTCGCGGAGGATAGGTTCGAGAGTTGGCCAATCTCGATGGGCGCCGGTATGGATGTTCCCAACGAAGCGGACTGCAGTAGGGATACTGAGGTCGTAGTGGAGGAGACATGCAGTAAACATGCGGCTCCATCGATGCATGGCGACATCAGGCGGCAGGTGAGTTGGTATGGGTTGTCGGAGGGGTCGGAAGTCCACAAATCGGTGTTCGTCGAGGAGAAGGGAGAGGAGATGGATGGATGGGCACACTTGGAAGAGGGTTGCCATGTCGGTTGGGCTCAAGTAGCGGCTCTTCAGCAGAAATATCCAGGTATGTTCGAATTTGTGCTGGGTACTGAACCACCGGTCAACACTGTCCTTACCATGGGGAGAATTGACGGCGAGGAACACAGGGGACGGGAGTTTTGTTGTTGCCCAAGCTTCACGGTCGCGTTTGGTCGTTGAAGGGATAGAGGAACGACCTTGGATCGCAACTTCAAGTCTTTCGCCGAATTTTTCTTGTTCTGCGTCAGTGTACCGTGGATACGGGGAGTCTGGAGAGGAAGCGGAAGGAGGAGAACTGGAAGGGGTATGGGAAGGGGCATTGGAAAGAGTTCCTGTCGGTTGGGTGGAAGTTGAAGTTGTTCTGGATGGGTGGGGTGGCGAAAGAGAGTTGTTGATCGGGTTGCGGATCATGCTACTGGGAGTGCGGACGATGCACGTAGAGCATTGAGGAACTTTGGACAAAACGTGGATGAAATGCAGTGGAACGAAATGGTAAGGTAAGTCGGTGACGGGTTGACGTGCTGTTTAAGTAGTTTGAGTTGGAGAACTAACCATGAGGTTTTGGGGCGGTACGGGTGACCCCAGGGGTTTTTTCAATGAATTTATCAAAGGATTGGGTTTCGGTGGGGCTCATGGTTGCCGCAAATTGTTTGGTGTAATGGATGTTGTGGCAGCGGGGGCGGTTGCAATGGTAGTTGGCAAATAGGAAATGGGAACAGAAGGCTGCCTGTTTCCCAGTAATTGGATGTTTACATTTGAAAGGGGCAATTGGGAGCCTGCCCGGGCCATCGTAGGTCAAGTATCCTGGATGTGATCCAAGGGGTTGGGGTCTGGCACGTTTGGTTGGGTCTGGACGTTCACGGGTGGTTGGGCCCTCACGTTTGGGAGCGGGGTTCGGTTTTCCATGCAAGATCGTATGCAAGTTGGGGCAAGTAGCGTATGGGCCAAGGTTGCCCATAGTGATAGACATATTGAGGTGGCCGATGGCGGATTCGACACCATTGAAGGCATTCACGAAAGTGTCGATGGTGATAGGCTGGCCGTTGCGGAGTTTGCTCAGGGTTGTTTTGTTCTTGGAGACCCCCACAACAATCTGCAAGATCTGGTTCATTTCAAGGAGAAGACAGAGGGGTAGGTGGGGGACCTTATCGTTCCAACGGATCCAATCTTTGGCAGTGGGAGTGTGGAGGGCATCCATAAAATCTTCCAAGAGGGTGACAATCAATGGGGGGTCGTCGAAGGTAAAGTCTTTGACACAGTATTTTGCAAAAGCAAAGAAGTTCGCTAACATCTTGATCAGAGCTTCCACAGAGCTGATATCGCCGTGGACAAAGATGTCGGTCTTCTTTGCTGCTTGTTTGGACTTGTCTTCTTCCATGGCTTCCTGCCGGATGATGTCGCGGCCTTCCGCTAGGAAAGTTGTGTATTTGACGTCATGCTTGTTGGGAGGGAGCCAGGCAAGGAGGCTAAGAAGGGAAGTAGCTTCGTGAGGGTGCATTGTGAGTGGCTTAAAGCCAAAGCTGCATGTTTTCAGAGCAGTGACTGTTGCGTGCTGGAAGAGGGCAATGTCGAAGTCAACGTTGCGGTCGTAGTTATTGCGAGTGGTGAGGGTGTCGGTGATATGGGCAAATGTATCGTGGAGGTGCCGGAGGGCTTCTTTGATCGAACCGATTTCCAAGAAAGTTTCGAAGTCATCGGAAAGGACGGACGGGTGGAGTTCTTTGACTGTTGAACCGTCGAGTTGAACTACGCTTTTTACGCGGCCAAAGAGTAAACGGTACGAATCCTTGGCGCTGGCAGAAGTGCGGGCAAGATCTTTTTCTTTTGTGCTGGCGTTGACGCCTTTGAGAGCGTTGGCCATGATCTGGGCGAAGAGTTCACTGTCGAATGGGGCTCCTGCTGGGAGGGGGGCCGCAGGAACTTCGTGGGTAGCAACATGGGTAGTAGATGCTAAAGTAGAAAGGGCCGAATGCCGTTTGAATTCTTCGAATAGATTCTTGTATGTGTCGGCCTCCGCGGCAAATGCACTGACGTCTGATGTAGAATAGGTCAGATGAGTAGCAAGATCACTTGAGGGAAACCGATCCGTTGGGATGGTGTCGTCACTGAAGATATGGTCGTGGGAATGGATGCTCTGAGACTCGTTGTGGTCGTGAAGGTACTTCATTGCCTCGTACCAGAGCTGGAACTGGGGGTGGAAGGTGTCCAAGTCGGCTGGTGGAGCGGAGGATAGCTTGAGATTGGTAGGGATGGTTGCACCAGGATAGATTGGGAAGAACTTTTTAACTTCAGTGAACACCCCATCGCCACTAGGCCAATAGATATCCTCTGGGGGATTGGCGCTGTCGGGGGCCAATGCGGTATGGGGAGAGTATTGGGTGTCTTGGATGTGGCGGGCCTTGCATTCACGAGCCAGTTCATCGCGGGCGATGGAGATGACACTGCTACCAAGGGCATCCAAGGAGAAAGCAACTGGGGTGGGGGACTCGTAACGGTCATTCGCGGATGCCCAGTACAAGTTTGGACCGACCTGTTTAGGGCAGATCACTTGTCGGAGAGTCCCATCAGCGCCGTCAAAGTATGCAAATCCGTGGGCTTGGGATAGTAGAATGTTTTTGCAAGCGCTGGCGTTATGAGTGTGGAAATAGTTGGATAGCAGGAGTTTCTCCTTAATCGGGTCCAAGGGAAGGTCTTTGACGCTAGTCAAAGCAGAGCGACCTACTTGGAGGATTGCATCTAGGGTGCGAGGGGGGAAAGTCTGCATCGGGCGAAAGGGACAGCAGTTTCGAGATTGTGGGGGGTTGGTGGGAACGAAATAGGGAGTGATAGTGGGTTGGATTTGTATAAATTAGCGATAAATACTGCGATAAATCGGATTGTATGGGCCCTCAACGGTAGAGGGAGGCAGTTGGAGACCTTTGGTCGGGCCATCAGGGCGTTGCAAACGGAAAGATGGTGCGGTCGGAGTGACCGAAGATTCGTTGCCAATCTTGGTTGGCGAGCCGTTGGCTATGGGAATCACTCTGGGATGCACGTAGCGAGGTGGTACTGGGGGACACAGGTCGGAGTAGGCAGAATTGGTCCGGCGCCGATGCGGATGCGGGCGAAGGAAAGGTGCTGGACTCGATGGTTCGGATGGTTGCTGACTGATGTCAAGCTCCGACGGATTGCCACCGGTGGGCAAGGGATCAGCTGTCGCAGGTTGCTGATTGAGGAGATCTCTCGGAGAGATATGGATGTGTTGACGGTCAACAAAATGCACAGGCGCAAATGAAAATGAGTGGTAGCATGGGGCTAGACCACTTGACACCGGGTGTCTGTTCAAATATCAGGAATTTGAGGGTTAGCCACCGGTGGGCAATGAATACAGCGTGTAATGAGCTGACGCAAGTGTGCGATTTTTAGAGTAGGCTCCCGGGGAGCGGTTGTCAACATGGTGACGGTTCTCGGGTACGCGAGAAAAGGTTGTTTGGGGCCGCTGGTGGAATGATGGCTCGAATCGGATTCGGAGATTCATCCTGCGGTAAATGTTGTTGTGGGGGCGGCTGCGACTTCGGAAGTCGGGCCGGTGGTTCTTGTAATGAGTAGATGAAAGAGAGAAAAAAGATATAATCATTCTGAATTGCTTCAGAAGATCATGGTTCCTTAGCTCTTCATCGTCTCATCTTGCACTTGGCAAAAAGAATGTTTCTGCCACGCCTTCGTTTGCCATGCCGATCGTCCCCGAAATTTCGTCCAATAATTACCGTTACTTCGCTTAAGCGACTGACAACATGACTGTTGGCGTGAAGACAGATATCTTCTCTTGCCAGTCCGTCTACCGTCTTGCCTGATCAGAGTTGGAGAGAACTTTGTGGACCAGCAGAAACCAGAAGATCACGGATTACTTAACGGACTAGTTACTGTATCTCCTATGGCCTGTGGAGACGTACTGAAGAATTGGACTGTTCAACGTTAAGTATAAATTCAAGACAGATTTTTACTGGAACTGCGAGCCGGCTGTTGAAAAGTGTCGATTTGGCCGTGAAGTCACTTATGACTATCGCCAGCCCTAATCTCAACGGACGGGCCCTCCAATAGTATGCTTCAAAACTTGATTGACAGACTCTCAAATTTGGTCAATCTTCGCTAATCAAATGCGTACAAGTACGAGGAGCTCCCGGTACTCCTCGGAACACTGCCGAGTGAAGCCAACAACGAACTCCGCTACAAGACTACTTTGAACTCTCCCACCCTTTGAGGCCTTGTATTTTGATTGTTGTAGTCCTCCCTTTCGCGTACAGTGCTGTTTAGTGTGAAAGGGTTTTGGACTCGAAGTTGCACAAAGTACAATTCACATCAGTGTTATAGTGTTTGATTGACAGTTCAGTTTGTTCTTTTGTCTGTCGTCCCTCTGTTGGATACAGTTGCAGTTGCAGTGTTATCACAGTCGCAGTATCAAGCAAAAACGGTCGATTCATATCTTTGTCTGAATCCTAAAGCTACGATTCTTTTGGATATCAAGAATGACGGATCCAAACAGCGAAGCTGCCTTGCAGCGTGTGGATAATCCCAACATCAATGATGTTCTGTGTGGACGAGGTGGAAGCATCAATTCCCATGCTGGAAAGTAAGTAACTAAAAGACTAGCTAGCTAGCTAGCCGATTGGATTGCATTGCATTGCATTGAATACCAATTGATGGAGATGGAATGAAATGAAATGGTGCACAAAACACTGTGCAAATGTACATGGAAATTGGATGCAATTTGGATTTCAGAACACTGGCGAAAACGCCGTTTGGCTTTTGATCCACACACACGCATACAATACAATGTCGTCTCCAACCAACTTGATTTCATTTTGTCTTCAACTGAAATAAGACAAGACACCACGATTGTATTGTGTTGTGTTGTTTTATATTATATTTTATTATATTACAATGGGCTCACATTTTTGTTTCCGTTTCTTTTTCTTCCTTCTTTCAAATACAACAGCGAACACTTTCGTCAGCTTGTTGAAAAGAGGAAAAGGGTGTACTTGACGGCTCGTTTCAAGCGCGAAAAGAGATTGATTGCATCATCAATCGTATCAGAAATTAGAGCCCTTGACCCTCAAGGTAGATTTCTTGCAAGGAAGGGAGGCAAAGATAACGGTTTTTGGTACGATATTGGTGATGAAAAGGCCAGAGATAAAACCTCCCAGGCATTGCGAGAAAATGCTCCGTCGATTCGAGCAGAAATAGAGACAGAGATCAACGAGCAACGGAGGGAGATGAAGGAGAAAGACGAGAAGGAACAAAAGGAAAAAGGGGTCAAGGCTCCTCCACAACCTCCGGCACAACCACAACCTGCTCCTTCTGCATATCATCATCCACCACCACCGGCACCACATGGATACTATGATCCAAGAGCGTACTGGGACTATTATTACTACTACTATCATGGGTATGCACCGCCATCAGCTCATGGACGACCTCCTAGTGCTGTACCTCCATATCCCCATCCAACACCGCAACATCCAGGGCATCCGCCTCCCGGAGCGTTGGCTGGGCTTCCGCCACCGCCACCACCCCCACCAGGTACGCCAATACCTCCACCACCAGCAGGATATCCATGGGGTGCTCCAGGGGCCATGCCTCATCCCGGAGCACCTCCACATTCACACCCACCACAACCTCCAGCACCTCTTCACATGAATCAACATCATCCAAACGCACAACATCCAAACATGACAACGTCTTCCTCGCCACAAGCAAGTTCTGCGTCGCAGGAAGATCACGATCATGAAATGGCCATGACCTTACAACATCAAGAAAAGCAAGCTGTTTTCGAAGATAGGAAGCGCCGTCTTACCTCGGATCCCGCCAACAAGCTTCGTATGTCTGTTGCATTCGTTTCACCCGGACACTTACCTAGAATGCAGGCAGACTCAAATGATGTTGCAGGGGCTGCTGCCTCGCCTTCTTTTGATATGTCATCAACAAATAAGGAGATGTCCCAAGAAGAGTTGGACCACCGCTTTGCTGTAGCTTTGCAAGAACAAGAAGACAATGAACTGAGATATCAGATTGAGCACACTGATAGACGGGCATCGAGATCAAGTGCCTTTCCAATGCACGGAGGAACCCGTAATGTCAGTAGAAACAGCATCTCTTGGTTGAATCAAGGTGCACACGCTTCGCCCGCGCCTGCACCTGGGGCAAACAACAATTCTTCATCAACATTTGAGCAAATTTTGCCCACATCTTTCATGACTTGGACGAAGACTCTTGCCAATGGCCAAAGCACTCAGGACGAAAGTGGTCAGAACGAGAAACACGTGCCTCTTGGAGCAGACGGAACGTACTCTCCTATCCACCTTGAAGACAGTGCACAATCGCAGATGATGCCACCAACAACAAGGCACATGTTGGACTCTTCTGTCGGATCATGGGAAAACAGCAATACAGGTCTTATGGAATCATCCGACGGCAATTTCCGAGTGCGGATTGCTCACATTGCATCGCCCAAGAAGCAGAGAGCTAACCCATCGTCTCCTGGACTTCGAATACATGCACTAGACAACTCTGGGGAGGGACAAGAAGTAGAATTGATGGATGTACGAGATGAACCTGGTCTGCCTCCTCTTGACAAGCAGTTTTCGAGAGTGGGAACAAGTGGTTTCTTGCCGGAATCGATGCCGAGTTCCAACTTTTATGATGGAAAAAAGAACGGAAACATCTCTCCCACTCAGAGTTTGGATATGGACGAATCTGGAAATTCGAATTTGTCTGGACACGGGTCCCTTGGAGGGCAATCGCTCTGCAACATTTTTGCAGAAAAAGATGCGACTCCAGATGAGATCATTCATCGAGTTCTGCAGCAGGTTCCTTCCTGGGAACGCAGTATGCGAAGTCGTTCTCCGCTTTCAATGAGTGATTATATTGAAGAAGGAGATTCCATGATTCGTGTTCGAAATGCTTCCATTGAGAAACCACTTGCACCGCCGATGGAGCCAATCAAGGACGATCCCAACGAAGCGGAATCCGGTATGGATTGGGAGTAAACACGGCCCATGAAGAGTGTCCATTGAATGGGGAAATTTGATTGGATGACTTGTTATCTGCACCCGGTTCGTGCATATGCGAGTCTGATTTTATGCCTGTACAATTATTTTAAAATTGACCACTATGAACTGTCACCTTGAATATTAGAGATAGTAGGGAACAAAAAGCAGTCTACATGGTGCGGACACATCCTCTTCAGGTCTCCCTAGTTTGCGCTGAGATGCTAATTAGCGAGGTGAAGAGTACAATTACGCACGTACGATACCGGTACTATGTATTCTCGAAGAATTAGTCAAGAGGTCATTAAAAGGGGGATTAAAAGGGGGTCCCATAAAAGAAAACCAACTTTGAAGCTCAAGAATTGAAGACCAATATCGATTCATTCCTGAAATTGTAGTCAGTAGGGTACCAGGTGTACCTGTGCAGGGTAGGGTCTGCAAATGGTGCAAAAATCAGACATAACGTGCCGGGAGATGAGTCAAAATTGCAAATCCCCTGGAATTTTGATTCCCCCTTCAGGGTAGGTATACGAAGCAAAGAATCAATCATTCAAAAGAAACTCCTTTTCATCTTCAGTCATCGGACCATCTTCATCATCAAATTTCCCCAATGCTGAAAGAAAGGAAGACAAATCAGGTTCCAGAAATGGATTAGGAAGCTTAGGGAGCTCTGTTAGTTTACGAGTATTTTTGAGTCAGTACTTCTCTTCATGAAAGGAAAATGGTGAATCCTCATCATAGGAAAAATGTTCTTGCTGTTCTTCAGGATAATATTCTTCCTGTTCAAAGTTGAATTGATCGTCCCATTGTTGCTGATTTTCTTCAGCTTGATAAAAGTGTTCCTGATGCTGGTACTGGCTGATGCGACTAAAAATATCGCGCGTGGCGAGTCAGAATACAGATCATATTTCTATGGAAATCATCTTGTTGATGATGTAAGAAATCAAGATTCAAGCAAGAACCAAAGTTGGATACTAATCAAAGTACCGACTACAGTGGAAGGTGAACGGAGAAACACATTGAACTTGCAGCATATCAGGCTGACGTCGTAGAGAGAATTCTGAGAATTTCCACTGAGTTGGAGAAGAAAGAGTCAAAGTCAAAAGTTGACAGATTGTTCTCACTTTTTATAATATATTGCAAGCAATGAGTGAATTGGTTGATAAAGTAGGATCTCTAATAGATCTATGTACTTCTATATACTGTAAATTCACATACTTAGAAGGCAAACAATACCTCCTGGACAGCTAAATTGCAGTCAATTTAACAGGTAGATTGCAGGCGACAGTGGATCGCTTACTTCTGACACCTGTGGCTGTAAGATATTCTTTTGGTGTGGGTGCAGACTTAGATTTGCGTGGATGGCGTCTTCAACTGTCCCTTCATGACAATCAACGACATTCAATCAAACCTTGATATTGATTTGATTCCTTCATGGGAGCACTTTGAGCATTTCAGGTAGTAATCCTAATGCCAAACAAAATTTGATACTCACCGACATGTATTCCACGCTATCATCTGTATTTCATGTTTAAGTTTGGTGCCAATCATGCCCCAATGAACTTGTTCTAATGAAATTTCTTCTGATGAGTCGCCCTAGTATGAGGTCCTGAAAGGGCCCAACAAGCAGAAAATTTGAAGTCTCAAAACAAAATCGTAATTGAAAATATAGACACCTCTACTATAGATAAATATCACAAAATTGCTTGCTGAAGTAGCAGTATTTGTAATCACAACAAGCTCTTTTCTACTGTATGGTTTGAGCTCTGGTAATTTGGGTCTTATGTAGTGTATGGTTTGAGCTCTGGTAATTTGGGTCTTATGTAGTCGGATGGGTCAGTTGCATATGACTTGATCAACCGTCATGCATTTCCGGCTACAAAAATCAACTTTTCGGGTAGAAAAAGTCCTAGCCGGCGTCCGTTTTTGGGAAATCCCGTTTCCGAAGTCAGATTTCCTGAAAACGGGTTGGGGCAAAACGGACTCATCTGTTTTGATGTTGGGTGATGACAAAGGAAAAAGACGTAAAACCTTGTTGTCTGAAAATTAATTGAATTGTGTGTGAAAACATGGACGTAAACGATCGCTAGCATCACCAACATTCAACGTTCAATTTGGTGGACTAAAGCGTAACAGATTGCAAAATGGGGCAAGGGCTTTGCTCAGACTTGGACAAACAGTAAAATACAAGGTTTTCAACAAAGTGCGTGGTTCGGTTAGGGTCAGAGACCTGCATCCACCAGTACACAGATACATCGAATCACACATCGATCAGTATCATAGATATATCAAAAAACATATTGATCAATATCAATTAGTTATGTTCATAGACATGATGGATCAGGTGGTTCACAAACTTTCGTCGCTTCTGACCATAGGGCAGTTGCTTAGTCAATAAATCAGCGTCATTCTCATGAGTGTTGACATACAACGTCCGCCATTTGTCTTTTGCAGCTCCTTCACGGATGAAGTGATACGCAATGGACTGAGATTTCTTCTTCAATTGAGAGTCAGGGATACTTGTATTGGCCAACAGCGGCTTATTATCTCCATAGATAAAGGACGGGCCAAGTACAGGGATCCCCATCATCCTTAGCTTGTATCGCAAGCCACAAAGATATTCACAGTACAACTTCATTGCGCAGAATTCACTTTTTCCAAAGCTGCTAGACTCAACTGCAGTCTGCTTCTTTGCCATCCAGTACACCAATGCACCATTTACCCACACAAAGAAACCAGTTTGAGAACGTCTCGTAGTTGTGTCAGAGGCATGGTCAGCATCCACTTTGGCAGTTGTTACAAATCCAATGTCTTTTGGTTCTGGCTGGTTTGGAGGCAGCTCTTCCTTCAAGTTGTCTATGTGGCCAAATTCACTGGTTGACCAATCCTTCCTTTCAAATCCCGCAGCATCAATCACAGGAAAGGTGTTGGGATATGACAAAATATGAGTTTTTACGTTCCATATTCATTATTTCTTTATCACAGATCAAGTTGAGAAAGGAAATATTAAGATCGAATACTGTCCAACTGACAATATGATTGCGGATTTTATGACTAAGCCATTGCAAGGTGAGAAGTTTCGCAAGTACAGGGATATATATATATATCAAAAATTTTTAGTCAAATATTTTTGTTTTAATAGGTAATTTCTATATATATATATATATATATACGGGCTGCTGGGCGAGGAGTAGGGTGGGTCAGTTCCCACATCAATCGTCGCCTGCCTGCAAGAGATCGTCTGATTTTGCGGCGGGCTTTGGAGATGACAAGGACCCATTCCTCCTTGTCCGCCAGGTG